CAATGGGTTGATTACATAATGGGTTGGTTACACAATGGGTTGGTTACACAATGGGTTGATTACACAATGGGTTGATTACACAATGGGTTGATTACATAATGAGTTGATTACACAATGGGTTGATTACACAATGGGTTGATTACACAATGGGTTCATTACACAATGGGTTGATTAATTACACAATGGGTTGATTACACAATGGATTGATTACACAATGGGTTTATTACACAATGGGTTGATTACACAATGGGTTGATTACACAATGGGTTGGTTACACAATGGGTTGATTACACAATGGGTTGATTACACAATGGGTTGATTACACAATGGGTTGATTACACAATGTGTTGATTACACAATGGGTTGATTACACAATGGGTTTATTACACAATGGGTTGATTAATTACACAATGGGTTGATTACACAATGGGTTGATAACACAATGGGTTGATTAATTACACAATGGGTTGATTAATTACACAATGGGTTGATTACACAATGGGTTGATTACACAATGGGTTGATTACACAATGGGTTGATTACACAATGGGTTGATTAATTACACAATGGGTTGATTATACAATGGGTTGATTACACAATGGGTTGATTACACAATGGGTTGATTACACAATGGGTTGATTACACAATGGGTTGGTTACACAATGGGTTGATTAATTACACAATGGGTTGATTACACAATGGGTTGATTACACAATGGGTTGATTACACAATGGGTTGATTACACAATGGGTTGATTACACAATGGGTTGATTACACAATGGGTTGATTAATTACACAATGGGTTGATTACACAATGGGTTGATTACATAATGGGTTGGTTACACAATTGGTTGGTTACACAATGGGTTGATTACACAATGGGTTGATTACACAATGGGTTGATTACACAATGGGTTGATTAATTACACAATGGGTTGATTACACAATGGGTTGATTACACAATGGGTTGATTAATTACACAATGGGTTGATTACACAATGGGTTGATTACACAATGGGTTGATTACACAATGGGTTGATAACATAATGAGTTGATTACACAATGGGTTGATTAATTACACAATGGGTTGATTACACAATGGGTTGATTACACAATGGGTTGATTACACAATGGGTTGATTACACAATGGGTTGATTACACAATGGGTTGATTACACAATGGGTTGATTACACAATGGGTTGATTACACAATGGGTTGATTACACAATGGGTTTATTACACAATGGGTTTATTACACAATGGGTTGATTAATTACACAATGGGTTGATTACACAATGGGTTGATAACACAATGGGTTGATTAATTACACAATGCGTTGGTTAATTACACAATGGGTTGATTACACAATGGGTTGATTACACAATGGGTTGATTACACAATGGGTTGATTACACAATGGGTTGATTAATTACACAATGGGTTGATTACACAATGGGTTGATTACACAATGGGTTGATTACACAATGGGTTGACTACACAATGGGTTGGTTACACAATGGGTTGATTAATTACACAATGGGTTGATTACACAATGGGTTGATTACACAATGGGTTGATTACACAATGGGTTGATTACACAATGGGTTGATTACACAATGGGTTGATTAATTACACAATGGGTTGATTACACAATGGGTTGATTACATAATGGGTTGGTTACACAATGGGTTGGTTACACAATGGGTTGATTACACAATGGGTTGATTACACAATGGGTTGATTACACAATGGGTTGATTAATTACACAATGGGTTGATTACACAATGGGTTGATTACACAATGGGTTGATTAATTACACAATGGGTTGATTACACAATGGGTTGATTACACAATGGGTTGATTACACAATGGGTTGATTACATAATGAGTTTATTACACAATGGGTTTATTACACAATGGGTTGATTAATTACACAATGGGTTGATTACACAATGGGTTGGTTACACAATGGGTTGATTACACAATGGGTTGATTACACAATGGGTTGATTACACAATGGGTTGATTAATTACACAATGGATTGATTAATTACACAATGGATTGATTGTAGAATGGGTTGATTACACAATGGGTTGATTACATAATGGGTTAATTACATAATGGGTTGATTACACAATGGGTTGATTACACAATGGGTTGCTTACACAATGGATTGATTGTAGAATGGGTTGATTACACAATGGGTTGATTACACAATGGGTTGATTACACAATGGGTTGATTACACAATGGGTTGATTAATTACACAATGGATTGATTAATTACACAATGGATTGATTGTAGAATGGGTTGATTACACAATGGGTTGATTACATAATGGGTTAATTACATAATGGGTTGATTACACAATGGGTTGATTACACAATGGGTTGCTTACACAATGGATTGATTGTAGAATGGGTTGATTACACAATGGGTTGATTACACAATGGGTTGATTACACAATGGGTTGATTACATAATGGGTTAATTACATAATGGGTTGATTACACAATGGGTTGATTACACAATGGGTTGCTTACACAATGGATTGATTGTAGAATGGGTTGATTACACAATGGGTTGATTACACAATGGGTTGATTGTAGAATGGGTTGATTACACAATGTGTTGATTACACAATGGGTTGATTACACAATGGGTTGGTTACACAATGGGTTGATTACACAATGGGTTGATTAATTACACAATGGATTGATTGTAGAATGGGTTGATTACACAATGGGTTGATTACATAATGGGTTGATTACACAATGGGTTGATTACACAATGGGTTGATTACACAATGGGTTGATTACACAATGGGTTGATTACATAATGGGTGAATTACATAATGGGTTGATTACACAATGGGTTGATTACACAATGGGTTGCTTACACAATGGATTGATTGTAGAATGGGTTGATTACACAATGGCTTGATTAATTACACAATGGGTTGATTACACAATGGGTTGATTACACAATGGGTTGATTACACAATGGATTGATTACACAATGGGTTAATTACACAATGGCTTGATTACACAATTAGTTGATTACACAATGGCTTGATTAATTACACAATGGGTTGATTACACAATGGGTTAATTACACAATGGCTTGATTACACAATTAGTTGATTACACAATGGCTTGATTAATTACACAATGGGATGATTACACAATGGGTTGATTACACAATGGTGTGATTACACAATGGATTGATTACACAATGGGTTAATTACACAATGGCTTGATTACACAATTAGTTGATTACACAATGGCTTGATTAATTACACAATGGGATGATTACACAATGGGTTGATTACACAATGGCTTGATTAATTACACAATGGGATGATTACACAATGGGTTGATTACACAATGGGTTGATTACACATTGGGTTGATTACACAATGGGTTGATTACATAATGGGTTGATTACACAATGGCTTGATTACACAATGGGTTGATTACACATTGGGTTGATTACACAATGGGTTGATTACACAATGGGTTGGTTACACAATGGGTTGATTACATAATGGGTTGATTACACAATGGGTTGATTAATTACACAATGGGTTGATTACACAATGGGTTGATTACACAATGGGTTGATTAATTACACAATGGGTTGATTACACAATGGGTTGGTTACACAATGGGTTGGTTACACAATGGGTTGATTACACAATGGGTTGATTACACAATGGGTTGATTACACAATGGGTTGATTACATAATGAGTTGATTACACAATGTGTTGATTAATTACACAATGGGTTGATTACACAATGGGTTGATTACACAATGGGTTGATTACATAATGAGTTGATTACACAATGGGTTGATTACACAATGGGTTGATTACACAATGGGTTGATTACACAATGGGTTGATTACACAATGGGTTGATTACACAATGGGTTGATTAATTACACAATGGGTTGATTACACAATGGGTTGATTACATAATGGGTTGATTACACAATGGGTTGATTACACAATGGGTTGATTACACAATTGGTTGATTACACAATGGGTTGATTACACAATGGGTTGATTAATTACACAATGGGATGATTACACAATGGGTTGATAACACAATGGGTTGATTGTAGAATGGGTTGATTACACGATGGGTTGATTACACAATGGGTTGATTACACAATGGGTTGATTACATAATGGGTTAATTACATAATGGGTTGATTACACAATGGGTTGATTACACAATGGGTTGCTTACACAATGGGTTGATTACACAATGTGTTGATTACACAATGGATTGATTACACAATGGGTTGATTAATTACACAATGGGTTGATTAATTACACAATGGGTTGATTACACAATGGGTTGATTACACAATGGGTTGATTACACAATGGGTTGATTACACAATGGGTTGATTAATTACATAATGGGTTGATTACACAATGGGTTGATTACACAATTAGTTGATTACACAATGGATTGATCACCCAAAAGCACCTCTTTGACAACTGGCATATTTTGTCTGCGATATTATCGATTAGACCAGGGGTCTGCAAACTACGGCCCGCGGGCCGGATGCGGCCCGCGAGGTCCTTTCATCCGGCCCGCGGAGATCTTTTTGTCCACTGAAAAAACGTTTGCTGGTGATGGCTGAGGAACTTTGCCCAGAAAAATCAAAGACATGCCTGGAAGAAACTGGCCCCCGAACTGAAATTTGATAGCTAATGCGGCCCTCGGACTGAAAAGTTTGGAGACCCCTGGATTAGACCATGGTACATATTTATGAAAGAAATGTCAGCTTATTTATTACAGCAAAAGATAGTCCCACAATGTTGTGTGTTAGAGAAATAAGCCCCACTAAATAAATCTAAACCAACAAGTGAATATTTTAAAAGTTTTTTTTTATTAAAACATAAATTCATATGTAAAGAGTAGAAAATATATACATTCTATTTTTTTTATAAAAACATAAATTTACATTTCAAAATTCTAAGATAGGCCTTTTTTTCTAAAGTAATTGAGATAATAATTTATAACAATGTCATAAACATACAAAACTTGACCGGCTATGTGAAACAACGTTGCCCACATACAGGCCCACATACACGTATGTTAGTGGGGTTGTAGTGGAGAATATGGTACGGATACAATTTACATTCCATATGGTGTCTATAGAGTTGTATGCAGTATGATGCGCATCATTTGGATTTCAGTGGTGAATCTATATTTATCAGGTCACGTGATTAAGGCTAACAACAACAAAGCCATTGTGTTTACGTTTGGCGCACAGCTCACAGTTTTTGCTGAATTGATATTTTTGTTCGTTGGGCTTTTTAAAAAGTTGGATTTCGAACTGTGTAACAAAAGAATTTTCTTCTAAATGTACATAACTAAATACAAAGGGGAACACAATATTCTTAATATATGCTCCTTTATGATAATATTATATAAACATATTAAATTGTAAAGGCTTTCGAGAATCCAGAAATACTTAGATATCAAATTTCGTCAAACAAACACACATACCAACTGGGTTTTTCGGATTCAGGAAGATGTAAAACATGTCTCACATCCACATCCACAAACCCAACCCCCCACCACACACACACACTCCTCACATCCCCAAACATCACATCCACAAACCCACAATCCCCCCCCCCCCCCCACACACACACACACTACCACGTCCTCACGTCGCCAACTTACCTATTCAAATTTCTTGAGACGGGCCGCTATGGACGATTGGACGTTACCTAACCTTGAAGCGACCTTGATCCAGAACGGAGCCGTTGGGATCTCCAGCAGATCCTCGGCCCTCAAGGTCATCGGGACGTCATCCACCCTGGGGAGTGGACCCACAGACTTAACAACTGGCCGTCTACACCAAGGACTGGTCTGGTCCCTATACGCACCAGGCTCTGTTTTATATTGGACGCCACGAGCTGCTCGTTGTTGGTTTGACACTGTTGGTTTGGTGCTGTTGGTTTGGTGCTGTTGGTTTACGTTGGTTTGGTGCTGTTGGTTTGGTGCTGTTGGTTTGGTGCTGTGGGTTTTGGGCTGTTGGTTTTCGTTGGTTTAGTGCTGTTGGTTTGGTGCTGTTGGTTTGGTGCTGTTGGTTTGGGGCTGTTGGTTTGGGGCTGTTGGTTTTGGTGCTGTTGGTTTGATGCTGTTGGTTTAGTGCTGTTGATTTGATGCTGTTGGTTTGGTGCTGTTGGTTTGGGGCTGTTGGTTTTCGTTGGTTTGGGGCTGTTGGTTTTGGTGCTGTTGGTTTGGTGCTGTTGGTTTGGTGCTGTTGGTTTGGTGATGTTGGTTTGGTGCTGTTGGTTTGGTGCTGTTGGTTTGGTGCTGTTGGTTTGATGCTGTTGGTTTGATGCTGTTGGTTTGGGGCTGTTAGTTTGGTGCTGTTGGTTTGGTGCTGTTGGTTTGATGCTGTTGGTTTGATGCTGTTGGTTTGGGGCTGTTGGTTTGGGGCTGTTGGTTTGGGGGCTGTTGGTTTGGTGCTGTTGGTTTGGTGCTGTTGGTTTGTTGCTGTTGGTTTGGTGCTGTTGGTTTGGTGATGTTGGTTTGGTGATGTTGGTTTGGTGCTGTTGGTTTGGTGCTGTTGGTTTGGTGCTGTTGGTTTGGTGCTGTTGGTTTGATGCTGTTGGTTTGATGCTGTTGGTTTGGGGCTGTTAGTTTGGTGCTGTTGGTTTGGTGCTGTTGGTTTGATGCTGTTGGTTTGATGCTGTTGGTTTGGGGCTGTTGGTTTGGGGCTGTTGGTTTGGTGCTGTTGGTTTGATGCTGTTGGTTTGATGCTGTTGGTTTGGGGTGTTGGTTTGGGGCTGTTGGTTTGGGGCTGTTGGTTTGGTGCTGTTGGTTTGGTGCTGTTGGTTTTCGTTGGTTTGGGGCTGTTGGTTTGGGGCTGTTGGTTTTGTGCTGTTGGTTTGGGGGCTGTTGGTTTGGTGCTGTTGGTTTGGTGCTGTTGGTTTGGTGCTGTTGGTTTGGTGCTGTTGGTTTGGTGCTGTTGGTTTGGTGTTGTTGGTTTTTGTTGGTTTGGTGCTGTTGGTTTGGTGTTGTTGGTTTTCGTTGGTTTGGTGCTGTTGGTTTGGTGCTGTTGGTTTGGTGTTGTTGGTTTTCGTTGGTTTGGTGCTGTTGGTTTGGTGCTGTTGGTTTTCGTTGGTTTGGTGCTGTTGGTTTGGTGCTGTTAGTTTGGTGCTGTTGGTTTGGTGCTGTTGGTTTGGGGCTGTTGGTTTGGTGTTGTTGGTTTGGGGGCTGTTGGTTTGGTGCTGTTGGTTTGGGGGCTGTTGGTTTAGTGTTGTTGGTTTGGTGCTGTTGGTTTGGTGCTTCCCCATTGGTTACATACAAACTGTTTAGGCTAGAGCCTTACGCTTCATTACATACATAGCTGGAGACCTTTACATCATTACATAGTAATCACTGGTTTAGCCGGAGACTTCTATACACAGTTTGGTTTGAATTGTAATTAACTGTAATTTTTTTTATTAGTAATCTAAGAAGAGCAACCCACTTCCTAAATGTCATCTCTAGCAACAAAACGTCTAAATGTCAACTTTAACCAACCGTCTAAATGTCATCTCTAACAACAAACCGTCTAAATGTCATCTCTAACAACCAACCTTTTAAATGTCATATATAACAACTCACCTACCAAATGTCATCTCTAAAAACTCACCTTCTAAATGTCAACTCCCTGTAGTCGATATGTGCTTGTTTTTTCTCAGTGAAGAGAGTTTCTAGTGTATCGAAGTAGTCCACGAGCAGGCTGTACATCTTTGTGTACAAGCGAGAGTAGTACATCTTTTGAAACCTGCAATGTACACATCACAATCTATAAGTGGGAGTCACGGTGTGATCTAAGGTTAAATTACCAGGTTAAGCTTATAGTGTAAACTACCAGGTTGGGCCTATGGATGAACCCACCTCGTGAGCCTATGGTTAAACCTACCTGGTTGAGCCTTTGGTTAAACCTACCTGGTTGAGCCTATGGTTAAACCTACCTGGTTGAGCCTATGGTTAAACCTACCTCGTGAGCCTATAATAAAACCTACCTGGTGTACCCTAGGGTAGTTCTAGGACTTCCTTCTTGACACTGACTTGTCAGAACTCGCCTGAAATTGACAAGTCAACCATCATAATGTGGGTCAGAAATAAATAAAGACAACAGTGCCCGAACGAGAGACAACAGTGCCCACATAACTAGAGAGACAACAGTGCCCACATTACTAGAGAGACAACAGTGCCCACATGACTAGAGAGACAACAGTGCCCACATGAGAGACAACAGTGCCCACATGAGAGACAACAGTGCCCACATGACTAGAGAGACAACAGTGCCCACACGACTAGAGAGACAACAGTGCCCACATGAGAGACTAGAGAGACAACAGTGCCCACACGACTAGAGAGACAACAGTGCCCACATGAGAGACTAGAGAGACAACAGTGCCCACACGACTAGAGAGACAACAGTGCCCACATGAGAGACAACAGTGCCCACATGACTAGAGAGACAACAGTGCCCACATGACTAGAGAGACAACAGTGCCCACATGACTAGAGAGACAACAGTGCCCACATGACTAGAGAGACAACAGTGCCCACATAACTAGAGAGACAACAGTGCCCACATGACTAGAGAGACAACAGTGCCCACACGACTAGAGAGACAACAGTGCCCACATGAGAGACAACAGTGCCCACACGACTAGAGAGACAACAGTGCCCACATGAGAGACTAGAGAGACAACAGTGCCCACATGAGAGACAACAGTGCCCACACGACTAGAGAGACAACAGTGCCCACATGAGAGACAACAGTGCCCACACGACTAGAGAGACAACAGTGCCCACATGACTAGAGAGACAACAGTGCCCACATGACTAGAGAGACAACAGTGCCCACACGACTAGAGAGACAACAGTGCCCACATGAGAGACAACAGTGCCCACACGACTAGAGAGACAACAGTGCCCACATGAGAGACTAGAGAGACAACAGTGCCCACACGACTAGAGAGACAACAGTGCCCACATGACTAGAGAGACAACAGTGCCCACACGACTAGAGAGACAACAGTGCCCACATAACTAGAGAGACAACAGTGCCCACATGACTAGAGAGACAACAGTGCCCACATTACTAGAGAGACAACAGTGCCCACATGACTAGAGAGACAACAGTGCCCACACGACTAGAGAGACAACAGTGCTCATATGACTAGAGAGACAACAGTGCCCACATGAGAGACAACAGTGCCCATATGACTAGAGAGACAACAGTGCCCACATGAGAGACAACAGTGCCCACATGAGAGACAACAGTGCCCACATGAGAGACTAGAGAGACAACAGTGCCCACACGACTAGAGAGACAACAGTGCCCACATGAGAGACAACAGTGCCCACATGAGAGACTAGAGAGACAACAGTGCCCACACGACTAGAGAGACAACAGTGCCCACATGAGAGACAACAGTGCCCACATGAGAGACTAGAGAGACAACAGTGCCCACACGACTAGAGAGACAACAGTGCCCATATGACTAGAGAGACAACAGTGCCCACACGACTAGAGAGACAACAGTGCCTACATGACTAGAGAGACAACAGTGCCCACATGACTAGAGAGACAACAGTGCCCACATGAGAGACTAGAGAGACAACAGTGCCCACATGAGAGACAACAGTGCCCACATGAGAGACAACAGTGCCCACATGACTAGAGAGACAACAGTGCCCACATGAGAGACTAGAGAGACAACAGTGCCCACATGACTAGAGAGACAACAGTACCCATATGACTAGAGAGACAACAGTGCCCATATGACTAGAGAGACAACAGTGCCCACATGAGAGACTAGAGAGACAACAGTGCCCACATGCCTAGAGAGACAACAGTGCCCACATGAGAGACAACAGTGCCCACACGACTAGAGAGACAACAGTGCCCATATGACTAGAGAGACAACAGTGCCCACATGAGAGACAACAGTGCCCACACGACTAGAGAGACAACAGTGCCCACATGAGAGACAACAGTGGCCACATAAGAGACTAGAGAGACAACAGTGCCCACATGACTAGAGAGACAACAGTGCCCACACGACTAGAGAGACAACAGTGCCCACATGAGAGACAACAGTGCCCACATGACTAGAGAGACAACAGTGCCCACATGACTAGAGAGACAACAGTGCCCACACGACTAGAGAGACAACAGTGCCCACATGACTAGAGAGACAACAGTGCCCACACGACTAGAGAGACAACAGTGCCCACATGAGAGACAACAGTGGCCACATAAGAGACTAGAGAGACAACAGTGCCCACACGACTAGAGAGACAACAGTGCCCATATGACTAGAGAGACAACAGTGCCCACATGACTAGAGAGACAACAGTGCCCACATGACTAGAGAGACAACAGTGCCCACATGAGAGACAACAGTGCCCACATGAGAGACACCAGTGCCCACACGACTAGAGAGACAACAGTGCCCACATGACTAGAGAGACAACAGTGCCCACACGACTAGAGAGACAACAGTGCCCACATGAGAGACTAGAGAGACAACAGTGCCCACATGACTAGAGAGACAACAGTGCCCACATGACTAGAGAGACAACAGTGCCCACATGACTAGAGAGACAACAGTGCCCACATGACTAGAGAGACAACAGTGCCCACATGACTAGAGAGACAACAGTGGCCGCATGACTAGAGAGACAACAGTGCCCACATGACTAGAGAGACACCAGTTCCCACATGAGAGACTAGAGAGACAACAGTGCCCACATGACTAGAGAGACAACAGTGCCCACATGACTAGAGAGACAACAGTGCCCACATGACTAGAGAGACAACAGTGCCCACATGACTAGAGAGACAACAGTGCCCACATGACTAGAGAGACAACAGTGCCCACATGACTAGAGAGACAACAGTGCCCACACGACTAGAGAGACAACAGTGCCCACATGAGAGACTAGAGAGACAACAGTGCCCACATGACTAGAGAGACAACAGTGCCCACATGACTAGAGAGACAACAGTGCCCACATGACTAGAGAGACAACAGTGCCCACATGAGAGACAACAGTGCCCACATGACTAGAGAGACAACAGTGTCCACATGACTAGAGAGACAACAGTGCCCACACGAATAGAGAGACAACAGTGCCCACATGACTAGAGAGACAACAGTGCCCACACGACTAGAGAGACAACAGTGCCCACATGAGAGACAACAGTGGCCACATAAGAGACTAGAGAGACAACAGTGCCCACATGACTAGAGAGACAACAGTGCCCATATGACTAGAGAGACAACAGTGCCCACATGAGAGACAACAGTGCCCACATGACTAGAGAGACAACAGTGCCCACATGACTAGAGAGACAACAGTGCCCACATGAGAGACAACAGTGCCCACATGAGAGACAACAGTGCCCACACGACTAGAGAGACAACAGTGCCCACATGAGAGACAACAGTGCCCACATGAGAGACTAGAGAGACAACAGTGCCCACATGACTAGAGAGACAACAGTGCCCACATGAGAGACTAGAGAGACAACAGTGCCCAGATGAGAGACAACAGTGCCCACATGACTAGAGAGACAACAGTGCCCACATGAGAGACTAGAGAGACAACAGTGCCCACATGAGAGACAACAGTGCCCACATGAGAGACAACAGTGCCCACATGACTAGAGAGACAACAGTGCCCACATGACTAGAGAGACAACAGTGCCCACATGACTAGAGAGACAACAGTGCCCACATGACTAGAGAGACAACAGTGCCCACATAACTAGAGAGACAACAGTGCCCACATGACTAGAGAGACAACAGTGCCCACACGACTAGAGAGACAACAGTGCCCACATGAGAGACAACAGTGCCCACACGACTAGAGAGACAACAGTGCCCACATGAGAGACTAGAGAGACAACAGTGCCCACATGAGAGACAACAGTGCCCACACGACTAGAGAGACAACAGTGCCCACATGAGAGACAACAGTGCCCACACGACTAGAGAGACAACAGTGCCCACATGACTAGAGAGACAACAGTGCCCACATGACTAGAGAGACAACAGTGCCCACACGACTAGAGAGACAACAGTGCCCACATGAGAGACAACAGTGCCCACACGACTAGAGAGACAACAGTGCCCACATGAGAGACTAGAGAGACAACAGTGCCCACACGACTAGAGAGACAACAGTGCCCACATGACTAGAGAGACAACAGTGCCCACACGACTAGAGAGACAACAGTGCCCACATAACTAGAGAGACAACAGTGCCCACATGACTAGAGAGACAACAGTGCCCACATTACTAGAGAGACAACAGTGCCCACATGACTAGAGAGACAACAGTGCCCACACGACTAGAGAGACAACAGTGCTCATATGACTAGAGAGACAACAGTGCCCACATGAGAGACAACAGTGCCCATATGACTAGAGAGACAACAGTGCCCACATGAGAGACAACAGTGCCCACATGAGAGACAACAGTGCCCACATGAGAGACTAGAGAGACAACAGTGCCCACACGACTAGAGAGACAACAGTGCCCACATGAGAGACAACAGTGCCCACATGAGAGACTAGAGAGACAACAGTGCCCACACGACTAGAGAGACAACAGTGCCCACATGAGAGACAACAGTGCCCACATGAGAGACTAGAGAGACAACAGTGCCCACACGACTAGAGAGACAACAGTGCCCATATGACTAGAGAGACAACAGTGCCCACACGACTAGAGAGACAACAGTGCCTACATGACTAGAGAGACAACAGTGCCCACATGACTAGAGAGACAACAGTGCCCACATGAGAGACTAGAGAGACAACAGTGCCCACATGAGAGACAACAGTGCCCACATGAGAGACAACAGTGCCCACATGACTAGAGAGACAACAGTGCCCACATGAGAGACTAGAGAGACAACAGTGCCCACATGACTAGAGAGACAACAGTGCCCATATGACTAGAGAGACAACAGTGCCCATATGACTAGAGAGACAACAGTGCCCACATGAGAGACTAGAGAGACAACAGTGCCCACATGCCTAGAGAGACAACAGTGCCCACATGAGAGACAACAGTGCCCACACGACTAGAGAGACAACAGTGCCCATATGACTAGAGAGACAACAGTGCCCACATGAGAGACAACAGTGCCCACACGACTAGAGAGACAACAGTGCCCACATGAGAGACAACAGTGGCCACATAAGAGACTAGAGAGACAACAGTGCCCACATGACTAGAGAGACAACAGTGCCCACACGACTAGAGAGACAACAGTGCCCACATGAGAGACAACAGTGCCCACATGACTAGAGAGACAACAGTGCCCACATGACTAGAGAGACAACAGTGCCCACACGACTAGAGAGACAACAGTGCCCACATGACTAGAGAGACAACAGTGCCCACACGACTAGAGAGACAACAGTGCCCACATGAGAGACAACAGTGGCCACATAAGAGACTAGAGAGACAACAGTGCCCACACGACTAGAGAGACAACAGTGCCCATATGACTAGAGAGACAACAGTGCCCACATGACTAGAGAGACAATAGTGCCCACATGACTAGAGAGACAACAGTGCCCACATGAGAGACAACAGTGCCCACATGAGAGACACCAGTGCCCACACGACTAGAGAGACAACAGTGCCCACATAACTAGAGAGACAACAGTGCCCACATGAGAGACAACAGTGCCCACATGAGAGACTATAGAGACAACAGTGCACACATGACTAGAGAGACAACAGTGCCCACATGACTAGAGAGACAACAGTGCCCACATGACTAGAGAGACAACAGTGCCCACATGACTAGAGAGACAACAGTGCCCACATGACTAGAGAGACAACAGTGGCCGCATGACTAGAGAGACAACAGTGCCCACATGACTAGAGAGACACCAGTTCCCACATGAGAGACTATAGAGACAACAGTGCCCACATGACTAGAGAGACAACAGTGCCCACATGACTAGAGAGACAACAGTGCCCACATGACTAGAGAGACAACAGTGCCCACATGACTAGAGAGACAACAGTGCCCACATGACTAGAGAGACAACAGTGCCCACATGACTAGAGAGACAACAGTGCCCACACGACTAGAGAGACAACAGTGCCCACATGAGAGACTAGAGAGACAACAGTGCCCACATGACTAGAGAGACAACAGTGCCCACATGACTAGAGAGACAACAGTGCCCACATGACTAGAGAGACAACAGTGCCCACATGAGAGACAACAGTGCCCACATGACTAGAGAGACAACAGTGTCCACATGACTAGAGAGACAACAGTGCCCACACGACTAGAGAGACAACAGTGCCCACATGACTAGAGAGACAACAGTGCCCACACGACTAGAGAGACAACAGTGCCCACATGAGAGACAACAGTGGCCACATAAGAGACTAGAGAGACAACAGTGCCCACATGACTAGAGAGACAACAGTGCCCATATGACTAGAGAGACAACAGTGCCCACATGAGAGACAACAGTGCCCACATGACTAGAGAGACAACAGTGCCCACATGACTAGAGAGACAACAGTGCCCACATGAGAGACAACAGTGCCCACATGAGAGACAACAGTGCCCACACGACTAGAGAGACAACAGTGCCCACATGAGAGACAACAGTGCCCACATGAGAGACTAGAGAGACAACAGTGCCCACATGACTAGAGAGACAACAGTGCCCACATGAGAGACTAGAGAGACAACAGTGCCCAGATGAGAGACAACAGTGCCCACATGACTAGAGAGACAACAGTGCCCACATGAGAGACTAGAGAGACAACAGTGCCCACATGAGAGACAACAGTGCCCACATGAGAGACACCAGTGCCCACACGACTAGAGAGACACCAGTGCCCACATAACTAGAGAGACAACAGTGCCCACATGAGAGACAACAGTGCCCACATGAGAGACTAGAGAGACAACAGTGCCCACATGACTAGAGAGACAACAGTGCCCACATGAGAGACTAGAGAGACAACAGTGCCCAGATGAGAGACTAGAGAGACAACAGTGCCCACATGAGCGACTAGAGAGACAACAGTGCACACATGACTAGAGAGACAACAGTGCCCACATGACTAGAGAGACAACAGTGCCCACATGACTAGAGAGACAACAGTGCCCACATGACTAGAGAGACAACAGTGCCCACATGACTAGAGAGACAACAGTGCCCACATGACTAGAGAGACAACAGTGCCCACATATAGGCCTACCAATTTTGTCTATTATCAGACTTCTCTTTAGATTTGCGATACAATTTGGCCCCGAATTGTGCCACTGTCCATATGACGTTACTGTCAGATATAATCGCCATTGACTTTTTGTGCGTTAAGTTGTCGGGAAAAGCATCTGCGTGTGTTTCTCCTAGGCAACATTGCTCCTACAACGATTAAGAAACCAACTGTCAAACTCAATATTTCTTCCCTGTGGTTGGGCAGATCTGACATTAAATGCTAATGTCAACATAATGACCTGTCTGTGATGTATCGGCCTTCATGCACACCATGATGACCCACCTGTAATGTATCGGCCTTCAAACCATAATGACCCACCTTTAATGTATCGGCCTTCATGCACACCATGACGACACACCTGTAATGTATCGGCCTTCAAACCATGATGACCTACCTGTAATGTATCGGCCTTCATGCACACCATGATGACCCACCTGTAATGTATCGGCCTTCAAACCATAATGACCCACCTGTAATGTATCGGCCTTCATGCACACCATGACGACACACCTGTAATGTATCGGCCTTCAAACCATGATGACCTACCTGTAATGTATCGGCCTTCATGCACACCATGATGACACACCTGTAATGTATCGGCCCTAAAACATGATGACCCACCTGTAATGTATCGGCCTTCACGTACACCATGATGACCCACATGTAATGTATCGACCTTCACACCATGATGACCCACCTGTAATGTATGGGCCTTCATGCACACCATGATGACCCATCTGTAATGTATCGGCCTTCATGCACACCATGATGACCCACCTGTAATGTATCGACCTTCACACCATGATGACCCACCTGTAATGTATCGGCCTACATGCACACCATGATGACCCACCTGTAATGTATCGGCCTACATGCACACCATGATGACCCACCTGTAATGTATCGACCTTCACACCATGATGACCCACCTGTAATGTATCGGCCTACATGCACACCATGATGACCCACCTGTAATGTATAGACCTTCACACCATGATGACCCACCTGTAATGTATCGGCCTACATGCACACCATGATGACCCACCTGTAATGTATCGACCTTCACACCATGATGACCCACCTGTAATGTATCGGCCTACATGCACACCATGATGACCCACCTGTAATGTATAGACCTTTAAAACATGATGACCCACCTGTAATGTATCGGCCTTCACGCACACCATAATGACTCACCTGTAATGTATTGGCCTTTATGCACAACGTGATGACCCACCTGTAATGTATCGGCCTTCACACCATGATGACCCACCTGTAATGTATCGACCTTCACACCATGATGACCCACCTGTAATGTATCGACCTTCACACCATGATGACCCACCTGTAATGTATCGACCTTCACACCATGATGACCCACCTGTAATGTATCGACCTTTAAAACATGATGACCCACCTGTAATTTGACATCAAAGTCCGAGAACGAGTCCAACAGTGTACACATCAGAGTTCGACTGACCATCAGTTTCCAGTTGATGGATATAGGTTCATCTTTCCTGCCGACATCAAGGTCAAGGTCAAAACATAAGATTAGCTCATTTCAAGGGTATGACAAAGTTTTGACATAGGACAAGAGTAAATTTGAACCAATCAGGTGATGAATACAATATCAACCTATAATAGCGTCAGCAACATGAAAAGGAAGACCCGATGGTTAGGTCATCTGGAAAAATAGTCACATCACAGAATGTTGTGTATAACCTAAAACCTATAGAGATCTGAAGATGTGGATGTGTGGCAATGTGGATGTGTGGAAATGTGGAGATGACCTAAGCAGCTTCCAACAATAAGCCAGCAGACAAAGCCTATGTGCCAGACGGTTGGCTGTAGAGACACCGTGATGGCTGTGGACAACCCACTTTCAACCAGTGCGTAACAGATGAACCTGGACCTCCCTGAACATTTATTTGAACATGAGAAACTTGCCAGCCTGGACCTACCTGAACATTTATTTGAACATGAGAAACTTGCCAGTCTGGACCTACCTGAACATTTATTTGAACTTAAGAAACTTGCCAGTCTGGACCTACCTGAACATTTATTTGAACTTAAGAAACTCGCCAGTCTGGACCTACCTGAACATTTATTTGAACTTAAGAAACTTGCCAGTCTGGACCTACCTAAACATGGTTTGAGAAACTTGCCAGTCTGGACCTCCCTGAACATTTATTTGAACATGAGAGACTTGCCAGTCTGGACCTACCTGAACATGGTTTGAGAAACTTGCAGTCTGGACCTACCTGAACATGGTTTGAGAAACTTGCCAGTCTGGACCTACCTGAACATGGTTTGAGAAACTTGCCAGTCTGGACCTACCTGAACATGGTTTGAGAAACTTGCAGTCTGGACCTACCTGAACATGGTTTGAGAAACTTGCCAGTCCGGACCTACCTGAACATGGTTTGAGAAACTTGCCAGTCTGGACCTACCTGAACATGGTTTGAGAAACTTGCCAGTCTGGACCTACCTGAACATGGTTTGAGAAACTTGCCAGTCTGGACCTACCTGAACATGGTTTGAGAAACTTGCAGTCTGGACCTACCTGAACATGGTTTGAGGAACTTGCCAGTCTAGACCTACCTGAACATGGTTTGAGAAACTTGCCAGTCTGGACCTACCTGAACATGGTTTGAGAAACTTGCAGTCTGGACCTACCTGAACATGGTTTGAGAAACTTGCAGTCTGGACCTCCCTGAACATGGTTTGAGAAACTTGCAGTCTGGACCTACCTGAACATGGTTTGAGAAACTTGCCAGTCTGGACCTACCTGAACATGGTTTGAGAAACTTGCAGTCTGGACCTCCCTGAACATGGTTTGAGAAACTTGCAGTCTGGACCTACCTGAACATGGTTTGAGAAACTTGCAGTCTGGACCTCCCTGAACATGGTTTGAGAAACTTGCAGTCTGGACCTCCCTGAACATTTATTTGAACATGAGAAACTTGCCAGTCTGGACCTACCTGAACATGGTTTGAGAAACTTGCCAGTCTGGACCTACCTGAACATCAAGCTTGAGACCTCATTAGAGAGGGCATTAAATATAAGATCCTGCTCCGTGGTGCTGATGATCCCGATCAAAATTTCCTCCCTCAGCGCGTCCACTGTGAAATCCGTGTTCACCAAATTCATGGGCGCTCGGGCGAAAACTTTCCGGTGTATTTTCGGCTGGGGTTTCTCCTCCGTTTCCGGCACGTCGAGGAATTTACTAGCGTGCATACTGGCGCGGCGCTGGTCGACGCCTGATGAGATGCTGGAGCTCTCCTTGCGTGGAATGATGCTGGCCTTTTTGTCCGGCTTCTCGCTGACCGTCGTGCCGGTCACGGAGATGTCCTCGGGCGAGTGAGGCGGGCTCTCTAGCGGCAAGACTTTCAAGCTCTTCTGGTCGGGGTCGATTTTCTTGTACAGGAGGAGGAGGGGAGTCTCCGACGGCAGAGACCGTCGCCATAGATGGCTGCCGCCGGGGGAAGAATCGGATTGAGAATTTCTGCCACTACTTCTTTCTTTGTAACTGATGGAATCCTCCGCTTGTTCTGGTTTAAAGTCGGACTCCGCAACACTGCCCGTGTCGTGTAAAGACTCGTAATCGCTTTCAAAGTAATCGGACGACATACCGTAGTCGGACACGTTATCCCCCTTGCCGTCCATGGACTGGACGATTTCTAGAATTTTCGACAGTCGGTACACGGCGGCGGTGTTGTAGTGCAGGCCAGGGTTGAGGAGGTGGAACAAATCTTTGCCTTTGTAGCACAAGAGAAACCTCGTGTCCTTCAGCGGGCCTTCCTTCAGCGGCAGGTGTTGGATCAGGTTGTCCACGATCTGCTTGACTATGGTCGGAGCTTCTCGAACCTTCACCGCCTCTTCTATCTTGATCTTGGCCAGAACGTACGGGTCGTAGTGCCGTGTGTAGCCGGACAGCCGGAGGATGATTTTCCCGCCGTTTTCTAGAACCGGGTTTGTAACCAGCCGCCAGTCCTCGTAGTAGAATCCTTTGTTGAAGGCCTTGTACATGAACGGGATTCGAAACTTCTCGTCGGGTAGGATGACCCCGCCCCAGCAGTCGAAAATAAACCTGCCGACCTCGTGGTCTTTCTCCATGTTAAACGACTCCTTCCGTTCCTCTCTGAACCAGTTGAAGTAGATGGCGGTGGTGCCGATGTTGGTCATGGATATAGAACCCACGGCCTTCATGCCGAACTCAGCCGAGCAGCCCACCTCCACCATAATGCTCTGGTTCCTGCGGTTCTTGTCTTTAGACCATGCCAGCACAGTCTCACCGAACTGCAGGGCGACCCTCGATGACCTTTGATCATCATCGTCGCTGGAATCAGTCTCCAGTGATTGGTTGGACATTTTAAACGACCTTGACCGACCAGCCCACGGACTTAAGGGAGTTAGTCTGTCAATGTCGTAGTCCCTACCACGTGACATTTCATCGTAGTTATACATCTGCCCGTATTTGTTCTTAAAGAAACTTTTGACTGTTGTCCCCACGATCCCCAGGACCGGTACCTCGGGGACAAACTGCCCGGCATCGTTTAGAACCACGGGTCCCACTGCTGTCTGAACGTGTGATCGCTTCAACTGAACCGTGTCCTTGGATTCCGTTTTGCCTTTTGATTTTGCTATTTCAGTGACATCCGGGCAGCCAACCCACTCTGGTTTGACGTCATATCCTCTCTCCCGTCTGGTGAGTGAGACTGTGATACCGTCCTTCTGGTACTTGAGATATTTGGAGCACTCGAAGAACGCGCTATCTGGGAAAACTTCCGGGGTATAGGTCCTCTCCAGCTCGATCACATTCCTCTCCTCCCCCTGGGGGTGGCTCTTGACCAGTAGCTGCTTCCTGCGGACAAGCAGTTTGTGCCGCTCTTTGCCTGTTTTCTTCATGATGTAATCTTCCATTTCTAACTGCGCGGCTTTAAACTGCAATAACATTTTTAATCGAAACTGTTTTTATTTTTAAAATTGTACACACGACTTAATCAAAGCTTTTAAGTTAATTTCTATTTTTTTTGTTTCTTCAGCTCCACAATTACATTTAACTAAATAGTTGTTTTTTTTTCTTTAAAGACGTTTTTTTTTACTTACTACTTGAATTAACCAACTATTATAAAAAATAAAATTCGATCCAGGATTGGTACTTTAGACAATCCATTTTGTGATGCGTGTTAAAAAATCCAACTCTTTGCTAACCTTTTTGAAATTCTGGAGTCGTCGCTGTTCGTCTTTTAAACTTTTCTTTAGCATGAGTTTATAGTGGGGCTCCACTGTTTTCTTACGCTTCAAGATCTCCATAGGCGGCGCCTTAAAGTCACTGATGTCTCTAAGGCTCAGGGTATCGGGGCAGATCATGCTATCTGGAATATTCTTAGGATCTGGGGAATAAAGCAACCAGTTTTAAATGCGTGAATGAATGAAGGAAATGTCTAGAGTATTTTACTTAAATAATAATCATTTTAAAAGTTTTTAAAAACCCACGTTTTCTGATTGAACTAAAAAGTAGAAAATAAATGCTATACATCACGATAACGCAAGCGATCACTCTACTATAAGCGATGAAAAACGTGGGGTGCCGAAGTAAAAGTTATATTACTATTGATTAGATAATACTATTGACTTTTATTAGGGAGCTTGTAGAGAGTCAACAGTAATAGAAACTGTAAGAAAATCACGGCGCCCCACGTTTTTGATCGCTTATAGTAGAGTGATCGCTTGCATTATTGTGATGTATAGCATTTATTTTCTACTTTTTAGTTCAATCAGAAAACGTGTTTTTTTTTTAACTTTTTTAATGATTATTATTTTCTACTTTTTAGTCTTTGTCTGTTTGTTTGCATTAAAATCTTGCTATCGATTTTATCTTTTCACTATTTTTTGGGTAAACGAAGACAACTCGTAAAAAGACAACTCGTAAAAAACACGTTGTGTGAATACGTTACTGACTAGAACACATAGATTTGAACCCGTGTCAAGTGGGATAGCAATCGTGTGCCCAACCACTCGACCATATCGTCTCCCCCATACAGGCCACCAGTTGTTACGGTTGTTTGTACACAAATTACAGTTACTGGGTTATGTCCCTTTTTCCCCACGTTTTTACTACAACGAGCCGACCCGCGGCGTATCATACGCCGCTATTTAGTTGATTTATTTTCTACTTTCAGTAATTCATAATTTGTGAATTCGACAGTACCAATGCTGCCACTGAAAATATTTGCTTTAAAACACTAACCCCCCTCCTTTCCCCTAACCCCGACCCCCCCCCCCCCCCCGTAAAAGCAGCCTCCTCTTAGTTACCTCCTGTAAGTTTAAAGTCGGTTCAAACTTAATTATCTGCCCCTAATAGCCGTCACTAAACCTGGCTGTACGGTTTGTAAACATTAACGTGACCACAGCTCAGCAGCTCAGCAGACCATGTGGGGGTGGGGTAGGGTGGTAGTGATAGTGATAGAGATAGAGAGAAAGAGAGGGGACTGTAAGGAAGCGCTTGCAGCTTGTTTTCTAACGGCTCGCAGAGGAGATTTATATATATATAGATTATATAGCGGTCTAAAATGCTCAATAAAATATTTCCATGGATCAATTTAGTAATAATAACAATTGAATATTCTATTGTCATCCAAAACAAAGCTTCCCTGAAAATTTCAGCGCGCTAGCTAACTGGGAAGTGCCAGAAATTTCGATCGCAAGATTTGATTGGAAAGACAGAGACGAAAGCAAGTTAAAGAAAACGTGGTAAAAACTCTTGTTCTGATTACAACTGACAAATCAGCCGTGACCGTACAAATGTCAACTGACCAATCAGCAGCGACCGTACAACTGTCAACTGACCAATCAGCAGCGACCGTACAACTGTCAACTGACCAATCAGCAGCGACCATACAACTGTCAACTGACCAATCAGCAGTGAGCCTTGGGGTTTGAACACCTGGTAGCTGAGGTCGGAATCCGAGCTGGACGTCTTGACCAGTGACGTCATCTGCATCAGGATGTTCTTCTTGGCCTCTCCCTTGTCAGAGGCGCGGCCAATAGGTGGCAGAGGGACGGCCCGCTTCTTCAGTACGGCCACCGTTCTAGTGGTCTTCTGCACAATGGCCGGCAGGATCAGGTCTGTGTGGCTGTCCCGGGGCAGGTCGAAGTCCGTGTCTCTGGAATTGGAGGCGGTACCTTAGGGTGGGGGCACAGGCAATACCCTAGGGGGGGGGCAGGGAGAAGTCCGTGTCTCTGGAATTAGAGGCGGTACCTTTGGGTGGGGGGGGGGGGCACAGGCAATACCCTAGGGGGGGGGCAGGGAGTAGTCCGGGTCTCTGAAATTGGAGGCGGTACTTTAGGGCTGGTGGGGGGGAAGGCAAGGAGTAGTCCGTGGTTTAGGCAATATAGGCAATACCTTAGGGGGGGGAGGGTAGGCAGGGATTAGTCGTCTCTGGAATTAAAGGCGGTACCTTAGGGTGGGGGGCACAGGCAATACCCTAGGGGGGAGGGAGTAGTCCGGGTCTCTGGAATTAGAGGCGGTACCTTAGGTTGGGGGTGGGGGGAAGGCAAGGAGTAGTCCGTGGTTTTGGCAATATAGGCAATACCTTAGGGGGGAGGGTAGGCAGGGATTAGTCGTCTCTGGAAGCGGTAGGCCTACCATAGAAGGCGGTACTTTTGTATGCGTGACATTCAAATCAATTAAACATTGCTGTTTTTTGCGCTATTACAAACACACTCTCTGCATTTGATTGTCACAGAAATGTTTTAATCCATACGATTGCATTTTATAAATGTTACCGAAAAAGCCATCTTCCGACTTTCCCAAAAACGTTTTTATGAAGAATACAGTTAAATAAGTCTATTTTCTTAAATAGTAAAAAATAGTAATACAGCCCTGTTTTCTCTATCCTATATATATGGCGTCTCTTAGGGTCGGCGCCCGGGTTGCCACTCGACCCGACCTCCCCTAGCTACGCCTCTGTTCGCCACTGACCTGTTGTAGGCCGCCAAGGTCATGTTCCGTCTTCTGTCGAATGCCACCAAGGTCCTCTTCCGGTCCGGCATGGCGACAATGGTCATGTTTCGTCTTCTGTCCATCTTGAAGTTTTCTCACGTTCTCACTGTCTTGCTTCTGTACATTTATTTACCACTTCATCTAGATCTACTTCCGTTTGCCACTTGTTGGCCTACAAGTAAACGCTGTTAGTTATTTTTTCACGCGCACTTGGTGCGATGTTGACTGAAGCACCGAAACTTGGAGTATTTTGAAACCTGCACGCAAGTCTTTAGTTAGGCAATGTTCATACAGTAATGGCCGGCTCGGTCACGTGGTACAGGGGTTCACTCATCCCTGACAGGGTTTGGTTCATGGGTTCATCCAGCCTTGTGGGGTTTGTTGCAAGGGTTCATCAAGAACGTCCACAAAAGATCTGATCTTTAGAACCCACCCTGCTTGTCCACCCCCTCCCCTCATCATCTCATTAGTAAGTTCAAAAAATTGTAATTGTTCTCAACAAATTTACTTCTGATTTACACATTCTCTAGCATGTATTGTCTTCTTGTATTTCGAGATGAAAATAATTTTATTTTTTTATGGTGATTTATTTTCATGGAAAATGTGTTTTAAATACCGTAAAAAATAAAAACAATGTTATTTAGTATGAACATGCTCTGATGAGCGCTTGTTGTTTTTGTGTAGATCTCCAGCCCAGTGGTCCTGACCCCCCCCCCCCTGCACCCCCCTGTTGGACTCCACAAATAGATGACACATTGACCGTTACTCAACTATAAAATTATTAGAGCTCTATATTGAGACTTTTAAACAGTTTTCAGTTATAGCATCAGTTGTAGATACTACCATAATCCAAACCTTTCTCGTCATCGTAGCCTAACCATAACTCAACTTTTGCTGATCCTGACTCTTAGTCTAGGTGATACAATTACCTTACAGTAACTACAAATATCACATGCCTAGGTGATACAATTACCTTACAGTAACTAGAGATATCACATGCCCACATATCACAACTCAAAAACTAGGGAATGTGGTGTGTAAATATATTTCTATCAAAACAAGTAAACAAAACAGTGTATTAGTGTATACATATATATCTATCAAAACAGGTAAACAAAACAGTCTAAAGGTCAATGCTGTTTCGTCGCTCTTTGATGGATGACTGGACGGTGTCCATTCGTTGTGCCATTCGCACCCAGGCCGGGGGCAGGGGTGCCTCTAGCATGTCCTCGGGGCGGACCGAGCTGAGCGGGATATCTCGTACCCTGTGGGAGACACACACAAAGTAGGTGGGTGGGGTAAGGACACAAGTGGTGGTGGGGGGGGGGGGGGTAAAAGACACAATTGGTGGGGGTAAGGACACAAATGGTGGGGGGTAAGGGCACAATTGGTGGGGGGGGGGGGGGGTAAGGACACAATTGGTGGGGGGAGGACACAATTGGTGGGGGGGGGGGGAAGATAAGGATACAGTTGGTGGGGGTAAGGACACAATTCGTGGGGGGGGGGGGTAAGAACACAATTGGTGGGGGGTAAGGACATAATTGGTGGAAAGGGGGTAAGGACACAATTGGCGGGGGGGGGGGGTAAGGACACAATTGGGGGGGGGGGTAAGGATGTAATTGGTGGGGGGTAAGAACACAATTGGTGGGGGGTAAGGACACAATTGGTGGGGGGGGGGGGGGTAAGAACACAATTAGTGGAGGGTAAGGACACAATTGGTGGGGGGGAGTGAAAGGACACAATAGGGGGGGGGGGGTTAGGACACAATGTATGTTTAAGATTAGAGAACAGTAGCTGTTTGAGTCACACTATTATTTATAAAGGGTCTCGTTTTAGATGGGAATCGCGTGTTTGTGACAGCAACCCATCTAGGAGAGGAAACTTACACATCAAACAACTACTGCAGCCCATCTAGGAGAGGAAACTTACACATCAAACAACTACTGCAACCCATCTAGGAGAGGAAACTTACACATCAAACAACTACTGCAGCCCATCTAGGAGAGAAAACTTACACATCAAACAACTACTGCAGCCCCCACTCACTATTTGAAACCAGTCCATCTTTTTTACTTAAAGATATCACACACCCACTTAAAGACACAGATCACACAACTTCATAAAGACTCAGATCTGTGAGTGATCACATAAGGCCACACATTACACATCCACAGAGAGAGATCACACAACCACATGAAGACACACATCACATACCACCAGAGACGACAGCAACATACGTACTTGGTGAAGTTCAGATTCTCGGGGTCCAGCTTCAGGTTACTGGTGTGCTGTGCGAACAATGTATCCATTTTATCAACAAGCTCGGAGAGAAGCTGGTACATTCTGCAGTAAAGCCTGTCGTAATATTGATTTTTGTACCTGTTGAAACATCGTAATATTGATTTGTGTACCTGTAGAAACATCGTAATATTGATTTTTGTACCTGGATAAACATCGTAATATTGATTTTTGTACCTGTAGAAACATCGTAATATTGATTTTTGTACCTGTAGAAACATCGTAATATTGATTTTTGTACCTGTAGAAACATCGTAATATTGATTTTTGTACCTGTAGAAACATCGTAATATTGATTTTTGTACCTGTAGAAACATCGTAATATTGATTTTTGTACCTGTAGAAACATCGTAATATTGATTTTTGTACCTGTTGAAACATCGTAATATTGATTTTTGTACCTGTAGAAACATCGTAATATTGATTTTTGTACCTGTAGAAACATCGTAATATTGATTTTTGTACCTGTTGAAACATCGTAATATATATTTTTGTACCTGTTGAAACATCGTAATATTGATCGATATACCTTTTTTTTCTTAAGTTAGAAAAAAATATTGACTACACATCAGGCCCCTAATGTCCAATATAAATCCTATACGCACCTGTAAAGCGAAGAGTGACTACAGATCAGGCCCTAAGTGAACAATGTAAATCTAATACGCACCTGTACGGCGATAGAGTGACGACCTCTTTGGGCAAGAGTGTATCGGATTGAGTTTTTGGAGTAAATGACACGTTTGTACTTCTGGGAACAAAATATTTGGTGGGTTTTAGGTGGGTTTGGGGTAGTGTTTATAATATCTTACATGTCTCTATAATGTCCTACATGTCCTACGTCTGTCTATTATGTACTTCATATGTCTATGTTGTCCTACATGTCCAACATATGTCTATGTTGTCCTACATGTCCTACATGTGTCTATGTTGTCCTACAGGTCCTACATATGTCTATGTTGTCCTACATGTGTCTATGTTGTCCTACATGTGTTACATGTGTCTATGTTGTCCTACATGTCCTACATGTGTCTATGTTGTCCTTCATGTGTTACATGTGTCTATTTTGTCCTATATGTCCGACATGTGACTATGTTGTCCTACATGTCCTACATATGTCTATGTTGTCCTACATGTGCTACATGGTGTGTATGTTGTCCTACATGTCCTACATATGTCTATGTTGTCCTACATGTCCTACAGCACCCACCGTCGACTTAAATCAGCGTTTGTATTCTTCCTGCTGGACACTCTACTAGCACTTTTGGTGAGCAAAGTTTCAGTGGGCAACGGCTCCTTGGATTCAGAGGGCAGCGCCTCCTTGGTAGAACCCTCATCACTCGCTACATCCATAGACTCGCTCCTCGCCGCATTCATCTGCTCCTGGGCCTGACCTTCTAGGCATTTAGCCTAAAACCATAGCAGGTGTATCATGCAAGGCGTCAAGCTAGGCCAGGTTAGATAGACTTTTGGAGGAACAGTGTTAGAGAAGCAAGTTTCCAGGTGTTTAATACGAGGAAAAGATTGTGAGAGGTGGTATTTGAAGTGTAAGTGTAGGGGTGAGGATGTATTTGTGAGAGGTGGTATTTAAAGTGAGATTTAGAAAGTGTAGGGTGAGGATTTACTTGTGAGAGGTGGTATTTAAAGTGAGATTTAGAAAGTGTAGGGTGAGGATTTACTTGTGAGAGGTGGTATTTAAAGTGAGATTTAGAAAGTGTAGGGTGAGGATTTATTTGTGAGAGGTGGTATTTAAGATGTGATTAAGTAAGTGTAGGGAGAGGATTTATTTGTGAGAGGTGGTATTTAAAGCGTGAATTAAGAAAGTGTAGGGAGAGGATTTATTTGTGAGAGGTGGTATTTAAGATGTGATTAAGAAAGTGTAGGGAGAGGATTTATTTGTGAGAGGTGGTATTTAAAGCGTGAATTAAGAAACTGCAAGAGCTACCTTATTCACCTACCCAACCAAACGTCGCTTACCTTTAAAGTTGTGGCGAACTCCTCAAACGTGACCAACAGTTCCCCAAACATTGAGCCAACCACAAGCTTCTTCCAATTCAAATCAGCCAGGAAAGGACTGGGGGACAGAGGAAAACATTTAGATCAACCAGGATAGGACTGGGGATAGAAGGAAAACATTTTGATCAACCAGGATAGGACTGGGGAATAGAGGAAAACATTTAGATCAACCAGGATAGGACTGGGGAATAGAGGAAAACATTTAGATCAACCAGGATAGGACTGGGGATAAGAGGAAAACATTTTGATCAACCAGGATAGGACTGGGGAATAGAAGAAAACATTTAGATCAACAAGGGTAGGACTGGGGAATAGAGGCTAACATTTAGATCAACCAGGATAGGACTGGGGAATAGAGGCAAACATTTAGATCAACAAGGGTAGGACAGGAGACAACAGTAACCAACCTACCTAAATAACAGCTTCTTACAGCTACAACAGCTGAACCTACCTAAACAACAGCTTCTTACAGCTACAACAACTGAACCTACCTAAACAACAGCTTCTGACAGCCACAACAACTGAACCTACCTAAACAACAGCTTCTGACAGTCCACAACAGCTGAACCTACCTAAACAACAGCTTCTGGCATCTACAACAGCTGAACCTACCTAAACAACAGCTTCTGACAGCTTCTGACAGCCACAACAGCTGAACCTACCTAAACAACAGCTTCTGACAGCCACAACAGCTAAACCTTCCTAAACAACAGCTTCTGACAGCTACAACAGCTGAACCTACCTAAACAACAGCTTCTGACAGCCACAACAGCTGAGCCTACCTAAACAACAGCTTCTGACAGCAACAACAGCTAAAGCTACCTAAACAACAGCTTCTGACAGCCACAACAGCTGAACCTACCTAAACAACAGCTTCTGACAGCCACAACAGCTGAACCTACCTAAACAACAGCTTCTGACAGCTACAACAGCTGAACCTACCTAAACAGCAGCTTCTGACAGCTACAACAGCTGAACCTACCTAAACAACAGCTTCTGACAGCTACAACAACTGAACCTACCTAAACAACAGCTTCTGACAGCCACAACAGCTGAACCTACCTAAACAACAGCTTCTGACAGCTACAACAGCTGAACCTACCTAAACAACAGCTTCTGACAGCCACAACAGCTGAACCTACCTAAACAACAGCTTCTGACAGCTACAACAGCTGAACCTACCTAAACAGCAGCTTCTGACAGCCACAACAGCTGAACCTACCTAAACAACAGCTTCTGACAGCTACAACAGCTGAACCTACCTAAACAGCAGCTTCTGACAGCCACAACAGCTGAACCTACCTAAACAACAGCTTCTGACAGCTACAACAACTGAACCTACCTAAACAACAGCTTCTGACAGCCACAACAGCTGAACCTACCTAAACAACAGCTTCTGACAGCTACAACAGCTGAACCTACCTAAACAACAGCTTCTGACAGGCACAACAACTGAACCTACCTAAACAACAGCTTCTCGGTCTCCTCAGCGAACAAGTCGTAGAAGGCCTCCTGCTGCTCGCTGCTCTCGATGTTTAAGATTTTGGTCCGCAGCTCGTCCACAGAGAAGTTGTAGTTGGTCAGGTTGACGGGGGCCACCCTCAGCCTCGAGCTGGACATAGCCTCGTGTTTACTCTGCAGGTGTCTCTTGTAGCTCTTGGCGTCCGGGTTGCACTTCCTCTCCAGGAAGTTTGCCCAGATCATCACGTTGACGCTCAAGTCTCCCGTCTGTTTCAGCCGGGGGTACTCTTCCGCCGCTTCCTCTTCCTCCACGGTCGTATCGTCTTTCACATACTCATCATCTTCTTCGTCTTCTTCGTGGGTGGTGTACATGTCCTCGTCTTCCGTTTGTTCATCCGCTGTGGTGGACTCGGCGACAGTGCTGTCTGGCTGTTCAGATACGCTGTCTGACGAGGTACCAAACGCCTTGATGCTCGTGTCGAGGACGATGTTCTTTAGGAAGCTGAACTTCTGCTCCATCTCTTGCTTCTGTTTTGTTAATTCCAGAACCTCCAGCATTTTACCCAGACGAAAGACTTCTGCCGTGTGGTATTTAAATCTTGGGTTCAACACACTGAACAGGTCCGGTCCTTCGTGAACGATTAGAAATCTTTTCTCATTTAATGGGACCTCTTTGAGCGGCAGGTAGTTGATAATTTTCTCCACTCTGTGTTCGACGATGGCGTTGCCCTGTCGTTTCTCCAGCATTTTGTCAATGGCTAACACAGCGTCCCTGTACATGTACATGACATGGGTGATGCCCCACAGTCGCAGGATGATCTCGGCGCCATTTTCAAGGACTGGCCGTGTCACCAGAAGCCAGTCCTGTGAGTAGAACCCCCGCTCGATACTTCTGTAAACAAACGGCACCCTGAAGGTCTCACCTGGAAGTATTACACCTCCACCGTTATCGAAGACAAACCTGACGACTTTATATTTATCCAGCTGAAATGTATCGGGCCTTTCTTTCAACTGCCAGTTAAAATATATAGCGGTAGTGCCGGTGTTTGTCATTTTTATGGAGCTGATTCCGTTCTTTCCTAAGCTGGCCACGCATCCCATCTCAATGATCCAAGTCTTCAGCTTCCTCTCAGGCTCTTGGGACCAGGTCATGTCGGCGTTGCCAAGCACCAGACCCACGTGACACTGCACCCCTTCATCCACGATCTCCTGCGTGCCGCCCCTCTGCGTGTGGGTTGTGGGGGAGTAGGACGGCTCCTTCAGTTCATCCTGCGTCGGCGTCCCAGTCAAGAAGGGCTCCGGCGGGTGCTCCACCCTGTTGACGATCCCCAGCTGCGGCATAGACGGGAAAAACCCCCCACACCCCCACTGGGGGCACGTGAAGGGCAGCTGGTTCACAGATCGGGCAGATATGCCCAGCTTGTTGAATATGACGTCAGTCACCTCAGGACAGCCAATCCAGTCCGTCTCTATGGTAAAGCCTTTCTCCCTCTTCGTCTTGATGGGGATCAGGCCATATTTGGTACATCTCGGTACGTTCACAAAACCTCGCTCCGACTCCGTGCCGGTACAGACGGCTCTCTCCATACGCATGATAGACCTTTCCTCCCCGCACGGTAAAATATTGGGCAGAAGTTGTTTTTTCCGTAGCAGCAGACTCTCGCGGTACTTGCCTGTTACAGCCATGATGTAGTTTTCTTGCTTCAACTGTTCGTCTTTCGCCTGCAAAAATAAAACTTGCTGTTATGAAAACATTAGGAACATTTTTAAACAATCTCTTGCCAAGGGAATATACGGTGAGGCTTACTTCCTGAGTATAATGGAACTACAGGACTAGGTTGTTAGCATTGCCCAACGAGGCGGCTCCCAGTAGAGACGTGGACTTAAGGGCAGCATCAAAAGTTGGACACACAACTACTGTACTGTATCTATTTTAAGGTATACAGCTAAGTGAATTGGCTTACTTATATCAGAAAAATAAAGTTATATCTTTTACTGGGGCTGTGGATATGTGCCCATCTTTTATTGGGGATATGTGCCCAACTTTGAACGAATTAACGGGATATGTGCCCAGCTTTTATTGGGGATATGTGCCCAACTTTGAACGAATTAACGGGACATGTGCCCAGCTTTGACTGACTTAATGGATATGTGCCCAGCTTTGACTGACTTAATGGATATGTGCCCAGCTTTGGTTGACTTACTAGATATGTGCCCAGCAATTATTGGGGATGTGCCCAACTTGACTGATTTAATAGAATATGTACCTAGCTTTGACTGACATAACAGGATATGTGCCAATGCTTTAACTGAAATAACGGTATAAGTGCCCGGCTCTCTACTGTCCTAGTTTTCAACTGACTTAACTTCTCAAATCGTGCCAGGTGATTGGCTTGTTTCCTCTGGCTTTCCTCCAACTGACGGTTGAGGTAAAAGCCCGTGGGTTTGATGTGCTTCAGAACTTGAATCGGCTCCGGCTCAGCGGGAAGTTCCGATGGCGCAACCCATCTAGTCATGGGCTTGTGGTTGACAATTTCAGTGCTCAGCATCAGGACTTCTTTTTCTGTCATGGTAGGGGTAAACACAAGTGGCAGGTAGTGGCAGATGGTAGTGGCAGATGGTAGTGGCAGATAGCGACAGATAGTGGCAAATGTTATTGATGGATAATGGCATATAGTGGCATGATAGTGGACGATAGCAGTGGCAGATAGATCGAAGTTACAAATCGAACTGTGTAACACTGTCCATAATGTTACTTGCGGTTGGTTTACATTTATTACAATCACACTAACGGTCAGTCTAATAATATACCACCAATAACATTTTGTTGATCTAGTCACGCCTACTACATCACACAACCACGCCTACTATACTACCCAACTACATCTACAATAAATTACAACCACGCCTACTGCACCTCACAACCACGCCTACTACACTATACAACCACGCCTACTACACCTCACAACCACGCCTACTATACTACCCAACTACATCTACAATAAATTACAACCACGCCTACTGCACTATACAACCACGCCTACTACACCTCACAACCACTCCTACTATACTACCCAACTACATCTACAATAAATTACAACCACGCCTACTACATCTCACAACCACGCCACTACACTATACAACCACGCCTATTACACTATACAACCACGCCTACTCCATTACACAACCACGCCTACTACACTATTCAACCACGCCTACTCCACTACACAACCACGCCTACTACACTATACAACCACGCCTACTACATATACAACCACGCCTACTACACTATACAACCATGCCTACTACACTACACAACCACGCCTACTACACTACACAACCACGCCTACTACACTACACAACCACGCCTACTACACTATTCAACCACGCCTACTCCACTACACAACCACGCCTACTACACTATACAACCACGCCTACTACACTATACAACCACGCCTACTACACTATACAACCACGCCTACTACATATACAACCACGCCTACTACACTATACAACCACGCCTACTCCACTACACAACCACGCCTACTACACTACACAACCACGCCTACTACACTATACAACCACGCCTACTACACTACACAACCACGCCTACTACACTATACAACCACGCCTACTACATATACAACCACGCCTACTACACTACACAACCACGCCTACTACACTATACAACCACGCCTACTACACTATACAACCACGCCTACTACACTATACAACCACGCCTACTACACTATACAACCACGCCTACTACACTATACAACCACGCCTACTACACTACACAACCACGCCTACTACACTATACAACCACGCCTACTACACTATACAACCACGCCTACTACATATACAACCACGCCTACTACACTACACAACCACGCCTACTACACTACACAACCGACCCATTACTCTTACTCACCCCAACTGCTCAGCCAACACAAAACACATTATATAACTTGTTACCTTTCAGCCTGGCGTGTCGTGGTCGCTTATCACACACGCTCGACTTTGAAAGCTCTTTGGATCTCGGCTCAATGGACATTCGGGGCAGGGCAGATGGTCTCTGACTATTGGCCCCTTTCGGCACAGTAGACATTCGCGGGTCAATTGGCACCCTTGGTGGGTCATTGGGCGCTTGTGGGTCATTGGGCGCTGGTGGGTCATTGGGCGCTGGTGGGTCATTGGGCGCTGCTGAGTCGCTGATGGTCGCATCTTGCGCGGATTCTCGGGGGCTGGGTTTCTTTTTTAAGACAAAAACTTGCCTTGTGGTGGGAGGGAGCTCAAATGTGGGTGAGAGTCGCTGGTAGGTTGGGGAGTACCTGGTGACAGTAGGTTGCGTTGGTAGGTTGTGTTGGTAGGTTATGTCAGTAGGTTGTGTTGGTCGGTTGTGTTAGTAGGTTGTGTTGGTAGGTTGTGTTGGTAGGTTGTGTTAGTAGGTTGTGTTGGTCGGTTGTGTTAGTAGGTTGTGTTGGTAGGTGTTGGTGTTGGTAAGTTGTGTTGGTAAGTTGTGTTGGTAGGTTGGGGAGTACCTGGTGACAGTAGGTTGCGTTGGTAGGTTGTGTTGGTAGGTTATGTTAGTAGGTTGTGTTGGTCGGTTGTGTTGGTAGGTTGTGTTAGTAGGTTGTGTTGGTAGGTTGTGTTGGTAGGTTGTGTTGGTAGGTTACGTTGGTAGGTTGTGTTGGTAGGTTGTGTTAGTAGGTTGTGTTGGTAGGTTGTGTTGGTAGGTTACGTTGGTAGGTTGTGTTGGTAGGTTGAGTTAGTAGGTTGTGTTGGTAGGTTATGTCAGTAGGTTGTGTTGGTCGGTTGTGTTGGTAGGTTGTGTTGGTAGGTTGTGTTGGTAGGTTGTGTTGGTAGGTTGTGTTGGTAGGTTGTGTTGGTAGGTTGTGTTGGTAGGTTGTGTTGGTAGGTTGTGTTGGTAGGTTATGTCAGTAGGTTGTGTTGGTCGGTTGTGTTGGTCGGTTGTGTTGGTAGGTTGTGTTGGTAGGTTGTGTTGGTAGGTTGTGTTGGTAGGTTGTGTTGGTAGGTTGTGTTGGTAGGTGTTGGTAAGTTGTGGGGAGTACCTGGTGATAATAGGTTGTGTCGGTAGGTTGGGTGTTCATAATGTGCGCGCCTACCTGAGCTCCTGATACGGATCGTGTGTAACTTCGGTGAGTACTGAGGAAGACGGGATAGACTCGGTGACTGTGAGGGTTATGGACTTCGCCTTATTCAGCTTTTTAGGACCGCCTTTAGATCCCATCTCAGCGGTGGGTCCGGCCTAGAGCTAACATGGCGGACTTTTGTTTACTTCCGTTTTGTTCGACCAACGCCACTGCGCACTGTTCACAAAACACCATAAATATCACTAAGACAGTTTTTTTTTCTCCTCATTGAGTAACGTTTGATGCTCATTAAGCTGTTAGTATTGATAAACACAAAGCTACAATTTGTTGGAAATTCATTAAGACATGAAACACATGCATGTTTGAGATCATTTATATTTTATTAAATTTCTTCAAATTTTTCACAAAAGTATTTCCTTCATTTAAGCACTCAATCCGTCCTTTATACTTTCGCGATATCTGTAAACAAGAATGATAGTAAGATTTTAATGTGCTTTGATACGGTGTTTCTTTTGTGGGATAAACCACACAAAAGAAACACACTATGGATATCTTTTTTATTGGAAACTTTTTCAAACGAAAGGAAAACGTCACAGTGATGTGTCCTTATAGAAGTGTCACAAACAGAACCTACCTTTAAGGACAACCTTTTGTCTTACTAGTGTGCCCTTATAGAAGTTTCACAAACAAAACTTACCTTTGAGGACAACTTCTTGTCCTGCTAGTGTGCCCTTATAGAAGTTTTACCAACAAAACCTACCTTCAAGGACAACTTCTTGTCTTACTAGTGTGCCCTTATAGAAGTTTCACAAACAAAACTTACCTTTGAGGACAACTTCTTGTCCTGCTAGTGTGCCCTTATAGAAGTTTTACCAACAAAACCTACCTTCAAGGACAACTACTTGTCCTGCTAGTGTGCCGTTATTGACAGCTCACAATGCTCGCCATAGACTCCAACAGGACAGTGGCAGTACGGGAAGTCTAGTGGTGAGAAGCAGGACCCGCCATTCAAACAGGTAAAGTGGTGACACGGATCAACATCTGTAGGGGGACAATCTAGACTATCAACATTACTATCAACATCTGTAGGGGGACAATCTAGACTATCAACATTACTATCAACATTTGTAGGGGGACAATCTAGACTATCAACCTTACTATCAACATCTGTAGGGGGACAATCTACATTATCAACCTTACTATCAACATCAGTAGGGGGACAATCTAGACTATCAACATTACTATCAACATCTGTAGGGGGACAATCTAGACTATCAACATTACTATCAACATCTGTAGGGGGACAATCTAGACTATCAACCTTACTATCAACATCAGTAGGGGGACAATCTAGACTATCAACATTACTATCAACATCTGTAGGGGGACAATCTAGACTATCAACCTTACTATCAACATCTGTAGGGGGACAATCTACACTACACTATCAACCTTACTATCAACATCTGTAGGGGAACAATCTAGACTATCAACCAACACTAACAACAGTTTTAGGTCTTGTTTAATTTCATGGAAACTTTTACTTTGACGAACTTTCTGACTAGTCCAGTTTTTCTGGGACAACTGACTCCTGTCGACAACTGACTCCTGTCGACTCATACAAAAAATGGCGACTAACACCTTAATACCGACAAAGCTTGATAAACAGTTAAAAATAGTGTGGCTATTTCTTACAAAACCTAAAGTAAACCGGGTCAAAAATGGACGTGACCTTGTCTCTTAACGACCTTGATCTCACATCGGACACCAGTGAACCCCACCGGGCAGACACAGATGACGGTGCCGCCCACGCCTGCGGTACAGAATCCCATGTTCAGACATCTGAGACTGTCGCAGGCATCAAACAGGGCTGGGGATTCACAGTTTCTAAATTATTCACAGTTTCTAAAGTATTCACAGTTTCTAAATTATTCACATTTTTTAAATTAATCACATTTTCTAAATTAATCACATCTTCTAAATTATTCACTGTTACGTTCGGGTTAGTCTCTGACAAACAACAACGCTTCGTGTCTAACTTCTATACTTTTATTCCGTCTCCAATGTGTACATTTTAGCGTGGCCCTCGTCCTACCCGCTAGCAACACCCGCTGACTGACCCCCTACAATCGTTCACTCGCCCTTTTATACCCGCATTCGACCTTGGGATTACAATACATAAACACACAAGGTGAACTCCACTCACACACGCACTCTCCCCTAGTTCTAGACTATTCTAACCTATTCTAATCTGATCTACAACTGACCCTCTTAACATTCACATTTTATAAATTATTCACATTGAACTAAATAATTCACATTGAACTAAAGAATTCACATCTTCTAAATTATTCACATTGTCTAAATTATTCACATTTTCTAAATTATTCACATTTTCTTAATTATTCGCATTTTCTAAATTATTCACATTTTCTAAATTATTCACATTTTCTAAATTATTCACATTGAACACTTCTGGAAAAGCTTGTATGAATTGCAGGATTGATTACTGTATAATAAATATTAATCAAAACATGTATAGTTTGTTTGTAACTTCGATATGTACTCACCTCACCTGAAATATGGTCACCACATCAAATACTCACCAGTGTATCGTGTCACCACGAATATGGTCACCACATCAAATACTTACCAGTGGAGTGTGTCACCACGAATATAGTCACCACATCAAATACTCACCAGTGTAGCGTGTCACCACGAATATGGTCACCACATCAAATACTCACCAGTGTAGCGTGTCACCACGAATATAGTCACCACATCAAATACTCACCAGTTTAGGTGTCACCACGAATATGGTCACCACATCAAATACTTACCAGTGGAGTGTGTCACCACGAATATAGTCACCACATCAAATACTCACCAGTGTAGCGTGTCACCACGAATATGGTCACCACATCAAATACTCACCAGTGTAATGTGGGTCACCAGAGAATATGGTCACCACATCAAATACTCACCAGTGTAGCGTGTCACCACGAATATGGTCACCACATCAAATACTCACCAGTGTAATGTGGGTCACCAGAGAATATGGTCACCACATCAAATACTCACCAGTGTAGCGTGTCACCAGAGAATATGGTCACCACATCAAATACTCACCAGTGTAATGTGGGTCACCAGAGAATATGGTCACCACATCAAATACTCACCAGTGTAGCGTGTCACCAGAGAATATGGTCACCACATCAAATACTCACCAGTGTAGCGTGTCACCAGAGAATATGGTCACCACATCAAATACTCACCAGTGTAATGTGGGTCACCAGGAATATAGTCACCACATCAAATACTCATCAGTGTAGCGTGTCACCACGAATATGGTCACCACATCAAATACTCACCAGTGTAATGTGGGTCACCAGAGAATATGGTCACCACTTTAAATACTTACCAGCGGAGAGTGTCGCCGCCTGTATCACCAGAAGAATGACCACAACAAATCCTTTCATTTCGATGTTTCAACCAACCCTATAGATGTCGCCTGATGTTTAGACCAACCCTATAGATGTCGCCTGTTTCAGACCTGCTGGTTCTGGCATCAATCAAAACCTTATCGGTGAGACCGGATACTAGCTCTGTGACCTACACAGGATACTAGCTCTGTGACCTAACATGTGTCCCTATCACGTGACACCAAACACACCTGTGTTGTGACGTGACATAATGTATGTGTGATTTTTGCCTGACGTGATCTTACACGGAAAGTAGTCTACAGAAGAATGATATCTGCTCTTTACTAATCGATTTGTTGTTCTTTTTTGTTTTTGCTGGTTTTTTTTGTTTTGTTTTGTTTTTTCTTACAGTCTTATTATAATTAGTGCGACTGTAAAAAATTATATTATCTACTATTTTAATTCTTTTCGTACAAAACGAATGTGTGTTGTTGCTGATAATGTTAATTAAAGTGGTCCATGCAATTTAGCTACCAAACAAAATAACATTTTGATTTAACTAAATCGTGTCTTTAATATCAATTTTTAAAACAGCGCCGAGAATCTGATATTTATAGCAGCGTGTTTATAGCAGAGAGACCTTAGATTTAATTACACACATTACCTATGTTGTAGGCATTGGCAGTCAATGACGTCACACAATTCAGACTAATGACAATGTGATACGTGGGATGTGAAACGTTTTCGAAGTTATGGACGCCATTTTGGAGTCTTGACTTTTTTGTGTGACGGTTTGGATGGGGGTGAGGTGATTTTAAAAGGCTAATATTGCGTGATGTCATTTACAAACAAAATAGACTTAAAAAGGTATTCTGCACAAGAATGCTCTTAGCCGACGAGTCTCCATGTCAGTTGTACATACAATCACAAAAAAACAGAAGAGAATTTGTTTCTGTAGGTTTTGATTTTATTGTGTTGTTGAGCAGACTCCGCCTGCCCAAAATTAGGTGCTAGTAGTAGGCTGTCTCTTGACAAAACTTGGACGTCAAATGTCTGGTAGAAATTTGCTCCGAATGGTGAAGCAGTTGACCTTAGGCCTATAGGTAGATAAAAAGTGTGCCAGAAAAAAAATTATTTTTTTTTTCGGTCAAAATATTTTTTTTACTTTTATGTTGAACTCAGAATTGAATGATATAAAGTATGAGCAGAGACACTAGAGCTAACGCTACTTTAATTCACTTTTGACACCATGTAAACAAAACTGATCAGAGTTCTGGTGAAAGGAAAGCTTTTCACGTTTTGACACCAAGTAAACTGTTATTTCAGCCAATTATTTCTTCCATAGTGTACCCGACTGAACACACCAATTACTTATTCTTAAAAATATACTTACTACGTTTCTATACCAGAGGTCAGAGGTGAGACTGATTCTGGCAGTGGTCGCCAGTGTAGCCAGCAGGACACAGGCAGTATGGTGCATCAGCTGGGGCGGTGCACTGACCACCGTTGAAACAGGTAAAGTGCACGCATGGGTCTCGTGATATTTCTATTGAGGAGTCGGCCAAGTTATTAGAAATAAAAATACTAAAACATAATGTTATATCTTAAATACAATCCAATATAAGAAATTGCAGTATGGCAACTCTCCTTGACTTTGAAGAAGACGAAGCTGCCAGATAATATTTTTAATTTAGAAAGCAAATAAAAATATAACGCGGGGTGAAGGTGTGTCATAGTTACCGAAGGTTTGACAATGAGTTCCAGAGAAGCCTGGGGCACACATGCAGATTGGGGCATCAGCGGGCGCCCCGCAGGTTCCTCCGTTGTGGCATTGGTAGCCGCTACAGGGATCCCACTGGGCTGTGAGCAGAGGAGGCATTAGTGGGAGCTACGGGCGTGAGATTTACAGGGGTGGGGGGGGCTTAGTGGGAGCTACGGGCGTGAGATTTACAGGGGGTGGGGGGGGGGCTTAGTTAGTGGGAGCTACGGACGTGAGATTTACAGGGGGTGGGGGGCTTAGTGGGAGCTACGGGCGTGAGATTTACAGGGGGTGGGGGGGGGGGACTCAGTGGCAGCCATGGGCGTGAGATTGACAGGGGGGCGGGGCTTAGTGGGAGCTACGGGCGGTGGGCAGTGGGAGCAGAGGCGTAGCGAGGGGGCGCGCCAAATTGAAAGTTTGAGGGGGGGGTGTGCAAATGAAAAGTTCGAGCGGGGGTGCAAATCGAAAGTTTGAGGGGGGGGTGCAAATGAAAAGTTCGAGGTGGGGGTGCAAATCGAAAGTTTTGTCCCCGGGCGCCGGGAGGGGTCGCTACGCCTCTGAGTGGGAGCTACGGGCGTGAGATTTACAATGGGTAGGTGGGTGGCTTAGTTAGTGGGATATACGGGTATCAGATTGTTCAACTAGACAATATAAAATTTTCAAATCTGAGCAGTTGACAGTCTTGTGCAATTCTCTATGAACACTTGCTAAAAATCCAGAACTATTTCCGCCTTTGTGTTTGGCGGTCCTTTGTTCGCTTCAAAAGAAGTAAAACAGTTTCTTTGTTTCTTTCAATATTAACTGCTTAGTTATAGACTTTGTCTAGCTCAATACTCTGCCGTCATTATTTTCTTACAACAGATAGATCTAGTAAACAGTATGAGTAAACACACTGACGCACAGTTCAGAGTTGACTAAAAGAAAGACAACGCAGACTGAAGTCAAACTAGTTAGAATCAGAGGTGTAGCGATGGGGGGGGGGGGGGGGGGGGTAGGGAAGGGCATCTGTCCCCGGGCGCCGACCATAAGGGGGCGCCAAAATGGGTTGTAAATACAAATAAAAATGTCATTTTAGCTGCATTTTTGCAGTTTGAGGGGGGGGTGCAAATCGAAAAGTTGAGGGGGGTGCTTGAAAATTTGCTACAGAGGGGGGGGGCGCCAAATTGAAAGTTTGTCCCCGGGCGCCGGGAAGGGTCGTTACGCCTCTGAGTTAGAACAAGACAGCTTATAGTAATAGACGTGTACTGAACAAGTGGACGTGTTGTGAGTATCCTAGCAACGTGTGCTCGGTAAAAAAAAAAAAAAAAAAAAAGAAACAACACTAAATTGCATACAGCAAAGGTAGGAGTCAAATGTGTTGTTAATTTTTATGTGAATGTTTGGTACAATTTTAGCAGCCCACTTAAAATATTTTACTGGCTTTATCCAGGTGTACTTTAATTGCGGGGCTGGTTGAATGTATTTAACTTCTCCCCGTACTGTAAAACATCTTAAATAAAAAGCCTTAAATTAGCGACTCAGACCTGTAGTAATGAAGATAATATTCTCTCTACAAATATAAGAAATACGGGTCACTGATCATTCTTTTGATACCATTCATCGGTTCAAGAATAAAAACAAAAGCAGCTAAAAAACGATAAATAGTCAAGAATTGTTGCTTATTATTTTTAGTCTGCATGACTGCCAGATTTACTACTAGTTAACGTTTTTACTACTTGTAAGTCTGGAAGAAACAATGCTTGTGTGTGTGTGGTTGACGCCAACACCCCGGACGAATTTTAAAAATCTAATTAGAATTTATATAGAAAATAGATATTTAACCAGTGTCCGCCCCTATCCCACCCCCACTCGAGTTTCAAGCAGCGGCGTAGCGAGGTCGGGTGCCACCCGGTGCGGCATTTAATGGTGTCACCCCCAAGAGGCACCCCCCCCCCCCTCAAACTTTTGATTTGCACCCCCCCCCCTCAAGTTTTTCTCTATATATTGTGCTATTTGTTGCCTTGGTGTCACCCCCCTAGATGGTGCCACCCGGTGCGGTCCGCATCCCCCGCCCCCCCCCCCCCCTCGCTACGCCTCTGGTTTCAAGTGCCCCTCCCGGCAAAATGTCTGAAGAACCACTGTTCTCAAGTAACACGTTACTTCCCTCTGACAATGTTTGTCTGAATGGTGCCCCTTATCTAGATGTTATGTCCCTTACGTTGTAGTGGTCATGCATAGCTACTGAGATTTACACACAGAAGTATTATGTAAGCGTTATGTAAATAAGTAATGTGTAATTTTTCTTAATATAAAATTCTGATTTTTTTAAATTTTACATTTTAAAAGTTTAAATTTTATTTATTTTAATAGCATTTTAATTAATTTGATGAGATACGGTGATATTAATTAAATATAAACATATATTTTGTTTCTGTAAGAATTTATTTAATGTTTTCAAATTTTAAATTCCCCCCCCCCCACCAAGTGACTAAATAAGTAAATAAACAATGAAACTAGGTCTACTTGCCGTGAGTCAGTACAGAGCAGGTGACAATGGCGACGATGACTGCTGTTGGTATCCTCAACATTTTGGTTGTTTCAGGCGCGTGTGTGACGCAGAACTGAGTCTTTCAGTTAAATACCTCACGGCCTTATCTCTACACACTGGTAGCATTACGTCTACAGTACGTGGGAAAAACACAGACGGCTTTCTGGTTTCTTGAGCTCGGTGATTGGAGTAACCGCTGTTTCAAACTGCTCGACTCTAGATTACGCTCAAACATGCATGTTTCATAGATGTAGTCCCGCAACGTTCCGGCTTAGTTACGAATAATTCGGTCATTACAATGTATTTCAATAAACTTTTTAGTGCTCGTCTGTAATTGATGTCACACTCCTGGGGGGGGGGGGGGAGGAAGGGGTTCCTAATTTGGTGACGGGGGGGGGGGGGGGGCGTGACGTAATTTACAGATGACCACTAATAATATTAAAAATAGCTAGCGTCGCTGTCATTTATATTTTTTATTATGTCCCTTTATTTTTACACCTGCAATAATGGCACTAAATGATGAATTGACGACGTTAGATTCGTTAGAAGGAGCGCTCAACTGTGACGTCACTTAGGTAGTGACATCATTAATGGACCTTATTCCTTTCCGTAATTTTTCTTTTAGTTTAAACAGAATAAACTAATTAATCGATGGTACAATGATAAACTTCACCATTAGAAATAATTTAATAAATGTATTTAATATATGAAAACAGTAGCAACACAAATGAAATAAATAAAACCCTATAAGATAAACATTTTATGAGCAATGAGTAGATATTGTATAAAAAAATATTGTAGAATTTTTTTTAAAAATATGCCATGAAAGTTTAAAATACTGGTTTATGTTTTATATTTTTATACAGTATCACATATGAGCTGGCTGTGATGTCTTCTACTTATGTTAAAAACATCACAACATAAAGACGCATGAAACAGTTGTAAAACAAATGAAATCCTGACTATAACATAGCTAGCAAACAAAATTATCATCTCAGATACATAATAATGTAATTAGACCTTGTAAAAAAATATGAAAATGTCATCTGTAAGCTGCATCATGAAATAGCGCAGATAAGACATGAAGATTTACAATATCACAACGGTTGTGGCACTCCAGTAGGACAGCACTAAATATTCAAAATGGCCTCGTATTTTCCATCGTATGAGCCAAGTCCAGTTAGATGGATGCGCCTGACACTTTCTCCCAAATTGCCTTGAACTACGTATGTGCAGTCATAAGGTTCACAGTGTCTAAAGCACAAAGAACAAGACAGAAGCTTTATCAGATTATTTGTAATCAGAAATATTTAAATCTATCTCTATACAATATACACAAATGTTGCTTTATGATCACAAAAGCTTTAGAAATTTTACACGTATTAAAGTAAAAATATCCTTACTTGTTAGTAGAATAGATATTAGCATCGAAACCTTAACTGCCCTGGCACTGAAGTAGGCACTAATGACATCATTTACCTGGCATTGAAGTAGGCACTAATGACATTTACCTGGCATTCAAGTGGAACTAATGACATCATTTACCTGGCATTGAAGTAGGCACTAATGACATCATTTACCTGGCATTGAAGTAGGCACTAATGACATTTACCTGGCATTCAAGTGGAACTAATGACATCATTTACCTGGCATTGAAGTAGGCACTAATGACATCATTTACCTGGCATTGAAGTAGGCACTAATGACATCATTTACCTGGCATTGAAGTAGGCACTAATGACATCTATTACCTGGCATTGAAGTAGGCACTAATGACGTCATTTACCTGGCATTGAAGTAGGCACTAATGACGTCATTTACCTGGCATTGAAGTAGGCACTAATGACGTCATTTACCTGGCATTGAAGTAGGCACTAATAACATTTACCTGGCATTGAAGTAGGCACTAATAACATTTACCTGGCATTGAAGTAGGCACTAATGACACCATTTACCTGGCATTGAAGTAGGCACTAATGACATCATTTACCTGGCATTGAAGTAGGCACTAATGACATCTATTACCTGGCATTGAAGTAGGCACTAATGACATCATTTACCTGGCATTGAAGTAGGCACTAATGACACCATTTACCTGGCATTGAAGTAGGCACTAATGACATTATTTACCTGGCATTGAAGTAGGCACTAATGACACCATTTACCTGGCATTGAAGTAGGCACTAATGACATCATTTACCTGGCATTGAAGTAGGCACTAATGACATCATTTACCTGGCATTGAAGTAGGCACTAATGACATCATTTACCTGGCATTGAAGTAGGCACTAATGACATCATTTACCTGGCATTGAAGTAGGCACTAATGACATCTATTACCTGGCATTGAAGTAGGCACTAATGACATCTATTACCTGGCATTGAAGTAGGCACTAATGACATCTTTTACCTGGCATTGAAGTAGGCACTAATCACATCATTTACCTGGCATTGAAGTAGGCACTAATGACACCATTTACCTGGCATTGAAGTAGGCACTAATGACATCATTTACCTGGCATTGAAGTAGGCACTAATGACATCATTTACCTGGCATTGAAGTAGGCACTAATGACACCATTTACCTGGCATTGAAGTAGGCACTAATGACATCATTTACCTGGCATTGAAGTAGCCACTAATGACATCATTTACCTGGCATTGAAGTAGGCACTAATGACATCATTTACCTGGCATTGAAGTAGGCACTAATGACATCATTTACCTGGCATTGAAGTAGGCACTAATGACACCATTTACCTGGCATTGAAGTAGGCACTAATGACATCATTTACCTGGCATTGAAGTAGGCACTAATGACATCATTTACCTGGCATTGAAGTAGGCACTAATGACATCTATTACCTGGCATTGAAGTAGGCACTAATGACATCATTTACCTGGCATTGAAGTAGGCACTAATGACATCTATTACCTGGCATTGAAGTAGGCACTAATGACATCATTTACCTGGCATTGAAGTAGGCACTAATGACATCATTTACCTGGCATTGAAGTAGGCACTAATGACATCTATTACCTGGCATTGAAGTAGGCACTAATGACATCATTTACCTGGCATTGAAGTAGGCACTAATGACATCATTTACCTGGCATTGAAGTAGGCACTAATGACACCATTTACCTGGCATTGAAGTAGGCACTAATGACATCATTTACCTGGCATTGAAGTAGGCACTAATGACATTATTTACCTGGCATTGAATTAAGCACTAATGACACCATTTACCTGGCATTGAAGTAGGCACTAATGACATCATTTACCTGGCATTGAAGTAGGCACTAATGACATCATTTACCTGGCATTGAAGTAGGCACTAATGACATCATTTACCTGGCATTGAAGTAGGCACTAATGACATCATTTACCTGGCATTGAAGTAGGCACTAATGACATCATTTACCTGGCATTGAAGTAGGCACTAATGACATCATTTACCTGGCATTGAAGTAGGCACTAATGACATCATTTACCTGGCATTGAATTAAGCACTAATGACACCATTTACCTGGCATTGAAGTAGGCACTAATGACATCATTTACCTGGCATTGAAGTAGGCACTAATGACATCATTTACCTGGCATTGAAGTAGGCACTAATGACATCATTTACCTGGCATTGAAGTAGGCACTAATGACATCATTTACCTGGCATTGAAGTAGGCACTAATGACATCTATTACCTGGCATTGAAGTAGGCACTAATGACACTATTTACCTGGCATTGAAGTAGGCACTAATGACATCACTTACCTGGCATTGAAGTAGGCACTAATGACATCATTTACCTGGCATTGAAGTAGGCACTAATGACACCATTTACCTGGCATTGAAGTAGGCACTAATGACACTATTTACCTGGCATTGAAGTAGGCACTAATGACATCATTTACCTGGCATTGAAGTAGGCACTAATGACATCATTTACCTGGCATTGAAGTAGGCACTAATGACACCATTTACCTGGCATTGAAGTAGGCACTAATGACATCATTTACCTGGCATTGAAGTAGGCACTAATGACACCATTTACCTGGCATTGAAGTAGGCACTAATGACATCATTTGCCTGGCATTGAAGTAGGCACTAATGACATCATTTACCTGGCATTGAAGTAGGCACTAATGACATCATTTACCTGGCATTGAAGTAGGCACTAATGACACCATTTACCTGGCATTGAAGTAGCCACTAATGACATCATTTACCTGGCATTGAAGTAGGCACTAATGACATTATTTACCTGGCATTGAATTAAGCACTAATGACACCATTTACCTGGCATTGAAGTAGGCACTAATGACATCATTTACCTGGCATTGAAGTAGGCACTAATGACATCATTTACCTGGCATTGAAGTAGGCACTAATGACATCATTTACCTGGCATTGAAGTAGGCACTAATGACATCATTTACCTGGCATTGAAGTAGGCACTAATGACATCATTTACCTGGCATTGAAGTAGGCACTAATGACACCATTTACCTGGCATTGAAGTAGGCACCAATGACATCATTTACCTGGCATTGAAGTAGGCACTAATGACATCATTTACCTGGCATTGAAGTAGGCACTAATGACATCATTTACCTGGCATTGAAGTAGGCACTAATGACATCATTTACCTGGCATTGAAGTAGGCACTAATGACATCATTTACCTGGCACTGAAGTAAGCACTAATGACATCTATTACCTGGCATTGAAGTAGGCACTAATGACATCATTTACCTGATATTGAAGTAGGCACTAATGACACCATTTACCTGGCATTGAAGTAGGCACTAATGACATCATTTACCTGGCATTGAAGTAGGCACTAATGACATCATTTACCTGATATTGAAGTAGGCACTAATGACACCATTTACCTGGCATTGAAGTAGGCACTAATGACATCATTTACCTGGCACTGAAGTAAGCACTAATGACATCTATTACCTGGCATTGAAGTAGGCACTAATGACATCATTTACCTGATATTGAAGTAGGCACTAATGACACCATTTACCTGGCATTGAAGTAGGCACTAATGACATCATTTACCTGGCATTGAAGTAGGCACTAATGACATCATTTACCTGATATTGAAGTAGGCACTAATGACACCATTTACCTGGCATTGAAGTAGGCACTAATGACATCATTTACCTGGCACTGAAGTAAGCACTAATGACATCTATTACCTGGCATTGAAGTAGGCACTAATGACATCATTTACCTGGCATTGAAGTAGGCACTAATGACATCATTTACCTGGCATTGAAGTAGGCACCAATGACATCATTTACCTGGCATTGATGTAGGCACTAATGACACCATTTACCTGGCATTGAAGTAGGCACTAATGACAGTCTTGCTATTGCTGACGTGTGTGATGTAAGCCTCCAGCGTTCCTTGATTGGGTTCAATCAGAAAAGCTTCACTACCATCATAGGCATCATCAATCTGTTGTTCTGGAATTTAAAACACGTTTTGTGTACACAACCCAAAGCATGTTTGAGTACACAGCTTAAAACATGATAGTGTACATAGCCTAAATATGTTTATGTACACACTTAAAATTGTTTGTGTACACAGCCTAGAATTGTTTATGTACACAGCTGAAAATGTTTATGTACACTTTTTAAAATTGTTTATGTAAGTCTAGAATTGTTTATGTACACACCTAAAATTATTTGTGTACACAGCCTAATATGTTTGTGTACACCACCTTAAAACATGATTGTATACATAACTGACACGCGCTACAACACGTCCACAACCGACCTGGTGTGATGGTCCAGTAGCTGTGAGAGGCTGACGTGTTCTCTATTGTAAACTCCATCTTCCTGGTCTGACCCACCAGACAGATGCCAAAGTCTAGGATGTTGGTGGACAGCTCAAACTGAGGCACTGAGAGAATTCCCAGCAGAGGAATTTTCTGGGGAATAAACAGAAGTCAACGACCTCGGGTTAGCAAGATAGGCTAGTAATGGTGGGTGTCAACAACCCCAGTTAGCCAATGGGATTAGCTTGCAGTGGTGGGAAACATGAAACGTATAACAAAAACATTATTTCAGATGTGGAGAGTTTATCATAGTTTATGCATCACCTCCTCAGAACTAGATTAACTCCATTTTTCAAAAATGTTTACAACAAATCATAATAGTTTGTTTTCCTTAACATTTCTATATGAAACAATTGGGGAAATAGAATTGTTGTGTAATAATGGTTAGAAATTTGGACAGAAAATTTTTTCCCATAATGCCTTGGTGAAAGATACTGGTCTATAAATCTCTATAAATGGAGTTAAAAAATTCTGGTTCTAGGGAAGCAACATAGATGACACTTGTGTCTAAAGACGTTAGTCCTACAAGTACCTGTTTCATGCCATTGCTGAACCTGACAACCATCTGCTTGTAGATCTCAAGTTTCTGGTCTTTGAGGGTCAGGAAATCTTTAGAATAAAGCACTGCTTGGGACACCTTCAGTGCAACTTTTACCTGGGGGGAGACATTATAATTCATGGCAGCATTATTCATTAGCCAGGTATTTGAATGTTTAAATAAAGAAAGTGCCATTCAGGCAGAGTCCATTTTTCAGGTAAAGTAGAGTTTATCTGTGTTATTTTACTTTACCATAAGAAGAGCACTAAGCAGTCACTTTTGGTTTCCCCTTTAAACCAGGTACCCATTAGAGCTGAGTAGACTCAAGGATCCATGAGTTCTCTAGTTCTTCTGGATAATAGTTGTGTGCTCTTCCACTCAACCATTGCAGCAACTATTTTTAACTTGTGGGTCACACAAAAATTGTGTAAATAAACTGGAAACATATTTGTCAAAATTAATATATTTCCTTGACTAGATCTATCTATCATGTTCCAGCTTATTAAAAATTGTGTGTAAAGTTTTTACCAGTAGATTTTTCTGTTGATTCAATAAACATGTCTGTCTGAACAAAAAAATTGTGTGTAAAGAATTTACCAGCAGGTTTTGTTGTGGATTCAATAATCATGCTAGGTTTGTCTGAACCAGCTATTTATAAAAAAATTGTGTGTAAAGAATTTACCAGCAGGTTTTGCTGGGGATTCAATGAACATGCCTGGTTTGTCTGAGCTAGCTATTTATAAAAAAATTGTGTGTAAAGAATTTACCAGCAGGTTTTGTTGTGGATTCAGTAATCGTGCCTGGTTTGTCTAAGCCTGATATTTATAAAAAAAATTGTGTGTTAAGAATTTACCAGCAGGTTTTGCTGTGGATTCAATGAACATGGCAGAGTTTCAGTGGCCATCTTGTTCTCATCCCCTCTTTTGGTGGTCTCAAGGTTGGTCAGCACAAAGGGATCTGATACCTTGATCTTGAAGGTCAGTGGGGTCAGGGTGTTGTTTGTGAACATCACTGAAGACACTTGCAGGGATTCTTTCTGAAGCTGGAGACAGCAGTAAAAAAATATCTCAGTCAAGTTTGAAATTCTGAGACAAGATTCATATTTTGAGAAATAAATTATTATGAACAAATATTTGGCTTTTATTGTATAAAACTACAAAACCTGGCCATTCTTCATGATGTCACTCATTGCCCCTCTGAAAATCATTCCCTCATCATCTGTCTCCTCTATAGTCAGTCTGTATAAAAACAATATCATAAGTCATTTTAAACTGAAGAAAATATTACATTTAGTAAAAATTAAGTCAAGAAATTTGTTTTTTTTAAAGTTTGGTGCGCCACATGTGGTTTATTTGAAATCATTTTAAAAATGCTGAGTAAGCATCATGGCAAAGAGGTGGTGTGGTCAGCACTATGCACAGGTGCCTTTACTTTCCCTGATGTAAGTCAGGTGCCTATTATAGATCAGTGGACTCAGGAACCTCAAATAGTCACATGTCAGCAGTGCGTTCCAAACTTGAAACTTGAAAATGCTCTACCATACAACCTGCCACCTAAGTGTAAGTTTTGCTTAAACACTTTGATCTTACAATGCCATCAGCCATGTTTGTTTCTCATATGGACATGAATATAGCTACACAAATATTTTTTAAATACTTACAGAGCTGGTTTGAGATTTGCAGTGAAATCAATTCTCAGCTGATCTGCCTCATAGCCCTGCTTTCTTCTCACTTTAGTATTGCAATGTTCCTGAACATCCAGTTTAAAAATACAATGAATTAAAAATCATTAATTACTACCACTTTCCTAAACATCCAGTTTAAAATACATTGAATAAAAGACATTTAGTGCTGCCACTTTCTCAAACATTTAACTATAACATTATAATTAAATACCAATAGGCTAAAAAAAACACAGAAGCATTGATTCGCTGGTACAAGGTATCTGATATTTCTTTCACTTTGTATATGTAAGGTGTATCAGAGTTCAACTGAACTTACAGCTTTAAAAAAGTATTATTACCTTTCTTTCAGATGCAACAAACAATCATATTAATAGCTAAATGTGTATCCACTACTAAATCCTGACCTCTTTGTCTAAACTGAGATATCCAAAGGCAAATCCAGCCAAGTCCGTCTCTTCAAAAACTTCATCCGTGGATAAAGCTGTAAAAGTCAAGTCCACCGAGTTGGAGCCATGACCTGGGATGACCTGCAGGTTAAATGTCAGATTTTGTACTGTCAGAACTACACAGTTTACACTATGCTCAGATTTATGTGCATTAATCCACAATTTAGTATGTTTCCAATCTTTTATCAGTGTCTGATTCTTTTTATCTTATTGAGTTAATACATTTTGATGCAATAATTCATATTCATAAATATATTGTTTTAATATAGAAAACTTCCCAGTGTGCATAGGCTTTTTTATAGTTATACAATTTAATACAAAGTTAGAAATGAGTTCAACCTAATTAGGATACATAAAAACCTGATGGGGCAAGTGAAGTAGAGTTCTCACGTTTCTGCTATATAAGGATAATGTGGTCAGCACTATGCCAACCCACCTTTACTTTCCCTACCATGAGTCAGTTGACCATTAGAGCTAGGTGGCTCTGAGATGTTAAATGGACTTAAACCCGGATTCAAACTCAAGATTTTTGGATTAGCATTTGTATGCTCTACCATAAGACCATTCCATTATAACACAGGTTTAAAACCCAAAAAAATCTTACCAACTGTTTTGGTGTGATATTGAATGGTCGGGTTGCAATATTTCCTTCATGAGTCCTGACACAACATGTGAAAAGTTTCTCGTCAAAATCCTCTTCACCTGCCTCACAATTTTCTGCCGAGGTTTCTTTAGCAGCAGGCACTGTGCACATTTTATACACAACAATTTTATTAATTTATTTTTCAGATTTTTTAATTAATCAAGAGTCCTCATTAAAAAGAATTTAAGTAAACTTCCATGAGAATTTATACAACTGACCTGACCATTCAATTTCATTTCCTTGTTCATCAAGAAGAGGAAAACTTTCACCAAAAACTAAAATAAAATCAATGACTTTCTCCGAACTGTCCGACATTTCGAAAACTTGCCAGTCCACACGGATGTCTGACAGAAAAAATAATGATAACATATACATCATCATAACATAATAACATAGAGAATAACATAAACTAAAAATATATACCCCACAACATCACCTGAAAGGTGTACCACAACATAACATCATAACATTATTCACAACATAATCTGATAATCATACCTGATTACTAAAGTTCTACCAGCAATATATGAAATCAAATTAAGTAAAACAATGTTTTGTTTGTCTATTTCTTTCAACTGTATTTTTTCTGCTTTTATTGTATTACCTACATGCTACATGTAGTTTAACTAATTAAGTCTAAAATGTGTAACCATATGAGAAAATAGGTAAAAAATCTGCATGCAGATCTTGTTTGTTAAAAGTAAAAAAAAAATTTTAATCAAATATTAAGGTTTACAGGTTTCTTACCATTAGGACTTGAGTTGTTGATTTTCAGATGTCTGGTTATAACCTTTGACCCAGCAGTATGACTTCCAAACCTGTTTATTGAATAATGATTAATTACAGGCAGATCTTCTACCATACATGTGCAAATAATCAGATAAATCTACACCAAAGGTGTGTTTTATATTAGTTATCTGATTCAAATGGCATATATGTAATGCCTTTCTTTAAACTGACAAATACCTTTTTATAACCCAACAAACACATTTATATAACCCAACATACACCTTTATATAATTTTTATAACCTGTATATTACCTGTCAAACACCTGTATATTACCAGTCAAACACCTGTATATTAGCAGACAAACACCTGTATATTACCTGTCAAACACCTGTATATTACCAGACAAACACCTGTATATAAAATCAAACACCTGTATATAACCCAACAAAACACCTGTATATTACCTGACAATGGGCTTCAAGTCAGGCTGGCCAGCTGTTAACTGAAAACTTAGAGGACATCCACAGCTGGTTAAACTGACGGGAATCCTAACTGGTTCAAGGTCATCAGCCTGTTATCAAGTTTTAGAGTTAGTTTTGTACTGAGCACTGCACACTACTGCACAGTATATCAAATATAGTCACTAAAAGGGATATAATATCATGCAAAAAGACATGATGAACCAAACAAAGACTAGGGTATGATTCAAGGCACAAGAAACTGGCAAGACAATCATTCTTAGAGATTTTAAAATTGGAAAGTGATGTAGTGACTGTACTTGAAATGTAAGCTGATCCTGGTAGGTCCCCCACATGTTGCTACAGGCAACCACTTCAATGACTTGCTCCCCATAGGGTAGCAGCTCACCACTGACTGGGCAGGGTTGAAACACTGCTCCTCTGTTTTCTTTCAGAATGAATTTGTTCCATTCTTAAAAGAGTAAAACACAAAATCACTCAATATATTGCATGCAGAAGGAATTATTAAATTTCAATGTTTAATTAGTATACAAAAGCATAAAAATGGACTGTCATTAACAATTATTTAAATTGATTTTTTGAAGAAAAAAAAATTAACTCTTTCTAACAAGAAATTATTTTTTACCTGCATTCAATTTTGTTGAGGCTTTCCCGTGAACTGGCTCTGTGATGTTGGGTGTTCGACTAATTAGGTTTCTTCTTATGCTGTGGAGTTTTTAAGGTCGTTTATTGCTTGACATTGTTAAATAACTTTTCACTTGTTAAAATCTACTTAACAACACAAGTATGAGTGATGCACTTAAACTTGGTCATTCAACAGGTTTTATTATATGTGATACAAATACTTTATTTATTGACCATGATGTTTCCCAGTTCAACAATTTTTATATATAACGGCTATGTAGGCCTACACTAGCAGTGACATTCTTCAGTTGGTAGGCCAACAGTGAGTTTACAGATCAGTAGATTAGGGTTAATGAAGCGGCTCTTACCTGTGAGAGGTAGAAATGTCTTTAAGTTCAGGCGGAGAGGGGGATGTTGCAACAAAATACTCAGCATGTATCTTGAATGAAGCTCGTATTGAGGTCTTGTTATACACGTGGAGGTATCTTCTCACTATCTGACCTAGGCTATTAGTTCCAAAATCCAGGCACAACTCATCACTGTGTTTAGAATATAAATGTTAGAAGCTGTTGAGATCTTTTTTAAACTGGTTAATAAGTTATTCTGTAAACTGGTTAACTTTTATTTATTTAATACCTGAATTATTTTGCTGTCATATTAAAAAAATTTTATGTGAACAAAATTCTGGGAAAATATCAAGTTGAAGAAAAATGTTTAAAACCTTAAGACTGTTTTGTCTTTCGATATCTTAAAGGCTAGCTCTAATGTCTTGACAGCACAGCTTATATTTAGATACAGTTCTTCTTGCTGCCCCTCAATAGAACATGACACACCGACATCACTAAATGATATCTGAAATTATTTTATTAACATGTGACTATTCAGGTAAGCCACAATTTAATGATATTATTTAAAAAATTGTGCTGAACATCAACAGATTTTTATGAACATTGAACATAACATAACACTTTTAATTAGAAACAGTTTTTTTTTTAATCAACATGCTGCTTTTAAATGAGAAACTTACTGCTTTTAGTGGTGTAAAAATAAAAGAAATATGTTTCTGCTCCCAGCTGAGTAGCTTCCCTTCACTCTCCTCTATTTCAATCTTACAGAACTCTTTCTCTAACCCTTCAACCTGAAGGTATAAATTTAAATTTTAGCTGAATACAACAGGGATGTCTTGAGATATTACAACATTAATAGCCAGTGATTGGGCAAAATGGAAGGATATTGTTGAGGCCCTATGATCCATAAGGAGCAAAGAGGACTAAGTCAAAGTCAAGAGAAAACTTTTTTTTCATATGAAGTTAACCAGCATTTTACTTAGAAATAGTTCAATTGTCTTGTGTGAATTTATTTTCACATTGGTTAAAAAAAATTTAACCAGAATTCCACCTGGTTTTTTTAAAACAAATACTAACTTGTTTTTATTCTTCCCTATAGTTATCCAGATTTTTTTTACCAAAAGGTAACATATACAAACAGCCAATGCTGGTTTTAAAATGGTACATTTCACATAACCTCACCTTTCCCCATTTAAAAACTGTAGGTAGTAGTGTTTGGTTATGTAGAGTCGCAGTAAATGAAACTGGTGCATTCAAAAAGACATCAGTCAGGACTTTGTGGCTTTCAAGTAAACAGACCACAGGATTCTGTGCCTCTCCTACAATAGCAATGGAACTGAAACAAAAATAGAAACAAATACAGTTTGCTAAAAAATATTTTTAAAAACACAAATTTTGGTCTGCTTTAATAAAAATCAGTTTTTATTTTGCACACATTTTTATAACTAGAAGAGAAGCAAGCTCAAATTAATTTTAGCGCAGAACTGATGCAATATAGTTTTATCAATCACTAAAAAAACTATACCTGGAAACAACACCATTGCATTGAACCTCACAGACCCTTTTCAGTTTTTCAAAGTGTTTTGGTGTATAGGTAACTAATATGTCTTTGCACTCTAATGGTCGAAGTTCACATTCTGTCACTGAAAATGTCAGATCTCTTGTTTCCTATGTTTAAAAAAGGTATTTTTTAATATGTTGATTTGTATAAAAACAAATAATTAATCATTGAATAAAATGTTATAGAATCTAACCTGAGAAAGGCTGTTTTGAGAATTTTCTTCCTGAGATTCTGAAATTGCAACTGACACTTTCAGCTCAGAGTTATTGCGCAGGGTCATCTCCCTTGTCTGATGCTGGCCTATTCTTACAAGACCAAAATTGATAATTGGCTGCAGAATGGACACTTCAGGGCCCTACAAGAGACAAGTGACATTTTTATCTTTAAGAAATGTTACTGTTATAATACAGACTTTGTTTTTATCAGCAACAACATTCAATTTTTTAATGAGAGCAACAGTATCCTAGATAATATAATAAGCAAAATAACCTACAATTGAAGCAGAGTTAAAACAACTAACAACCAGAATGTAACATCAGTTTTTGCTACACTCATCACAGACACAAGGAGAAAAGCTAACAGTAGGGCAAAATGTGAGGTAGCTGACTAGGGCTTGGACTAAATGTGCAGTAGTTGACTAGGGTTAAGATGAAATGTGCAGTAGATGTCTAGGACTAAATATGCAGTATTTTAAATAAATGTACGTTAAAACTCACTATAAATTCTGCTTGAATGTTGAGGTGAAGTGGCTCAGGTAAGTTCATGACGTGGCACAGTAGCGTGTGGTTGATGTAGCAGGGTTCAACTCCAGTGATGCTGAGTTCTAGATCTATTGCCATTCCAGGATCTGACCACATTTCATGAACAATGTTTATAGCATCATTAGGAAATTTAAACAGCGAGATTGTTTTTCTTATATTACACAAGGAAATAAAAACTTCACATTGAGGCTCAACTTCTAGAAGATCTGTGTAACTTACCTAACTCGCCATAGCGAGGTTCAACTTCTAGTAGGTAGCTATCTGTGTAACTTTCCCATTTGAAACTGATGGTTGAGTAGCTATGATTTGCCATCTGAAAATTGTTTTTAAAAATATTTCAGCACATAAAAATGTAGATTAAAGTGAGATAGTTTTCTGACCATTGAAACACAAAGGTTGTGCATAAAATAAATTTTCTCTCTCAATTCACTGTATACAAAATCTCTCTATTTTCACTATTTACACTTTCTCTCTCAATTAACTGTTTAACTTTCTCTCTCAATTCACTGTTTACACTTTCTCTTTCAATTCACTATTTACACTTTCTCTTTCAATTCACTGTTTACACTTTCTCTTTCAATTCACTGTTTACACTTTCTTTTTCAATTCACTGTTTACACTTTCTCTTTCAATTCACTGTTCACTGTTTACACTTTCTCTTTCAATTCACTGTTTACACTTTCTCTATCAATTCACTGTTCACTGTTTACACTTTCTCTTTCAATTCACTGTTTACACTTTCTCTTTCAATTAACTGTTCACTGTTTACACTTTCTCTTTCAATTCACTGTTCACTGTTTACACTTTCTCTCTCAATTCACTGTTTACACTTTCTCTTTCAATTCACTGTTTACACTTTCTCTTTCAATTCACTGTTTACACTTTCTCTTTCAATTCACTTTTTACACTCTCTCTAAACTTAACTTACAGTGAAAAGTCTCTTGGCTGATGTTCCAACAAGAATTTTTGCCTGCATTAGCAAGGCATATGGATGCAACACAACATACAGAGGCACGCATTTCCCTTTCACTTCCATCTGAATGCCTGTAACATTCTTAAACTTGTGCACTGAAAAGTATAAAATGTGGAGTGTTATTTCTACAAATCAAACAAAAATATATAAATAAACTTCATATTCTTATAGTTACCCTAACAGAAGTAAAAACAGTGAACATTTTATTTAACTAACCAGTGGCTGGTAGCAAATCTTCCTCTGAACTATTTCCAGCATATTCTGGAATTTTGTATTTGTCTTCATTCAACGTTGGAATATTTGGTAGCACCATGTGAATGCAACTATGGTAATCATCTTCCTGCAAATTAACAATTCTTCACATTCAAGTATCAATATCATAGAAACATTTATTTGTCCCTTTCAAGTATCAATATCATAAACACATCTATTTGTCACATTCAAGAATCAATATCATAGACACATTTATTTGTCACTTTCAAGTATCAATATCATACCATACAACTATTTTCCCCACTTTTATGTATGAATATCATAACACATTTCTTCATATTTTTTTTGTTTATCAATACCATAACATACATGAATTACTTTACTTATCAAAACTTTTTAAATTGTTATATTTCTTCAAATCTATCAAAAAAGATCAAAATATTGAGATTTTTATTTTTTTCTTACACAATTAACTTTTTTTTTAAACTGATGTGTTACCTTGGGTGGAGCAAAGGTGACCTTGAACACAGCAGTTTCAGATGGCTTGAGAACACCACTGGGTGGATGGACACTAAAAACACCGTTAGTTTCTAGAACTCTCTCAGCTTGGGAGGTGGGTTCCTGGTACTCACACAGCAGCATGCTGGAGTCAATGATAGGCTTGTAAACCATCCACTTGAATGGGAGCTCCACATTCCTGAAAAATATAACATTCATACATGACTTAATTGAGGACTAAAAGTATTCTGGGGACTAATTTAGATTTGCATACAAACATTGAAAGGACAATACAATACAAATTAAAAACAGAAGTAAAAAAATTCTAAAAGCTTACTGACATTACTGTATATATATATTTCTGCTAATTAAAAATATGTATAAACTGTAATTAGCATTAAAATTATTTTAAAAATTGTATTGTTTTCTATTCTGTATTTTAATTAAATATTTACAACTAAATTAATTATTGAAGCAAAGACTAACGTATAGTTGAGAATACTGATGCTCCTCTCTGTGTAAGTGTAAGGATTCAAATCATCAAATCTCAGCAACAATTCTGCTGAGATGTCACTCATCTCACCAAGTTGAGCAAGGGATGCTCCTCTTTCAATGTCAACTACATCAACTCTAGCTGTTTGCCCTTCACCTGGAAAATAATGGGACACATCAAAATTCTGTTTTCAACAAATAAATGTTTACATTGCTTCTTTTTTTTCCTCCAACACAATAAAGGATTATGTTTCAACCTGTTATATAGGCAGTTGACTCTGATTTCAGACAAGTTTTCTTTTTGGATTTGCTTCCATAGCTTTTGTCCATCAAAGAACAAACTACAAGGCAGCAGGAGTTCTCAACTCGGGACTTTTTAGTTTAGCAACTATGAGCTTTACCGACTAGACCAGGGGTCGGCAACCTGCGGCTCGCGAGCCGCATGCGGCTCTTTTAATATCAAGATGCGGCTCTCCAGCTCCTTGAACAAATACTAATAATCTTAATAAAAAAATAAAATATTTGAAATAAAAAAATGTTAGTGGCTCTTTAAAACCAGGGAAATTTTGAAAATTGTAACTTTTGGCTCTTCCGCTTCAAAAGGTTGCCGACCCCTGGACTAGACCATTTAAAAGTTTTTCTTAAAAAATGAGCATGTTATGTTTAAATTTATTATATTATTTTAATGATAATCTTTCAACAAAATAAAATATACAAGACTTGGTTAGATTTGAAAATAAAATTTGCTTCTAAAAGATTTTAAAGAACTAAGTCTTTGCTTCTAATCTTTACCTTTAATTTTAAAATGTGATGCCTGGCAATTGTCACAAGTTATGGTCATTTCCTGAGTGTACACTTTTTCTGCTAGGGGTGAGAAAATAGCCTCCAGCATAATGGTCTGGTTGGGTCCCAGTTCAAAGGTCGGTGGGACAATTTCAAAGGGAACTTGCTTGTTTGGTTTTGTGTTAGGAAGAGCGGTCTGTAAGATGTTGACAAGAGAATGGTTACATGTTAATGTGAGCTATGTGAAAATATTAAAATAAACTTAACATAAACTTCATTGAGACAAATACAGATATTGAAACTATACGCTCCACTCAGAAGCAATGCAGATATTGAAACAATTAAAATAAGTTAACCATAAACTCCAGTGAGATGCAACATAGATATTGAAACAATTAAAATAAGTTAAACATAAACTCCAGTGAGATGCAACACAGATATTGAAACAATTAAAATAAGTTAAACATAAACTACAGTGAGACGCAACACAGATATTGAAACAATTAAAATAAGTTAAACATAAACTCCAGTGAGACGCAACACAGATATTGAAACAATTAAAATAAGTTAAACATAAACTCCAGTGAGACGCAACACAGATATTGAAACAATTAAAAAAAGTTAAACATAAACTTCAGTGAGATGCAACACAGATATTGAAACTAAGAGTACCCGTATGCTGGTTGAAGGCCATTTATTTCTGGCCATAAGGCAGAAGCGGCCATGTCCTCCCTCATTTTTCACCATCAAATGATAGACTTGTATATCCCCTACCAAACAACATCCTAGATCAACCTCCTTTGGCACTGTTAGAGTAAGAACATTTAAATGAATTGTTTTGGATGGTATAGATGAAAAGTTTTAAGACTGACATGTTTTCTTGTAATTATCTGAATTACAGAGAAAATAGATCAGAATCTACACTGTAAACACTTTCTTTTTCTTCTTTCTTAATTATTAGTGTTGAAGGGGATCGAGATTTATCTGCCAGTGGGTTTGAACTCGAGACGTTGTTCGAATTTATCAACCATGGGCTTTTTGCCGACTCGACCACGCCTCAAACACAAATAAGAGTTACGTGTCAACTGGTTATGCGCCATTGAGGCCATTGACTCCGATTTCAGCCTGATTTTCTTTTTGGATTTGCTTCCATAGCCTTTGTCCAACCAAGAACAAACTACAAGGCAGCAGTTGTTTAATTTTGGAGTTGTCTCTCCTAGAAGAGTGGCTGTCCCCAGCTAATGAGCCTCATCTGCCCGAGCATTCGAACTCGAGATTTTTCGGTTTAGCAACCATGAGCTTTACCGACTCGACCACGCCGACCCCTACTGTAAACACTAAAAGTTAAGTAAATTCCAGACTTCATTATCTGTAGTGAAGGTGCAGTAAAGTATATCTGTTAATTTTTCCTAGTGATAAGAAGGGATTGTGGTGTCAGCACTATGTCCAGCTACTTTTATCTTCACTGATTTCAGTCAGGTACTCATTATAGCTGAGTGAAATCAAGGACAGGGACAAAGCTCTAGACTAGTTCATATATTAATTGAACTACACACTTCAGCCTGTCTCTTGATGCTAGACAAGTATTGCAGGAGTATTGAGATTAAGCAAAAAGTTTTTTTGAAGATCTCACATGTTAACACAGGTGGTGGTCGCCTGGCCTGTAAAGGTATAATCAGCGGCTCTTTAGCTTGTGTCTGGACTGTTATAGAATCATCATAGTTTTTCAGGGAATTTGGGGCAAACCTGATGTTGTACCTGCAGCTCATGCCGGGGGCCACTAAACCTGTTTCACCTGGAAACTGACCTGCATTGAAAACAATAGCCTTTTGTTTAAAATTATAAGAATTTATAGCATTCACTCTTTTGAAAATCAAACATTAATTTCTGGACTGATATTTAATTGTGAGTGATTAAAATATTTATTTATGTCATTTTAGACTGGTATAAGTAGCAATAATGAAAGTTCAATAATTGCATACTTGTGTATACTAAGGTAGAAAATAGACATGCAGTTGTGTGGCTACATGTCATATCAATACGATTGTATGCCCACATACCTAGACCAATAGAAAAAATATTGCTAGATGGGGGAAGAACTCGTAACTGTCTCATAACTGCTGACATATTCTTTAATTCAAGAGTAATCTGAAATGTATTCAAACTGTGTTCAGCAGGCCTACATGTATATAAAAACAATGAATTGTACAATCACGATTGAAGAAACTTTATAAAATATATAAAACCACTAGAAGTTAACACATGTTACCTTACTGTACTGATTTTTAAAATTGCATTAGTAAATATGACTAAAGAGATAATTGTTAATCAGTTTTAAGTAAATCATATGAGATTGTACATATTATTATACAAAGGTAGCAGAAAATTCAGCCAATAAAACTTAGTATTGTGTCTTGACCTATATCTGTCATTTTTAACTATTTATTTTTAAATCTTATTAGAGCTATAGAATACACATTTCACATTGGTAAAAATGTTTTAGAACTGCTAATGAAGAATCACTTTACCTCATAGACCTCACCCACTTTGTAATTGGTGAACTCAACTACTGGGGGATATGGAATAAACACTGGCTTTTCAGAACTGCTGGAAAAAAACAACTTTTGTAATACATTCAGTATAAACGATAATCACATAAATGTCACTAAAATAACTTTTGTTTTCGATATTAAATGTGATTTATTTAAGCTAAAACTTCAATTGTTTATAACTTCATCAGTATTTTAAAATACTAACAGAAAAAATATTGACATAGTGATAAACTTGTGTTTAAAAATATAACCTACATTTCTGGCTCCACATTCTTCCCAAGTTGCTTGCTTATTTTCTTTTTTGGCAGCAAAAGAGACTTAGGATCTGACAACTCAGAAGGTGGAATAAAGCGGGGGTTTTTCAAAAAGTTAACTTTAGAATGCAACATATCCAAAGCTTTTCTGTCAGCTTCTCTTTGCTCTTCAGACAAAAATTCTTTCCATCCTGATTTCTTTGGAAATTCTGCCTAAAATTGACATAAGTATTAACAAAAATCAACTGCAAAATTTTTAGTCTCATTAAAATTTTCAACACAATTGCTCTACAACTTTATTATTATAAAGTATATTATCAGCTTTTCTCATTCACGCCTAAGATACATCGGGCAGATGTAGTAGAGTTCATCTGTTTCAGTGGCCTAGGCATATGAAAAGATAGTGTGGCCAGCAGTAGGCCCAGCCACCAATTTTGAGACTTTTGGATTAACTGCAAGGCCATGCTGTCCCATATAAAGTATGTAGCAGTTAATAACTTTATGTAGGAAATGTTTTGGAAAAATTACATCTTTCTGTTATATTTTTAACTTTGAGCCTTGTTTAAAATCATAAAAGCTACTAAATTTAAAATCAGCTATTTTTTGATGATGTTGCCAGGGCACTTGATAAAGATGACTGACTAACACAGGCTTACAACATTATGTTATTATATTTATGTTTAAGGTCAATATAAATTATATAAATAATGTGCAGTACATTATCCTACAATTACTAGCCAACACTATAATAAAAGTTGATCAGGACCTGTTTATTCTCTAGAGCTTTCAGCTCTTTATCTTGGTCTTGTACATTCTCAGACAGAATTGTTTTACATTCCATGCTATCACCTGCCAGCCATGCCATGGGTGACTCCAGCTCCATTTGTGTATTGGGGCGGCTGTGTTGTCGAGAAGCCAGAGTTTCACGTGCATAATCGGGTACTTTAGGACCTATGGTAAGAATGTACACACCAGTTGATTTTATATTCTAAACATTATTTTTACTGGTAGAAATCATTTTGTAATTGTGCCTGAAGTACTTTTTTCTAACATTTTAAAAAACAATTTTTTCTTGATCAAGTTAATCCACCATGAAATTAAATCCATTACTGTCCTACCTGATATAATTTTTTTAATATAGTGCCTTGCTTCTTGTCTCTCCTTTTTTAGAAGCTTGTGATATCAAAATGCTTTATTCGTAAATTCAAATTTATAAAAGAAAAAATTATAAATGGCTTATTAATACCGATATACCTTGAGGAGCTGAGACAGGAACCTGCTCATAAGTCATATAATCACTGGGAGTCAGTAAGCCATGTGACTGTAACAGCTGAGTGTCTATGCATGATGGGAAGTGAGCACGCACTAAAAATAAATAGGAAAAATGCATCTGATGACAACTATTTAATAAAAATATATAAACTCATTCTAAAACAAATATTTGCAACTTAAACTTTCTTGCGGGTTGCCTAATTTAAGCTAAATAATTTCTCGAGGACACACCTGGTGGCAACCCTAGTGATGCATAGTTTTCACAGGATGCAGTAGCCTTGTTTAATTCACGCTCATCAGCAGACATAGCCCTAGCTTGTGCCTGCATGATATGTCGCTCCAACATGGCTGCTTCATCCATGCGCCGCTGCCACTCAGTGTGAGCCTAAGGTTTGATGCAAATGATTTTTTTATTTCACAAAATTAGTTTCATGAAGATATTGTATTCATACAATTACAAAATGTGTTCTTAACTGGGTAAAATAAGGGGGGAATACTAATTTTATTATTACATCATCATTTTATTTGACTAACCTTAAATTTACATTTTCAATGCATGCCAATCTCTAGGCTTAGTGTGTCCCAAAAAAGTTATTATAATTCTGATGTTAATGTTGATAGTAACACTTGATTTGACCCATAACACATATAATGTTAGTGTAAAATACCTTTTGTAAATTTTCTACATATCTCTCATGGTATGGGTCATCACCTCCTTTAGAAATCTGTAGATTTTTTACAGTTTCTGGTCTAATTGTATCCCGAGTATATAGGTCTCTAAAACATTTTGCCAAGATATGTCGAACATCTTGAGATTGAGATGAAGAAGGTCTTTGTATATACATAGGCAGTTCCTGCCCAACATTAGAAGTGTGTGTTGACATTTGACTCATTCTAAAATTTGACTGTTAAAACAATCTAAAAAGAAATTAAATTTATAGTCATCAAATGAATAAAAATAACAGATTAGGCAATGGTATTCAATATGACTGTGGAGTGAAGAATGAGACTGTTATGATACAAATAATTATAATAATAATAGAGAATGCAATCACTTGTTTAATGAAATTTAAAGAAATAGAAAAAAAAATTATTATTTTTTTTTATAAATTTTTTTTTTTTAAAAACATCATATTATTCATGTACAATTATATATAGGCCTATTTTATAATGTAATATAGTTATTCTTCATCATCTTTTCCTGTTTATGCCTATGACTATGACACATGGGGCAGATAAAGTAGAGTTCATCTGTTCTAATTACCTCTGCATATAGGGAAATAGTTGTGAGACTGCACATCCTTAGCAGTAGCACTGGTCTGCTAGCCCAAAAATGTCTCTGGTTCAAATCTGAGTACAAGTTAGTTATAGTAGAATGTCCCTGAGTAAGAGTTCACCCAGCTCTGATGGATACCTAACTACTAAGTTACTTATTAACTCATGTTAATGAAAGTAAAGATCGCTGGGCAAAGTGCTGACCACACCTTCCATTCATATGCTGAGGTCACAGAAACATATGAACTCTACTTCATCTGTCTAATGGGTCTCTAGGTCTAGTCTAAACTCTAAAGACTAAAAGAGGATTATTTACAGTTTACACTAGATCTACTTGTCACTAGTTTACTACACTTTACACGTTCTTTATTTTATTGTTCCAAAATGATTAGATCTGGTTCCTCCATTAATCATTATCATACAGAGGATAATAGAAAAAATCGTTATTATTTATAATGAATACAAATATTTATTTGAAACCTTATTACTCTTAAATCAGAAAGTGAATGTGCTCTTCTAAGCCTTTTTACTTTTTATTTACTTTTCATGGACAGCCATTTGTTTACACACTAGATTGACCTGGTCTCTAAGGAAAAATTACTTCCTGTCTGATTTGCCAGATAAAACACATACCGGTAAAGTTTAAAAAAAATAAAATAAAGCTAGATTTGCGCTTCCTAAAAGGTCGCGCATGACACTCGTTACCTCCAGTTAGAACCCATGTAAACACGCCCTGCCTCCTTCCTTTCGTCACAGGTGGTCAGATCCTGCCCCCACCTCGAAAATTACCTCCTCAAAGATGCAATTATTTTGTTTGCTTTTTTTTTAGAACATCGATATGCATTTGATATACAGATCAATTTTATTACAAAAACAAAAGTATTTTTAATACAGATAAAATTCAGTTTCCAACATTAAGAAAATATATAGATGTGTCGCTACACTTTCTGAACCTCCATCCTGCCACGTCGTTACAAGAGTCCGCACCCCACCTGAGCACCTCCTCTCCCCACCATACCATTGAGTGTATTCTCGTTTATGGAGGACCCCTTTTAAAACTTGGTCGGATGAAGCCAACTATAACTATATTTTTTTATATATATTTGAAAGTTACGACCATGTACGTCTTTTCAATTTAAAAATATCGGGTGAGTGAAAGAAAAACAATTCTTATTTTTTTATAATTTAGATTTATTACGCTATACGTGTGTGTGTGTGTGTGTGTGTGTGTGTGTGTGTGTGTGTGTGTTTAGAGGACTATATGTGCGACTATGCGTGCATTTGACTGTTTACAGGTCGACAGTTATTAATAAATGGCCACATTCACGAGTGTTTTATCGACTTGAACATTTCGAGGGGTTAAATATCTTGATTTTCGTTTGTTTTATTTAAAATATTATCGTTTGTAGAATACCCCCCCCCCTACATAGTAGATCTTTATATCTGATGTGTGAAATACTTGAGAGTACGTTGATGAAATTCAGCAATGATGAGTTAGAGCACCCGCGACCACCACTCAAGTGGTTAGGCTTAGCCACATGTAGGTCTACTTTATATCTAGCTTGGGGTGCTCTTTAAAACTAGCTTCCTTAGTGATCAAGGGGAAGACCGGAGCGTTCTGTTTCACACGAACGCGGGTGTGCTGAAGGACGCCCCTGCTGCAATTTTAACAGTTGACAAAAGTAGCACCCATTACTCGGGGCACCCAGCTGTACATTACTAACAGTGAGTAGATGGCGTCACGCTGATTTGAATAAGCCATCGACTGGGGTAGCCACCACAGTTTATAGGGTCTCTATAAAAAAAACATAGCCGCCTCTGTTCTCATCGGGGAGACAGGGCGCTCCAGACACATGATCGCTGGTGCAGTTAGACCATTAATTCAAGTAATACTGTAATAGAAATGGACCCCATGTGCTAAGATAGCCGCTGGGGAATCTGGGGTGCATAATCCACATTGAGCATGTTTAGTAGGCCTACTAATAAAATAAATGATATGGAATAACGTATGGATTGGCGTATGCATGAGAATATAAATAAACGGACGATAATATAGTGCTTGTATATAGGCCAATATAGGCCCATATATATTCATAAGCCTTTTAATGCTATGTTCATAATAACAAAAACTTTGTACTTTAAAATCATACTAAGGTTCAGTGTTTAGTATAACCCTAATAATTCTTTTTTTTTCCAAGCACAACAATAAATAGGAAAAGCCTATTTATCGGATGTTACTCAACTGACAAAAAAACATGATCTAGAATCTAAATATTAGTAATACTACTAGATCTAGATCTAGATCTAGCAGTTTAAGTTGATCTGAAAAATTTTAGGATAATTTATAATAGAACTAGATTAGATCTAGATTCTAGATCTTCGTGTAAGCCTAGGTAAAATCTAGAACCTCTTAAAATAATATAATAACTACAATAGTATTAGTATTAGTAAACTGAATATTAAAAATTATGGTAATCTATTTTTAGTATTTTAATTTTAATATTTAATCTATCGTTTTAGGTACGTAAAATCGCCCGCGACTAGATCTAGATTCTAGTAATGTACGAAAAAGTTACCTCATTGTCAAGGCTTGTTAATAGAAGTACATTGTGATATTATATTTGTGTCAAATATTATAGATCAGTGGTTCCCAACCTTTTTCGAGTGGCGACCCCCTTTTATAAAAAGTAAGTGAACCGCGACCCCCATAGAATTAAAAAGCCGAAATTAGTATGGAAATTAATAAGCACTAAAATAAGATTATCTAGTAGACTTTCAATTAGAACTACTCTTAATAACTGTTTTAATAGCATGAGTAAAATTGCATACTATTCACTAAACCTTCGTGGTTAAGTTTTTAATTAAAACAAATTTTTGTTAACTCCAACCTATGTCATTATAATTATCTTAATTTTGTTTTTAATCGAAGAATAGTGTTGAAAATATATTCTCGAAAAGTCAATCAATTTTACGTTTGGGTATGAATGGTGAATACTACACCAAAATTGTGTCTGCAGTTTTTCATCTTACTCGGAATCATTCTGCAAATCAAAGAATTCATTTTGTAATTTATCGGGAATGCTGGCAACATCAAGGGAAGAAGAGAATGAGTAATGCGTAAATGCAGATTCTTCTTTTTCAGCTCAGAGAAACAGCGATGCAGTTCGTTTTCAAGAGATTCAAGATGCCCAGAAATCGCTTCTTTCAATATTTTAATTATCCCACAATCAGATTCATCTACCACACCGCAGAGTTTCTCAAATTTACAATATTTCCAAGATTTATCTTCTTTACCGATTTAGCAGCTTTGATAAAAATTCCCTGAGATTATCATGGAAAGTTATAATATTCGTTCATTTTCCCTGAAGCTTCAGGTTAAGCTTATCTTGATGTTCGAACACATCTGCTAGGTATGATATTCTCTCCAACCACTCTTTGTCGTTTTAAGTATACCAAAAAGTATTGTTTCCTTTACACTTCCAAGAACAATTTGATTTCAGATTTCAATTCAAAAATATAATTTACAACATTTAGTTTGACAGCCAGCGTACTGTAGTGTAGAAGAGCAGAACCTCGTGATCTATATTAATGTTTTTGCTCAGTTCTTCATAAAAGAGCAACTCTTCTTTGCTATCATCCGCATGAATATAGACACAGACCAGCAACTGCGAACACGAACTCACGTCTGTTGATTTATCAACTTGAAAAGCAAACAATGGTAAAAGCTTAATTTCAATAAACATGTGTTATTTAACATTTACGTACATGCAGCGTTTGATGAGATTTTCTCCTATTGTTTTTTTTTTTTTTTTGCTTGGCATTTTCTATCGCGACTTCATTTGATGCTTGCACTAATGCTGGTGAAAACTTCCTGTTCGATCAAGTCTCTGGCGTTTCAACTAGTTTCTTACCGACGAAAGAACTCCATATATTTTTTGGTGTGTTCCGAATGACTTGACTTGTCTCAAATGACGTTTTAGTTTTGAAGATTTCATAGATTCGTGACTGAGAACAGCTTTGTACAGTGCGCTTTGTTTCTTCTCTATTACATTTCCAGTGATGTTAATGAAGCCGAATTTCAAAAATTCTTCTAAATATTTATGTTTTGTTTCAAATTACTAAGGTTTAGTGTACCAGTTGGCGACCCCCCAGAAAGACCTTCGCGACCCCCAGGGGGGTCGCGACCCCCAGGTTGGGAACCCGTGTTATAGATAAATGAATAATAAACCTAAATCAATGGGTAAATAAAAGTAAATATATCAATATATATAGTATAGGCAAGAAATTAACTTTAAACAGCAGTGTTTGCGAGCAGGATTTGCTATATAAAAAGCGGCCATCTGTAAGTTAGAGTAGCTTCCCCTGAATCTTGCGCTAGAATCTATAAGTTAACAATAAAAAAAATAAACAAGATGGCTGCTATAGTAAATGAGCATGGTTGCATCTGTTAGAAACATCGCTAGTCTTCATTTATTACTGAAAAGTTTTAACTCAGTTGTTTAAAAACATACATAAATGAAACAAGGAAACATTTTTGTATTTTTCAAACCATAAATCCTCCTCAAAATGTGAAATAATTATTAAAATTTAAGGAGTTACCTGTTTTTCACATTACTAGTCGCGGGCGATTTTACGTACTTAAAATGATAGATTACCAAAATTATTAAATTATTATTTATTATTATATATTATTATATTATATAATCATATTTTATTAGAGAAATTGATAAATTAATCACCAATGTTACTGTCAATCACTATCCTATCACTTCACGTCATTTGACATTTGTCATTTAGTTTTAGAGTTTAGTAATTAGTTAAGTTAGGTGGATCCCAACCTGAAACACCAATTCCAGAAATAGAAATCTGAAATATTGAATTGAATATTGCTTATTAGATTCTAGTTATTAGCCTATACCAGGGGTCTCCAAACTACGGCCCGCGGGCCGGATGCGGCCCGCGAGGTCATTTTGTCCGGCCCGCGACGACCTTTTTGTCCACTGAATAAATGTTTGTTGGAGGTGGCTGAGGAGCTTTGCACAGAAACGTCAAAACTATTTGAAAATGTAGCTTTGTCTGCAAATACAATTACTCGCCGTGTTGCAGACATTGGTGAAAACATTGCGACTCAAATAGCGAAAAATTCACGCGAATTTCACCATTTTTTAATTGCAATGGATGAGTCGCCGGACAGCTGTTCCACCTCTCAACTGCTTGTGTTCATTAGAGGTGTGGATAAAGACATGAACATAACACAAGAGCTGGCTTCCCTACATATAATGTATGACACTGTTACCGAAAAGGATATCTAGTCATAGATAGTTCAGAGACAAACACAAAATCGCAAGATTTACCATAATTCACATCAGCAGATTGCTAATTTTGCGAGAAAATTCTGAGCAGAGTATCTAAGAAAAGAAATAGGTGACTTCCTGATGGTAAAGGCAAGTCACAGCCATTATTGTCTGATGAAGAGTAGGTATAGAAATTGGCCTCTGCTGCAGACATAACTAGTCATTTTAATTTTCTGAAACTAAAACGGCAAGAGAGTGAAATCTAGTTTCTGATCTATACACCCACCTAAAGGCCTTTAGATACAAACTTATCATGTTTTTGGAACAAGTACAGGCTAACAACTTGACACACGTTCAGTAGTGCAAGGTCTTTACGGCTGAAGCAACCACTGAGTTCCCCACGTCATTTACATACGAGATCATTAAAGACCTACAGATGCAGCTTCAGTAGCGGTTTTCTGACTTGGATTCAAAGGCAGAAGAAGTGAGAATGTTTTCAAAGCCCATTTGAAGCAAATGCGGCCAGTTGCAAAGATGAACTGCAGCTGGAGGTCATTGAATTGCAAGCAAATGACTTCCTTAGAGACACGTTCAAAGAAGGATGGGTTTTCATACGTTTTTACACAATGAAGACTTTACTAAAATTAAAACTTTTGCATCAAAGTATCTTTCGAATTTTCGAACAACATGCTGTGTGAACAAACACTTTCAAGAATGGAATACGTGAAGAAAAATTTGAGAACAAACGTGGACCTCGGGTAATTTCTATATATTTCTATATAAATTACACTTCGTGGGGGGGGGGGGGGGGGAGGGGCGGTAGACGTTCTTCGGGGGGGGGGGGCGCCACGACCTTGAAGAGATGCCTTAAAGAAAGTCTGGCCCCCGAACTGATATTTGATAGTTAATGCGGCCCTCGGGCTGAAAAGTTTGGAGACCCCTGGCCTATACTATACAAATAAAATAAAAAATTATTAGGGCCTAGGCCTAATCGACCGTCCATCCATCCATTCATTGTGATTCATCTGAAACTAAAATTACAACAGTGTGTTAGTACTTAATATAAAATATTTAAAATAATAGTTCAACAGCACTAATCAATATTTTTTTTCTAGTTTGTTAGTACTCAGTAGGCTGACAGTAGAAAGTAGAAACTTATTATGCTAGAAGATGTCACCAATTTATTTTCTCGCATGGTACATCATGCTGCTAATTGATACAAATAGCATTTTGAACTTTGGTTCAGCCTCAGTGCTATCTAAAAATAGATATTGGGGATATTATTTAATGATCCACAATGTAGTTATTATGAATATTATTATTATAGGTCATCTATAAATGACATCACATTCCTGGGGGAGGGGTCAGATAGAATGATGTCACACTTTTGCTTTTTTACAATTAGTTGGGGAGTTGGGGGGGGGGGGGGGGAGGTGGCTGGCTTTTTGTAAGCATGTGTGGTGGTAGGGAGGAGCAGGGGGGGGGGGGGGGGGGGGGGGAAGGTAAAAATTGTAAAAAAATCAACTAATAAGCCTGATGTCATTTATAGACAACCACTAATAAACAGTATAATAAAAACTAATAAAAGCAATATTATAATAATAATGTTTAGGCGTACTATCTCAAAAAATTAGATACAAAGCCTTCAGAGTTTCTTCCAGGCATCCCCCCCCCCCCCCCCCGAACAAAAAATGAAATTTATATAATTTATATAGAAAATATATACTTTTAACAGTGTCGCAAATATTAGTAAAGATATCCAATAGGTACTAAAGTACTAAAGTGACCCACGCTTTTCTTTGTAGTAATTTAAATAGTAGTGTATAATTTATTTTCTACTTTTTAGTGCATCATTACATAAAAGCTTGTTATTAAAACGTTTTTTATGAAATTTTTTATTAATATCAAAATGATAATGTACAACTTTTAGATACAAAACTAATACTAGTGCTTAAAACCCAACCATCACAAAGCCTCTAATGTATAACTTGATCAATTTTGTTCACAGAATAATGGACAGAATGCCAGATGAAATTGTTTTGCATATATTTACTAAATTATCGTTACCTGACTTGATTTTTGGGGCACGACTGACATGTTGGCGCTGGTATCGTCTATCAAAAGATGCTTCCTTGTGGATTAATGTTGATCTGTCATCTATCAGATGTTGTCAAAATGTAGCTAAAATTCGTGCAGGTGTGAAAAACTTGTTATATGACATTCATGTTAGCTTGGAGAAGCTGATTTTTAGTAACCTTTGTGTTGATGGTGGAATTTATGAGCTATTTGGCTCATCATGGAAGCGAAAAAACAAACCAAAATTTGAAAATCTAAAATCTTTGGACTATTCATACAGTAATGTTTCTCCACGAAACTTGCGAGTGGCTCTCATAACACATCCTGATTTAGAGGAATTGCGTTTAATCTACACTAAGATTTCTTTAGCCCAGGCCATGGAAGAAGCCATTCATTTGCCAAATTTAAAGCTTTTGGTTTATCATGATTACAAATCAAGGGATTTAAGTGAAAATCCTGTCATGAATAAGTTTCATGTTATGAGTGTACCTAAGCATTGCACAAATCTTGAAGTTGTAGAATTGCATACACTTCTAGCCGATTTTGATGATGATGTTATTAACCAATTTATTAAATATTGCCCAAAATTGAGAAGATTATCACTGACCTGGTCTACAAATCTAACAGCTGACGCCTTTGCCTGTTTAAATCCAGAAACACATAATATCACTGAACTAGGATTGCTTGACAGACAAGAAACTGGACCCTATTTGGATTTCATTCTGCCCCATTTCCCTCATCTGCTTCAGCTTACTGTTAGTGGACAAAACATACATCTGGAAGATTGTATAGCTATTGGAGAGTGTTGTCCAAAGTTAAAAGAGCTTGTTTTGGAAATCGACAGTATTAGAAATGTAAGCAGTTATCATTGTAAAAATAATTCCCTGTGTGGCCTTGAGCTTCAAAAAATTGCTTCTAATTGCAAAGATTTAAGAAAACTTCATGCCCCATTCTCAGACATTGATGACGACAGCGTCATTTTTTTAACTGAACAATGTCTATTTTTAGAGGATGTAAATTTCAGTCAGTGTCATCGCCTTACTAAAGACTCAATTAATGCATTATCAAAACACTCCATTTGTTTAAGAAAATTACATTTGGTGGACAACACTATAGATCATAAGTATTTACTCAGCCTAGTGACCAAGTGCAGGTGGCTAGAGGAATTGATATTTGACAGTAAACTTGTTTCTCAACCGTTGTGCCACTCACCTCAAGCTTCCACTTCTAGTGAAAGTACTCAAAGTATGATTTTAAATGACAACATTCCATTCATAGACATGACACAGAGTGCTGATGAATACCATGCTCTATTCACTGCATTAAATACAAATAGTGAGATATCCCAGTTAAGTGAAACTGAAATGAATACTTCCTTGCTTTCACTTCCAGATACTGTTCATTCGATAAAATGGAACCACTGTCACCTGAGAAAGTTGTCTTTGAAGTACTCAATGGCTAGTGAACAATGCTTAGAGGATCTTTTCAAAGAATGTCCTGACTTGACTTGCGTTTCACTGGATGGAGCAAAAAATCTTACAAACAACTTAATCATCAGCTTGGCCAAATCTTGTCCTAATTTGCGCAATCTTAGCATTTCTCTAACCACATCTCTCAGAAACAATTGTGATTCTTACTTTGGTGATGAAGGTTTAATGGCTTTGATAAAATATTCACACAATCTTGAGATGTTAAGTTTTCTTTACAATTCTAACATATCACAAATTGGTCTCACAAACCTGTTTTTGGCTCTAGACACATCTCTGAGATCATTAATTTCTGTTAGCTTATGTGTGGGCTCTGGCTATCCTTGTAATATCTCTATTGTTAAGGAACATGGTCTCAAGTACTTAACAGAGCAGTCAAAACAACAGCTGAAAGATGCCACTACTACCACTTATGGTATTAGTTTTATGATTTTGCATTTAGACTTTCAGAAAAGAAAATATATCTGTTAGACAACCTAGTTTATTTTTAAAATGTATTTTCAACTTTGTTTTAAATCAAGTCTGAAGTTTTTATTGATTGGCATTGAATAGCAATGGTTAGGTGCTAACCACTTACCAGGTGTCAAAATATTCCTTATACTTTTTACTTATGGGTGGTCGTAGTTCTGTAATAAATGTAGCTATTATGCAACACAAAAATGCTGTCAGCTTGTTCTATTTGATGTCATAAACTTTTCCAGAGTTTATTTTTATATTGTTACCAGTTCTTTTACATACAATTACATTGTGGTTTTAAAATACATTTTTTGGCATGTTATTCGTGTTAAATGTATTAATTGCCATTTTATTTGGGGTTTTTTTTTTTAAATATTATTGTTAATTAAACATGTTCAATGTAGCTGTGTTACATTTACATTTTATTATTTTTGTAATTCTGTCAAAGCTTTTGATATGCTAAGATTGTATAATTTAGACATTCCAATATTTTGCTTTTGTGAATTGATGATTTAATAATAGAATCAGCAGTGAAATGATACATTGTTTTTTTAACTCCCCAATTGTTCTCACTACTTTTTTTCTGTATTTATTTTTATCCTAGTCAAACTTTTAAGTCTTATTTCCACTCAACCATGCATTTTTTTGGTGATTAATGTTGAAATCCTTTGCTTAAATTATAGCATTTGTTTTTTTTTTATTAAAAGATGTGATGTTTTTAAATAATATATTCATGTGATACATATTTTGACATGTTGGTTTTTATTTATTTATTGTGTTCTTCATAAATTAACTCTTTTATCAAAATTTGTCATTAAAAATTTAGCTTTGCTTAAAACTGAGATCTCTCTGTTTTACATGATAAAGCTTATTTAACTCTATTTCATAAACATCCACCCCCACCCCCCTCTCATTGGTCAATCTAGGGGGAAAATGTGCATGTGCAATTGTTTAAACCAATCATATATTTTTATAGAACCTCAGAGGCTATCTTCAAGTTGAAAAACTGAATAATCATCAGATAACATGCCATAAATTTCAGGCATATCTAAGGTGTTAAACATAATGTCAGCTACATAAAACACCAAAGCCCAATTGCAAAATTGCACCTAATTTTGATTGTTAGTTATTAATGATACAACAAACACCATTTACCATATTACTAATAGTTATAAAAACATTAGAATTAGGCATGAGTTTTAAAAGGCAACAATTTAGTTCTAATTAAAAATTTTAAACTATTTGATCAAATGTTGGATGGCATGGTCCCATGGAAGAGCAAATGACTGCTAACCCTAGTTTTATAGTTCTGATCCTCGACTAGAGTCCACCCAACTCTGATGGATACCTGACTCCAGTAAGGAAAAGTAAAGTTGGCTGGGCATAGCAGTGAGCTTACTATCATATTGTTCTTAGATCACAGAAAATTGATCAACTCTACTTATCGGCTCTTATTATTAACTGTCAAGTATGGACAGGGTTCGTACTGCTTTTTGAAAATGAAATTCCAGACTTTTTCCAGACATTTTCCAGACTTTTTTGGAAAAATTCCAGACTTTAGACAATGTGTTAGCGAATAATTTTTTTAAAATGATGCACTATTTGTACTGTCATCATAATTACTTATACTAAATTGACATTTCTTTTAGGCAATTGAGCTATATTCATAGTGAACTTTCTCTAGCCAAATTGACAGAAAATCACTTTTCTAAGTTTGCCTACTCCACCCTACCTAAAATTTAAACAATTAAAATAATTGATTAAAATGATGCACCTATTTTGTTTCCAACATTAGACTTATGTAATCTGTTCCTGATCTAATTGCTTATGTTTTCAATTAAACTATCATTAAAATGGTATTGCATAATGGTGAGAGTTAATTACTTTAAAGAATAATAATGTAATGTATTAATTTAGGTCTGCTCTTGTTACGTAGCCTAATATAGGCTACTTGTAAAAAAAAAAAAAAAAAAAAAAAAATTAAAAAAAAAAAAAAATCTTCACTGTTTGTGCTTATAGTAATAGCTGAGAAACGGTCTACAGTAAAAAAAATTGCCGGTATCCTTCCCCCCCCCCCCCACCAGACAAGGTGAAGCAGTCACTGTGAGGTCATAGTAGTCTAGACTTCAGTATGCCTGTTTAATACGTCATAACATGAACTGTGCTGTGACTTATACCCCCTCCCCCACCCTCCTTACCAAGCAGTACCAACTACGCACTTAGGTTCACGGTGAGTTCACACAAGTGACCGATGTTACAAGGAGGGGCGGGGTAGTCTAACTTTAATCGTCAGCATTTGCAAAGATTTCAAAAAAAGTTTAATGGAAGTAAATTAAAATTAAAGGGGTCATCCATTTATGACGTACACATGGAGGGGGGAAGGGGTCGGAAGATTGTGTGATTACATTCTAAAACAAACATAAAACTTGTATCTTGCGAGTAGAAAGTAAAATTAAGACGACTGTGCTGGTGTTTTAAAAACCATCACAGCGTGTAAATAAAACACGGTATTTATATCTGCCCTAACATTATTGCGAGAGCGTGTCGTCACACTTTATAAAACCCTCCTCCCCGACTTTCCGGAGTGTGACGTCATTTATGGACGACTCCTAAATAAAAATAGTACCTCTTTGTTAAGCTGAAGCAAACAGAAATACAGGTATGAACCCAAGGAGGCCTTGCGACTTATTAATCTTATAAATGTTATTATTAATCCAAAGTAAGTGAACACGTGTGGACAGAGGGCGGGGTTGGGGAAAGGGGGGGGGGGGGTCTAAAATCGGAAAAATTGTTGTAAGTCATAAATGGATGACGCCTTACAGACTGATAAATTATATCTAAACTACCACTCACACATCTCTCCCATAACTTTTTGTTATGACTGCCTGCATGCAAACTCAAACGATGAAAAAATAGCGGGTAAAATCGAGAGCCTAACAATCATGACGCCGATCATTCTTTCATTAAATGACAATTTTAAGTACTTGTAACACATTCACACGGTCAGTCGCGCCACAAAATATCTCTTCCCTCCCTTCCCCTCTTCTCCCAATGACGTAGTAACTGAGCATCCGTCTTTTTTCTGCGAACCAGCGAAAAAACGTCACAACATAGTGTAAACCCGCGCAAAAGCGCGGGGAAAAAATTGGAGTAAATTCACTTAAAAATAGCAATTTTTTTAAGTTGGAAAATATAGACTACGAAGTTTTGTTTCTAAAACTAGATTCCAGACTTTTTCCAGACTTTTAAAAAATCCTGCCCAAAAACTAGCGATTTTCCAGACTTTTTTAAGTCTTAAATTCACTTTTCTAAATTCAAGACTTTTTCCAGACTGCGTACGAACCCTGATGGAGGAAGGGTAATTAATTTATAAAAATGTATGGTGAAAAAAATGGTCTTTCAATAGTTCTTAACACTTAAGATCTATAGCAAATTCACCTTGTAATATGATGCCTAAGTCTATGCTGTGTAAAGCTTTTAAGGTTTATACAATTTTATAAATGGCACTAATAAAAGCACTTCTTAAAGCAGTTAGCCACTTGAAGGTAATTCTTTTAATTCTACTTCTTTCAAATCAGCATGGCTGAGGTTTGATGGTGAAATCACTATATTGTTAAACAACTGTTTGGTAGTACATGTAACTAACTCCACCTTTTTTTGAAAGCCCCATGTTTGAAATCAATATTTTTGAAACAACTGCATTCACATTTACAGCCATGCCAAAAAATTAAACTTAGAAGACATTAGTTAATTGATGCTTATAATTGATCCTATTTCATGCATAAATATATAACTGTATATTTCAGACTTCCCTTAATACTTGCATAGTCAATCCTTGAGGTTCAAAATATGTTAAATCTTTTTTTTTTCTAATTGTAAAGTAGATTTACAGTTAACAAGTTTAGAGCAACATAAGTCATATTATAAAATAGGAATACACATTTTTAAAATTACATTATTTTCAATATGCAGTTACAACTTACATGTTTAAAATATACATTCAAGTTAAGCTCCACATGTTCATAACAAAAATTATTTAAGATTTTATTAGTGAACAAAAGTAGTCTTGCTAACCAAGATAAAACTCTTATTATTTTAACCAATTACTTCATTTATTAGCTATGTATTGTTAGCTTAATTTTCAATAGGCATAATGCTTACAATAAATTATCAATGTCAGATATATCAGTAAGGAGTAAAGTATACCTCATGGCTAGAATTTGAGTTATTTTCTTCCTCATTAGGCACCACCACCATCACAGTTAATCAGAAAAAAGTGAAGCATTTGAAAAAAAAAAAATTTTATACTGTTAACAGTCCATTATTACTAAGCAAAGTGTTTATACAAAGCTAATAGAAGAGATAAGAAAAAGCTATTGGTTTACTTTTATGAACTGTCAAGAATTTAATTTTAAACACGCTGAAACAAAAATTCATGTATTGAAAATGCTGCAATGCACAGTACTTGTACAAGTAAAATAATCCGAAAATCTAGTTTCATAAAACATTTATTAAATTATGCACTTTTCTTTATTAGAAAGGATGTATTTAACTGGGCCTAGGCTTATAGTATTTGTTTACATAACTGAGTGGACATCAGTTCAAGCCTTTGAAAAAAATAATTGCTATAACCAGTTTTGGTTGCAAATTTGTAAAAAAATATTTTTGGGAAATATTTTAAAAGCAATATCCATAGACTACTGATAGTATGTTAGTAGAATTAATAAATGATTTAATAGCATCTTATTGGCTGAAAATGTTCTTACAATGATTTAAAAAGTAAAGAAGCATTAAAAAACAATATTGTGTACATTGTAAATTTCACTAAAGAAAATGGATGTTAAAGAAATGTGTATTTAAAATGTTTATTTACTTAAAATCTAAAACAATATGACATCCTATATATTGTGATTAAGTAGCATTTTATTTGATTCTGTACCAAAAATAAAGAATTCAATTTTTCAAATAAGATAAAAGGAAACCTAATGAAATAAAAATATTTCCTAGTTTTTCAATGTACATGTTTTTAGATTTAGTACTGTAAAACAGCTGAAGTACATACTTTGTTCATTTAAATCAATACATAGTAACATTCTATAAATAAAAACCATGATGTAAATACATTTCATTTTAAACATAGGCATTTTAAAAAAATTATGTGCATGTACAATTTAAAACAGTCACACATTTTTAAACTGACACCCCCATTTTTTACATTAGCTTTCATCTGAAACAAAAACTATGCAAACAATACATCAAGTACAAGAAATATTTTTTTTGTTCAAATGTAACCTAATCTAAACCTGAGTAAATGAATTAACCAAGATGTAAAACAGTTAAGGTTTTTAAAAATGCTTTTTTGAATGTTTTATAATGACAATTTACACTTTTTACAGATGTGTAGAAAATAAATCCCTTTTCCAAAATACTAAAAGCAAATTAAAAATGCATGAACATTGTTATTATAAAAGGAACCAGTATTATACAAACACTAATTATGGTATGTCAATAACAAGATCAGAAATGCTATCATTATCATCACTTTCATGGACTTCCATTGCATTTTGTGGATTCTCAGAGCTTGTATTTAAAATACTGGCATTTTTTAGTTTTGTTATTTTATTCTGAGTTAATCTTGCTCTATATCTTGCTTTTGTACGTGTTATGTTTCCTTTAGTTTTTGCAACAGGCAATTCTGAAGACTTGAGCAGTAATGAAGCCTTCGAAGTTTGGGTCTGCATGCTGGTTGACTCTGTTAAATTAGAACTTACACTTCTAATAACTTCAGATTTAGCTGGCATATTGGATGGTGAAGATGGCTTGTCAAATGCAAGGGTTGTCTTACCATCATCTTTCTTCGTTCTCAAACTTAAACTCTTTATGCTGCTACTTTTGACTTTATTCTTAGCAGTTTCATCAGCAACTTCTGTTTTCAATTCGCTATTAACTTGGATAGAATTGTCACCGGAATCTTCTGTAGCTTTTGAAATTGCTGATTCTGTACTTTTGCTATCTGCTGCATCACTTTCACTTGAATTAGACTCAACTTCTGATTTTACTCCATTAGCCCCTGTCACTGAAGAACTATCTAATGATTGTGATGAATTCTCTATTAAATCTGTATGATCACTACAGATTTCTAAACCATCTACCTTGTACATATTTCCTTCTATGTGGGCAGCACAATATGAGTTTGGGCATTCTGAACACTTGCTGATGGCTGGCTTTCCACATTCATCACAGTGATGCCATGGACAAAGCCATTTGCCTAGAATTAATAGTTTTATAAAAAAATATTTCAATAAAAAATAAAGCTTTGATTAGTCAAATTATTCTAATAGTAAACAGTAGACATGACTTCAGTTTTTTTTTTAAATTAGGAATTTTAAGCATCAATGAGGAAATGGACATGGTTATTACTCTGCCGAACAATAAAATAATAAAATGAAAAAAAATATCTTAAATATACATAGAATATTTTTGCAAATAGTACTTCTCAAATGAATTTTTAGATTGAACTTAAAAAAAAACAGGTAGATCTATTCTTATTGCTTTTGATGAGATTTGCATCACTAACACCAGTTCTGTTTTTGCAATTGTTTTCTTGCTTTGTAAGTCCATGAGAATCTAACTGGGTATTTAACTAATACTGTCAGTATATCCTAATTTTGTTAACAATTCACACAAACTACACAATGAAAATTTGTATCCCTATTCCTTTTCAAAAATGTATCTTGGTAATAAAAAAAACTATACCTGATGGGGGCTTGGTTAGCTTGAGACACTGAAGATGATACACTTTGGGACAATTGCCTTTATCACACATAACTAGTTCCCCGCCTTCACCACATCTGTAACAATCATCTTCATGCTCTTTACGAGGATCCAACTTCTTTTTTCGTCGTTTCTTTTTAGCTTCTTTGGCTTTTTTCTCATTGGCTGTAGCTGCAGCAGTCTGTGTTTTTGCATACAAATAAATAATAAGTTACATTGAGGATAAATTCCTATTTTTTAAGAAATGTTTACTATTTTAGTTAAACATGTTGTAATTTTACCTTAGGACGGACTCCTAAAAATCCACTGCAGTTATCAGAGCCACAAGCACAGGCTTTCTTTTCATTGCCAAGACATTCTAAATTATAGTTGAAAGTCAGCTCAGAACCTAAAAAACAATAACATGTTAGTTTGTTCAACAGCCAAAAGTTTTAAACTAAGTGAGAGCATACTATTTAAGATTGTTTCTGAAAAACTGTGCCAATAAAAGTTACCTTTAGAAATATTACAGAGAGCAAAGAGTCCAACTCTAATGTCTCCATTTACCATCCACTTTTGTGTTTCAAGATTTGGACAACAACTATGATTCATAAATCTGGAGTAGTTACCCTTTGGTCCAGCATCTATTATTCTGAAACAGTATTGCACATAATTATTTGAAAGAATTTCAACTTCAAAAGAAAATGTTGCTATGAAGTATTGCCATTTAAAATAACTAATTTTATCATTACTCAAAATTTCACAAACCTGTTTTTATCCATTGTAAGCATATAAAAGTTAGTGATATTATCATCATGGGCTTGTTCAATTCTTCTTTTACATTCCTCTTCATCAATAAGATCACCAACATATTCTTGTACAAACTGACCCTTTAAAATTAATTTCAATAAATGGATTAAGATTGGTGAAAAGCTTTACATACTTTAGTACATAAAGTGTAGAAATCTGATGTAAATGGTTACAGAGCCAAGGGAAATAAATATTAAGAAAGTAGAGATATGACTGGACCGTGATAAATTAAGGAAATCTTTTGATCAGTCCTTTTAATTAATTGTGATTTTTTTCCCTTCATGCCTTCATACCACTTTTTTTTATTTTTTGCAATTATTTTTTTTATACTATGAAAAGCATGAGAGAAAAAATGTTTCTCAACATGTAACTTATCATAACATAAATTGGTTGTGTTCTATTTGTACTCTAAATTTAATAATTGCTGAAATAGTGTTTTAAGTCCCTGACAACAGGTTTTGAAGCATCATAACAAATAATTTCTTAGTTACATGAAGCAAATTTTATTACCTTTTTAATATCCTCCAGGCATTTTAGACCCCACCCTCGAGCTTCACTTTTAAAAGGTTCACATTCAGGATATTGGCGTTTCTGAAAACGCTGGTTGTGACATTTTTCACCAGCAGGACATACAGCTGGGTGGCATTCATACATCATCATCTTATTAAGACAATCAGATGTACAAGCATCTTCTTGATCTGGTTTACACTCACATCGGGGTATTTCAGATAACTCAGCTTTGTATATTTGTACACTTCCAATTGGAACATTACTCTGAACATAGGAAGCAAAATATTTGAATTTAAATGAAAGGAAAATCACAAATCACTTATCTAAAGTGTATAGACACCTTGTAAATTAAATATAACACAAGAACTACAGGCTTAATATCTGTAAATGAATAATATAAAGTAAGGATTACTATTTTGACCTTAATGAATTTGTATGGAGCTGGCTTTTTATCATAGCGTTCTTGCTCTTGTTCCACTTTTTTTGCTTTAGCTGCAGTCCACAATTTAAATGCCTCTGTGGCCTCTTTAACACCTTTCATGTAAATTTTAAATAATCCTCTGGATGAGCCTTCTTTACTTCCTTTATCACCTTCTTGAAACAGAAAAACCCTGGATGCAATAAGAAAATCTGAATTAAGTTTATTATAATGTTTATTATAATTTTTAATGTAAATCTCTCTAGTTTAGTATAGTAAAGCAAAAATGTTCTAACTTTGAAATTGGTTATAAAAAAGGAATTCAAGATTTTTATTTCTAAATTGCAAAATTCTTGGGAGTGATAGCATATTACTGAGATTATCTTCCACCTTTAAACTTTTATTTTTATAATACACCATTTCATTTCTTTAAATTGAAATTAATAAACAAGTATCTAACTCTAGTGGCAGAATAACTTTTTGTATTTTACTAATATTTTTAGGACAACATTTTTAACTAAACATTTATTTGACAAACTTTTTACGAATTCCTTTAACCTACCTTCCTCTATGAATCCAATAATAATCATGAGATCCAAAAAATCTAACAGGAAATTCCCCAACTTGATGTGCTTTTTCTTGAATATTTAATGGGACATGTCTTGGATGACAAATTTCTCCAGGCCACCACCTTGTATAGAAATTTCAGAAAAAAGTGATTACTACAGTGAGAATTTGAAAAAAAGATTATTAATAATTACAATAACTTTAGTCAATAACATTCAGGAAAAACATTTCCTCATTACTACATCAGAAGCTAAAAATAAAACTAAGTACCTGTAGTTCCCAACTTTGATCCAGACAATGTTGCCATAGAGGGGTTTTCTCCCTGCTGCACAGTCCATACAGAACCATGCTTCTTCTGGTGTTTTCTCTACCTTTACACATTCAGCATGGAAAGCTGCTGGACATGTTTCACAGCATAACAGGGTACCACCTGGGAGAAATGAAGCAATGTTAAAGACTTAATCTTCTCTATTCCTGAGGGAGCATATGGCCTCAACCATAACCTTCATTTATACTGGCTGTTGATTTTGCAGCCTGTCAAGACATCCCCACCATCTTCGATTCTTTAGTAGACTCCATAAGTAATGTTAATGCAGTACACATTTTTTTTAATTTGATAATTCAATACTTTTAAGTAAATATTCTATCAAAACATTTTGAAAAAAAAATGATAATTGGATTTGGGACAATTTTAACAAAGTTAGTGCATAATTTACCTTTACTACAACTAAAACACCAAGTAATATTCAAACGAGAATGGCAGCTCAGGGATCTATTAGGTTGAAAATGGTCACTACAGACGATGTATGTACCAGCCAGATTTACGCTGCCTGCAGCTACACAAAAATCTCCAACATGGTAAGCAGTTGGACACCTTATACATCTATAAAAGCGACCTGAAATTTGAATGAAGATAACAATTCGTTAATATCTGTAATCATTTAATTTTTTTTAAATCACTTTTTAAAAAAAAAGAAGCTTGCCTTTTATAGCTTTTGGATTCTTGATATTGTCCACTGCACAAGTAGCGCATGTATGTAAAGGGCATACAAAGCCTTTGTTTTCCCAACGAGTTAAGCGGTATTTTTTAATACAGTCCTCATGATAATATTTACCGCACAAGTTAACCGAGCATTTTATGGTCTCCATATCAGCCTTCTTGCAAGAAAAGCAAGCATGGATTCCTGTAATAAATCATTTTAAAATGTAATTGTTAGTTGCATTTTAAACACTGCGTAGTTTTATAATTTCCTTTCAAGGTTATTTCATTGCCATGTGAAGATATTGTTTTTACTTATAAATCAGCTACTTTAATTAAATTTTAAAATTGACATGGCAACAAATACATATGTCCAATAAATGAAATAATGTCCAGAATAAAATGTCCCCATTATGGCCCCAAATTTGTTACTTTTTCAATAAACAGTATGTCTGAAATAATTAGCTAAATATTCAAAAAGAAAAATGTCTTAAATTCAGTTAAAGCAATACACACCTGATGTACATTCAGAACATACATATTGAGCCACATCTTGAGGATCACAATTAACGCAAGATGGATGAAAATGTTGCCCACAGTTTTTACTGCACTCAAAAACATCACAATTTTTCTCACAGACAACACATATTTTATCCTTATCAATTTTGCAGGTTGTGTTCAGTTTGAAAATTTCAAGTTCATAAGGTTCATTTTCTCTCAATCCTTTACCTTTACTCTAATATTTCAGAATGAGGAATAAATAGTAATTAGAACAAAAAAGTTCAAAGTAAGCTTTGCAATATATTTTAGACACGCTTTAAAGAATGTACCATGCAATTATAATAAATAAACATGAAGCAATGAATTACCTCTGTGCTTGAATCAGATTCCTGGCTGACTTTTCGTGCAGACAGGGCTGATGCTGCAATTTTAGGTCGTGAACTTTCCTCGTCAATGGCAGAATTTTCTTCTGAATCAAGATTGATAGCTAAAGGAGCGGGAGTTTCTTCAGGCTCTGGTTGTGAAATTATGTTCTTGAAACTTCTTCCTCTTTTGCGAGGCTGACTTGTGATTGACTGAAATTGTTTTAATAACTTTTTTAAAAAATGTGTAAAATTATACATTATTTATTATTGCTTACACTATTCAACAAGATTATTAGTAAGGAAACATGGTGGTTAAAATGACCAGACAGAGGGATACAAAGGTGCTATGAAGGTAATTAAATAACCCTCCATTTATGAAAAAATAATCACCTCATCTCTTATTTCTGAATTGGAATCAGCAACAGAACTTTCTGCATTTATTTTTAGCTTAGCAGGTCTGCCTCTTTTGATGCTTCCTATAGTATGTATAGATATAAACAAATTATAATTTTGCCAAAGAATGAAATTCTGTAGGTATCTAAATTCCAATTAAATAATTTTAAAATCTAAAAACAGAAATGTTTGCCAAATGTGTTAAATTACATTTAGTGATATATTGTATAAATACTAAACACAAATTATATTAATGTACTAGTTAAACATATAGTCTAAATCACAATACACAAAGCTAGAAAAAGCTGTTTTACAGTGCCATCACATTTATATTAACCCTACCTGTGGGAGTAGATTGTGAAGGGGTGCCTAAAGGTTCCTTAGAGGTTTTCTTTTTTTCCTTTTCCCATTGTTGTCGCAAGTACTCAAACACAAATGTTGTATCCCATTCAGGGTGTTTTTCAATGACAGTGCTGCGATGATTTGCATAATATGCATCAAATGAAGTTTCCGCACCGATAGGTGTGCCAACTAAAGAGCTGACATCTAACTTACGTCTTTTATTTTTTTGTTGAACAGGGGTTGTTGAACATTTTTCCTCTGAAGTTCTTTTACGCTTTGCTCCTGTAACTTGTTTAGGAGATTTTGCATTCCCTGTAGCATCAACTTTTTCTTTCTTTAACTGCTGCTCTTTTTTCAGCTCATCCATAAATACATATTCAAAGGTAAATTGCACTTTTCTTTCAGTTAATGATAAAGCCATAGCTTGCTCTGCTTCATCAACAGCTATATTCCAAGCATGACGTCTAGATATATTAATTTTGTATGGATTATAGGCACTTTTACCTCTTTTACATTGTCTGGTTAACTCAGTTTGAGCTTTCTCTAAAAAATTCAGTTTTCCTTCGAATAACATTAATGATGGTTCATTAACCCAACCTCTTTCAACTTCATTTCCAAAAAACTGTACATGATAAGATCTGATTATTCTGACATCACCTATGATTTCAAAATACAAATTGTATCATTATTGTTTTAGTTTTCTAATGTTAGCATAAGCAAACTAAAAAAAAATTTTTTTAAAGAAAAATAATGAAGTGACAATTGAAATATAGAAACTTAAATTTTTAAAATGTTTAAAACATTGAAGTCATTACCTTTTATTCGTGTAAACATCTTAGTAAAAGGGCATTTGGATACCATGCATGGCCAGTATGGATGACCACTGACCTTTGCCCATAGCATGTCACCCTCTTGCCATAAAGGTGCACATTGCAAATTGTATGCTGTTGAGTCCATAGCTAAAAGTTTTTCAAGTTGTGACTCTGTTGGTACTTCTGTGGGCAAAATTAACACACATCTTGGAATGTGACACTTTGGTAATGTCTCGTCTGTCTTTCCACTCTCTGCTTCCTCAATGTCAGTATCTCCATGAGGCATTTTAGTTTCATCATGTGGCATTGATTTATCTGAAGTTGTGTCCATGGTTTCCACGTTTTTAACATCTACGCCCATCTTGGAAGTTCTTTTCTTTTTTTCTAGTGGGCTCTCCTTCTTTTTCTTTATTTTATCCTCCATAGCTGTGTCTGAGCTAACATCTTTTGATTCAAATTTCAAATTACAGGATGGAGGCAAATCTGGAGATGGTACTTGTTTTTCATCTTCCAATACTGAAGTATTTTTCTGGCCACATGAATTCAAACCATCTGGCTTGTTGGACACCAGATCAGTTTTAACTGCAGCAATAGAACTAGTTGAGGCATCTTTTTTAGTTCTACCCCCACTTACGGCTTTTGCTGATCTTTTCTTCTTATTTGGTAAAGTAGAACTGGTGTTCAAATCTGTATCTTTACTTTCACTATTAGCTGACAATTGTAAGCCTAAACTTTCTTTGTTTTCAGATTCTGTACACTGATACTCAGAAATACTGTCTGTTAATATTTTGATCACTTTGGATGTGCCTTCAACATGTAAGACAGCAGCTTCATCTCTAGGCTTAAATTCATGTTTTGCACTAGACTTGCTTTGAGCTGTTCTCACATTTCTCCCCATGGTAGGAAGTTGTGGAAGACGGTGACATCCAGCAGCAGTAGGTGGGGAGCTCAAATTAGCTGATGGTACTCCTTGCTCAGACTCCATAATTTTTATATGCCATCTACAACACTGAAATTTAAAAAAAAGTTTTATTCATAAAAAAAAAAAACACCAATAATAGTAATACCTAATGAAAGAAGAACACAAAATCCAATAAGATATATCATTGGCTAATATAAATAAGCCTAGGAACAGAATTTTTTTTCTTAACATTTGCATATTTTAGTCAGTTGTATTTTTTATAGATTTATTAGGCTTTTTATTTATTATGCCTTCAGTAGAAATTTTAATTTTTTGTAAAACATGAGAAAGTTTTCACACAAATATTAAAACAAATATTTATATATCTTTCAATAACAAGCTTTTAAATGTTCATAAAAGCTTTGTGATCTTTTATATATTTTAACGACCAAAGCTTTTGTGAACTGAAAGAGAGCAAATTAAGTTCATTTTCTTACTTTCAGCCCGTTTAAAAGCTTGTTTATAGAAAGATTTTTTTATATTTGTTATATTTTCTACTTTTTTGGTAATTCATAATTTATGAAGTTAACACTAACTGTTGCTGTGACAAAAAAATATTTGCTTAAAAACAGCAGTTTGCAATATCTGAAAGTGAAAGATGATTATCTGATCCATGAAAGCAGCCGGTCCATGACCACAGTTTACCGATGACAGCAAGCGGATCAACTTGCTACCTCCTCTTAGTTTCAAGTTGTTTAAACTCTTTCATCTGCCCCTAATAGCTTTTTCTAACTTGACTCAGCTCTACAATTGTAAACATTCTGCATGAACCACAGCAGACTAGTCGGGTGATTGCATCTAGCTAGCTATCTCCCCTTCTGTTATTGAATATAGTGATCTATTGAATGATCGCCAGCATTTAATCTTTCTATCTCCTCTTAATTTCAAAACCAGTTAATTAATTTTAAGTTACTAGTTTTAGATCTAGTTAAGTTAAAAAATAGATATCCTTGTATTGTCTTAGAAGTGGAAAGTATCTAGAAAGTTTGGACAAAATTGCTGCATCAGGAGAGGGTTAAAATTGAGTTACGAGATTTGTCACAAACCCACAAATGGACATTGAGAAGTAAGTAAAAGCTTGTAGAAAGAACATTTGACTTGACAGGCATACATGTAAGCAATTATTAATAAATACATAGGGTAATAAAAAATGTTGCTGAATTTAATTTGACTTAACTTTAAAATTAGTAGGCAATTTTTTAATATATTAGATTAACTGATTCTCTGGCAGATGCTTTAGGCTAATTAAAACAACATTATTTCCTTAAGTATTGCCTATTGCTATTTATATTATTAAATTACTGGCATTGATATCTAGGCCTTCACCTAACTTTTTAAATTTATTCCAAGAATTTTAGATTAGTTCAATAATTTCTACAGACAAAATGTTAATAAAAGAAAACCATTAGGCCTACTTCATTACTTCAACCCGAAAAACATACCAAAAGTAAAAGTATGAAAATATCTGTAGCCTAATGAATAAATGAACAACTAGGTAAGGCCTAATAATATATGAACATACTTATGGAAATCAGACTATCAGTATTAATAATGTCCAACAATTAGTTAGACTCTCAAAAATAGGTGTTAGGTTGCTGGTGGTATTGTAATCTCAGAATTAGTGCTATGGTCAAAAATTAGGGTTAGGGCTATGACACAACTTGGGTGACTCTATTAGGGTTTGCACTGACATGTCATATTTGAATTTTAGTTAACTAGGGCCTATCAGTAATCTATCTAACACCCTTTTTTTTAAACTCAACTATTGTAATATTATCGGAAACTGGTATAATATAGGCCTATTTGTGTTAAACTGTTTAAATGTCTCAAGCATCTGCAAATAAAACTCGCTTAACAAACACCATGGAGAAGTTTCTTAACGATTACATTGTTGAACAGCATTAAAGTATACACCATGCTCCAAAACCTTTAAAATCATTTATTTCAATTTTATGTCAAAATAGGACTAAAAATTATTTTTAAGAACGTATGAATCAGAATTTAGAAAAACAAACATTTAGGATGGGGGAGGTCCTACTCGATAAATAGGCCTATTAAATCTGAATTAGCTGTGGCAGAAAATGGGCTATGGCCTAAAACTACATTTTTTTACTACAATTTTGCTGGGGATTGACAATATGAATTATTTAGGCCTATTCATTATTCTAGCTAGTTAGCTAGATCTAGAACTAAAATTAGAATACTATAGGCTACTATTCTCGGATGATTTTAGATACCGATGTCCGATAATAGACTCTTCCATAAAATTGGTGTGTTGGGTTGTTTTGTAATCTTGACTAATCCTGGACTAATTATGGTTAGAAATTAGGGTTAGGCGTATGGTAGGACTAAGGTTGGGGTTAGGGACAGGGTTAGCATTGACATTAGCCAGTAACTGAACACCCCTTTTTTTATAAAACTTTCTAGATCTCTATTATCTGAAACTGGTATTAAAAAATAGTATGAAAATTCCCCCCTATTCCTATGCCTATTCTCTTAGATTTTAGAACAAGAATAGATCTTGAAATCTAGTCAAATGCTAACTTGCAATACTCTGTAAACTTACTTAAGTAAGTAAATCTAGACTAATCACTCATCTAGAGACATGCCAGAATAGATTGATAATCTTGTTAACTCATGTCTTTTGGTTTTTCAATGAGTGGTTGTGTGTGGAGTGAGGGAGCAGGCAAAATCCAAATCAATGAGGTTGTGAATGTTGGTGTCTCGTGGAGGTGTAAACTTGGTCAATCTCTTGAAATTTTAATTTGAGTATTAAACGTATGTTGGGTGTTTATTTCTGAAGTAACGCTTTGAATTGATTTAAAAGAACAAACCTAAATTTTAATATCCATATTTAAATTTTTTGGGTTAACTGGGCTTGTACAAGTAAGATAGCGTCTATTCAACGGCCACGGGAATGAACTGCTGAAAATAAGAATCTTCTTCCGGCTGTATGTCGGGAATTTACGGCGCGAAAATGTTACACACTTGTACCTTACCATGTTATTGTATTAAGAGCCCTCCTTTATAATCCATCTCTGTTCTTACTTACTTTCCCTTTCTCCACACACAATGATTAAAAGTGTCATATTATTTAAAGAAATGCTGGGTCATAATGAATCCCTCTACTAATCTAATACAAAACTTTGTATCACATAACCTTATGACCAAAAAAAAATTGTTTTAGGCCTAATATAGTTCCAACCATTGGCATATGCCATGGCGGCCATGCGAATCAATATAGGCAATATTTATTTATTAGGCTATTTTACATATATTTAATTAAAATATAATAGTATACAATCTCTCATGTTGCTATAACAATATAAAATTGACGAATTTTACTTAACCTAGAATTATAGGCCCAATAATTAATAAAAGTGTTAAAGAATTAATTATGGTTGGCAACAAGTAGGCCTAACTAACTGAAATGTAGTCTCTTAAAATAAAGTTAAAAACTATAGATCTAGATCTAGAAAGCGACATTTTACAATTTAGCCAAACTGAGCCTATACCTTATTATGACCTTTATTTTATATAGCTTGATTTTTAAATAGCCTACATATTATATGATTAGAATTCGTTTTTAAAGAAACATAGCCTAGGCCTAGACCCAGCCCCATATACTAGAAAGAATCTACCTACAAACAAGTGTTATTATTCTTAATTAAAATAATTAACTTTGACAATATCATTATTATTTTAATATTTTTTAATGGATTTGTTATCAAAATACTACTTTTATTTTTTTAATCAGTTAGAGAGTTAATACTAGTCTAGATCTAAATCATTTATGCTTACCTAGGAACAAAAAAGGTTAACTTAACACCTGGAAATATTGGTCTTAATCATTTCTGCCACTTTTTAGTATGCTTATTTATAGAATCCAGTTTAATCCTAGAAAAGCAAGAAATAAGAGAGGTTTTTTTTTATTATTATTCATTTATCATACTAGATCTAGATCTAATTGTTTTGAAAGAATTTTTTTATATCCAAATCTGCTTTTTTAAAGTGAACTAATGCAGTCTACCTAAAAACATAAACCTTGGTAGATTTTTTTTAATCTACTAAAGATAGGTAGACCTATAAACTATAAAATAAGGTTAAGAATGCTAGTTGAACTTACACCCCAATTTATTTTTTTAAGCACAGTGAAATCATCTAACCAGTTACATCAAGACAAAAACAAATAGCTTATTTTTATTGAGGGAGTGCTTTGTTCTAGTAATTTAACTTAAGCTCATTTAAGTTGTATTCATCTTTCAGTACTAGAATGGGGAAAACACCATATATATATATATATATATATATATATATATATATATATATATATATATATATATATATATATATATATATATATATATATATATATATATATATATATATATATATATATATTTAATCATTTATATATTTATACATATGTGTTTGTATATATATGGAGAGAGAGACCTATATATATTCATATATATATATATATATATATATATATATATATATATATATATATATATATATATATATATATATATATATATACATATATATATATATATATATATATATACATATATATATATATATATATACATATATATATATATATATATATATATATATATATATATATATATATATATATATATATATATATATATATATATATATATATATATATATATATATACACACTTGGGATGTGTAGGTTACACTTTCTCAGGGCCTCTGGTTTGCTTTAGTCATTGATTGTAGTAGCTCACCATATCCATAGCATTGGGCGCCCTCTTAAACAAATGTAGAATTCATTGTAGCTCAGGGCGTTACAGATAACAAAACTACTGGAGCAGTGTTTTTTCAGGCTATTTTCTACAGAGGGAAGGGGCACTTGAAAATTTTGGGAAGGAGAGGCTGGCGCTGAAAAAGTGAAGTATATATATGAATCCCAACACCACCACACCCCCCTATCCCCAAAGATATGCGCCAATGGACATCCCTGGTGCAGTATAAGCATTCATTCATAAAACCCCCAGGCTGCATAAAAGACATACAGTTACTTTCATATATATATATATATATATATATATATATATATATATATATATATATATATATATATATATATATAGGCAGATGTGGAGCAGGGGCACAACAATGTAGGCAGATGTGGAGAAAGGCATAACACTATAGGCAGGTGTGAACAGGGGCATAACACTGTAGGCAGATGAGTAGCATGGGCACAACACTATAGGCAGATGTGGCACAGGGACATAACACTATAGGCATATGTGGAACAGGGGCACAACACTATAGGCATGTGGAACAGGGGCGCAATGCTATAGGCAGATGTGTAGCAGGGGCATAACACTGTAGGCAGATGTGTAGCAGGGGCATAACACTGTAGGCAGATGTGGAACAGGGGCACAACACTATAGGCAGGTGTGAACAGGGGCATAACACTATAGGCAGATGTGGAACAGGGGCACAATGCTATAGGTCAGGGGTCTCCAAACTTTTCAGTCCGAGGGCCGCATTAACAATCAAATTTCAATTCGGGGGCCAGTTTCTTCATGATTTTTCTGGGCAAATTTCCTCAGCCATCACCAACAAACGTTTTATTCCGTGGACAAAAAGATCTACACGGGCCGGATGAGAGGACACCGCGGGCCGCATCCGACCCACGGGCCGTGGTTTGGAGACCCCTGCTATAGGCAGATGAGTGGCGGGAGCAAGGGCACAACTCTATAGGCAGATTTGGAGCAGGGGCACAACACTATAGGCATATGAGTGGCGGGAGCAGGGGCACAACACTCTAGGGAGATGTGGAACAGGGGCACAACACTATAGGCAGATGTGGAACAGGGGCACAACACTATAGGCAGATGTGGAACAGGGGCACAACACTATAGGCAGATATGGAGCAAGGGCGCAACACTATAGGCAGATGAATAGAGGGAGAAGGGGGAGAACATTACCGCGTCATCGGTCCCTCTTTCGGAGATTAATACAACTTTTAAATAATACAAGATTCGCGCAATCTTGATTAGAAATAAAATCATTATAGTGGTCTTAAAGATTTACCAAATGTTGTGTAAAGCTCTCGGTAACACTAACATAGCTTTTTAGTGCAAAATATCACTCAACTTTAATATTTTTATCTGCTTTTTACTTTATCGTGAAAACTGCTCTTCATCTTTTCTGAGGATGTGTCATCAACAGAGGCTTAACGTGGGCGGGGTGCGGACCGCATCGGGTGACACCATTTAGGGGGTGACACCAAGGCAAAAAATGCAAACTGTACAGAAGAAAAATGCAGTTTGCCGGTTCCATTAATTAATGATTAAATTAAAGTTAAATGGTCTTCTAAGTACAAATCGACATTTAGTAAATGTGGGTGTGTGTGACACAGTGTGACGGCAGTTATTAAAGCTATACACACACACGCATATATATATATACTTTGTTTCGTTGTGGGGGGGGGGGGGTGACACCACGAAGTGCCGCAACGGGTGATACCCGACCTAGCGTAAATTTAAACAGCTGTTCAAAATTACGAGCTAGATTTAATTCAAATGTATTCTATTCATCGTTGAGTTCCTATGTTTTTTATTGTTGTGAGGCTTAATTTCTGCTAACTTTAGATAGAAAGCTTGGCGGCAAAGAACAGCCGTCTGTACGCATAAATGCCACGTTGGATAAAAGCGAATATCGTTTAGCCTTATGATGGCTTCTATCAAGATTTGACTTTGACAACTATATTTATGACTATTTTAGTATTGGCGGGAGCTTGGTCTATGTGGACATAGAAACCAATCTAAAGCAAAGCATTTTGCGTCTTCTAGTACTGCTGTTTATTATGAAGTAAAGATGAAATGCAGATGGATATAACATTCTATAGGCTATATCTATCTGAACAGTCGATTCTGCCATGTTACTCCTCTGGACGAATATTGTAGTTAGAGTTGCAACAACAAAGAATGATACACAAAATATCCAATTTCAGTCTTTATATATGACACTGTCGGACATATTTCTCTAACAAAAAACTAAGTAAGAGTATCAAACCTTAAAAGAGGTCCCAAAATGCTTTTGATAACTAGCAGACCTTCTATAACAACAGGCAGAATGAAAGTGGCAGCCTGAAAGGAGATCTCAAAAAGGTTGATTTATACCCTTGCTGACTTACAAATTACAGAGACAAGCAGACATAAGTGAACATGTGGGAGCACCTGGCCCAGTGACAGAACTTCGAGGAGAGGCTGTGCGCATGGTACTCTCACTGCTGAAGGTAAAAAGGCCGAAGAAATCTACGAGAAGAAGTAAAACATCTTCCCAAATTGAACTAGAAATGTAACGTAGTTTATTGACGGCCCATATAGGAGAGATAGTCAAATGACGTCACGCTCTTTTTGACTATTTTTACCCAGTACCCACCTCTCCCTCCGTCACAAATCGTCACAAAATACCAGACCCCCCCCCCTTAAAATGACGTCACATCTCAACCTACAATTCCCCCCCCCCCCTTTCAAAATTGCTGTTGCATTTCCCAGATACGGCATGTTGTTTGTGAGATAATAAGCAGATGTCATCAGCAAAATCTAGATCCTCCAGCCTTTTGGTGAAATTCCACTGTATTCATGTGTCGTTGTTTTGCATGATCTAGTCAATTACCATCAAGAATAACATTGGTGAAATTAAATATCCCTGTCTGACTCCCATTTTTCGTTTTCCTTTGTGGATTACCTGACAGGCAGAATTTTCATACAGATGCCATGATAGATACATTTTTTTATTCCATATTGGCTTTCAGATAACATCTCTACTCACACTGTAAAACGCCTTTTTGAAGTCGCCAAAAGTCAATTATACGGGGGATAGCTGCTCAAAGGACTGTTCAATAATGATGCACACTGTGGCTATGTGGTCAGTACATGACCAGTCATGTCGAAAACCAACCTGTTCTTGTCTAAGTTTTTATTGTCAAGGCCTCCAAGTCTCTCTATGATGATTCTTGCCAGCATCTTTCTCTGGCAGTTTTATCAGGTGGCTTACTCAAATGTGACACTCCAGTCGCTTGAGTGGAATACCCAGAAAAGGCGAAAGAGAGCGCACCCAAGACAGACCTGGAGGTGGAGTCTCATTGAAGAACTTAAGGGATGTATTCGGAGACTGCAAAATCAACAAATCTGGCTTTTTGTGACAAAGTGTGACACTGGGGATAGGGGGGGGGGGGTAAACAGTTTTTTTTAAAGCGTGAGGTCATTTATGGATGACCGCCCCCCTCCCCCCCCCCCCCCCCTTATGCTGGATAAGGATAAGGTTAAACGTAAGTAACCCATGACACTACTGGTTACGCCACTACAACCTAACTACTAAAATCCGAACATCCAAATTCTAATGAGTGTGTCGTAATTTATTAAGAATCACCCCTGAACAAACAAATACGAATGTGGTTTCAAATTTTAAAAATTAATGAATTTTCAGGTTGGTTTGTCAATGCTCGGTTAATAGTGTTAACAGCCGGTAGACCAATATGCCTGGTTGGATTTGAAACTTTTGTTGAGCAGCCTGATTATTTTACTAAATGAAAGTCCACTCTAAAAGCTACGTGGAATCAAGGAATGTTTTTCAAATTGGGTAAAAAATGGTTTTATGAAGTTGATAGAAATTGGAAACGTTGTCGAAGAAAAGGAAAGTATACAAGTTTAAATACTCTAAACTAGTAGGGTTATAAAATAAAAATAATTACATTTTAGGAAATGTATTTCGTGTAGGAAATCGCAATTGTTTTTATGTTTCTGTTTTTCTGCTGTTGCTTATTTTTATGTATTTTAAAATTAGTTTTGGATGTTGCAGTAGTATCAAAATTATTAAAATCATTTAGATTTACTATTTTGGAAAATATATAACTTTCACCCCCAAATTGGTCTGCATCCTGGACACAGACTTTCACCTTGGGGTTTAGTTAATTTTAGAGTATTCTAACACCAAAAAGTAAATAAATAGTTATAAAAAATAATTACGTGATATTCTCATGCTATACAGTTGATGATTACTGACAGTAAAAATGTGGAGGTCACAGACTTCAAAACAGGTATGGTTCAAAATATCTAAACTGTACCGTACTTAGTACTTAGTATTTATCTGATCTATCTAGAATCTAGTTTTCTTGACTGAGATAACTGATAGACGATAGAGTTCTACATTCGTGCCTGCAAAGTTCATAAGTAAAGTTGCCAGTGCTGCACTACACGTTTCTACTACACTACTCTACCTACCTACAGTTACACTACAGTAGTCTACAGTTAACTACAGTACACCCTATAGTACGCTACACTTAACTACACACGAGTCTAACACAGTTCAATCACAGGTAGATCTGGTAATCTATTGTTTTGGGTACGCAAAATCGCCCGCGACTAGTAATGTGAAAAACAGGTGACTCCTTACATTTTAATAATTATTTCACATTTTGAGATGGATTTATGTTTTAAAAATACAAAATTGTTTCCTTGTTTCATTTATGTACCTGTTTTTAAACAATTGAATTAAAACTTTTCAGTAATAAATGAACACCAGCGATGTTTCCAACAGATGCAACCATGCTCATTTACTATAGCAGCCATCTTGTTAAAGTTTTAATTTTATAGACTTATAGTGCGAGATTCAGGCGGAAGTCACTCTATTTTACAAATGGCTGCTATTTATATAGCAAATCTTGCTTGCAGACACTGCTGTTTAAAGTTAATTTCTGGCCTATATTGATATATTTAGCCATTGATTTAAGTTTATTATTCATTTATCTATAATAATTGACACAAACATATGACAATAAACTTCTATTAAAGCCTTGACAATGAGGTAACGTTTTCGTACATTAATAGCAGCGGGCGATTTTACGTACCCAAAACGATAGATTACCGTAGATCTAGAATCTAGATACATAAGTTGTGACAACGGTGGTGTAGGTAGGTAATGACAAGTGTAGTTTAGTTTTAGGTAGTGTACTCACCTAACTCTAGTCATCTAGTGTGGTGTGGATCTAGTTATAAACTAGTTACCTTGTAGAATACAAAATTTATTTATTTTTGAGTATTTTACTTTTACAGGCCTAGCCGGAGCAAACTAAAACCTGTTTTCTAGATCTAGAATCTAGAGTAAAGTTTCGCAAATCGATCACATATGTACAAGCTATTTATAGTTAACCTAGTTATAAAAAGCTTTGATTGGTTGGTTTTATTTGTCTCATCAGGGACCTAGTGCTTTTCATAGGGGGAACTAGAATTGTCTTCCAGAAAGAGAAAACAAAAGAATTTGACCTGGATATATTTAGAAATGGACATGCAAACAGCAGATATCGGTAGTTTTGTATAAAACATCCAAACAATTATCATATGAAGCGATAAACAGGGGGGTGGCCACAGCGTGTGTTGAACCGCGTGCTGAACTTAACACTATGTACTTTGCATGTCAGTATATTTACCCAAATGCCAAATACTAATCCTCCTGAACCAGAGTTTCTTTCAGGCCTGAAAAGTTCAAGTTTCCCCTGAAATAAACACTGTTTCTAACCCTAATGCGTTGAAGGCAATCCTTAATAGTAAGCCTAAACCTAACCTGTAATCCTTCAAAAGTTCAAGAATTGCTTTCTTTTACTTAGTAACATAAGAAAAAAGATGGCAAAAAGAGCTCAAAGGAATGGAACTCATGCCACGAAGTAAAGCTGACTGATTCGCAACCATTTTGACCACCTGAACAGTTATCATAATGTGAAAAAGTTAAATTTGATTAGCAAATAATACTTGTGCATGCACATACAAAGTAATTGCTCCATCTAGCCTAGGGCCATGAAACTTTGGGAAGTTGTTGAGAATGCTCAGGGGAGGCTTCTGCAGGGAAAAATAGATTTGTAGCAATGGCGCTGCCACTGCAGGGTGCGGTTTTGTTCCGATGGCTTTCCTCTGAGCGCTATGATGGCTACGTTTGTTTTAAACATTGCAATGGACTATGAATAAAATGGGACATTGAAGTCTCGTTTTGTTTAAAGGAGCAGCCTGCAATATTGATATGGTATAACATGGTATTTGATTATTTAAAACGAGCCAGGGGCCATAAAATTTTTTATTGCCAAAGTTTTATGTTCAAGGCAAATAACTACAAAGTGGGGTTTTTCAGATTATCCGATCATGTGGTTCCTATTGGGCCTACAGCTAGTTAAAGTTTGTCTTTTGAAAGTGAAACTTTGTTAAAAATTTAGGCTTGGTGAAAATAAATAGAAATATAGCCTTAAATGCAGAAACATTACATTAACATGATTCTTATAAAATTAAATTTGACCTTTTCTTCATGCTTAAGTTAAATTGTTTTTAAAGTTAATTTTAAAATAGTTGCAAGTTAAGTTTCTATAGGACTATTATTACTTATTGCTCTTATGAATTCAGAATATTTCATTGTATTTTATTTCATGTAATTTATTACAACCTTATATTCAAGATTTGAGTTAGATGTTCTTTTTGTTACTTTATACACTGAGTATCAAATCCTCCAACACACTGCTTTGTATCTAATAAGTAAATTTGTTTTTTAGACCAAACTCCTTGTCAGGACTGCTAAGCGACAACTAACCAGTGAATCCACACCTCCTCCTAAGCCTCTAACTGCACCACCAGTACAAAGTCAACTACCAAAAAAATCGTATGTTATTGTTTGTAAAAACCTGTCCTAAATAAGCAGTTTAAGAATATGTTATACTATTATTAATATGTTAATGTTCTAGCTTAGTTTTTAGTTAATGTCACTTTTCAAAAACAATGTTCCAAAATTTTCTTCTATTCAGAGGAGGATTTAGATTGTTCAAGTTTTTCGGATTTGGTTTACCTGCTGCAGCAACCAGTTTGTTGGGCTATGCATGGTATGATCCAAACTTTCGTAAGCAGCTAGAAGCAAATGTTCCCTATGCAAAAGAGGTGTTAGAAAGTGTTTTGCCAGAAAGCAAAGTAGCTGTTCACCCCGACAGGTAAGGTTTCATAGCTTTATGGAGGTTGGAGATAATTTAAAATGATTGTATAATTGGTCTATTATAGAATTTAGGAGTTCTATACATCTATGTATGGGATGGTGTTGTGGCATGGTAGATTTCGTGACTATCATTGCCATCTTTTTCCCCTTTGTCCCCAAGACACATGGGGTCACCAAAGACAGCTCTTTCCACTTTTGCTGGTCTCAGGCAATTTTCTTGGCAGTCCCCCAAGATAGTCCTGCCTTTGTCAGTTGCTTTCCTGGATCTCATGCCTGCTAACCTGAAAGTCTCATATTTGGATCCTAGACTTGAGTCTGTAGGAGTCCAGCTAGGGAAAGTAAAGATAACTGGGCTTCATGCTTACCACATTTTCCCTTCATGTATGTTAAGGTCACAGAAAAGGTGAACTACTTCATCTGGCCAATTTACTGCCACGTTTAAAAGTGTAACTTCACTTATGAGATATATTTGTTTTAATACTCCTGCTTTACATGTTTTATGTTCATTAGCTGAAGTTAGGATTAGGGCTATACAGTTATGTAGACATACTTTAACCAGCTTTACATTTTTTTCAGGGTACAAGATCTGCATCCAGTTCATATTGTTGAAAAGCCTAGTATATTAAATGTAAGCTAACATTTTCATAGGTTTATCGTTACCCTAAAACTTTCTATTATCATTGGATTAACATTGAAATAGCCATTGAAAATTGTACTTGAATGATAAGTGTTTTTCACACCAATTCTTCAAATGTATGCAGGTGCAAGAATCCATGACACAGCCTGTCTCCAACCAAACAGGTAAATTAAAGCAATTATATTTTCTTTTCACAAAATAAAATATTTTTTTTGTAAAGCTGCTGTTTTAAAAACAGTTATAAATGATTATCACAATGTATTACGCTTTATGTATGTTTTGTTTTGACTTCTACAAATTGAGTAATTACAATGGATGGTGTGGTGTGTCAACTGTATTTATGTAGGTTTTATGTTGTTTTAAAATGTAACTGAAAATAGTTTTATATTTAGAGGTTATATATTATAAATATTTGTTCTCAAATTCTACTTTTGTTATTAGTTGTCATGATTATCAGTGCTGCTTGTACAGTAAATACATTTTAAAATATTTTTTATTAATTTTTAAAGACAAGAACATAGTTGATTGTCATCAAAATTGTGCTGATTAATTTATCTACATAATTTTTTTTTAATATCTTTTCTGTAAATGGAATTTTTAAAACATTTTTTATTATATCTTATTTTAATTTTACTAAAAAAAACGTTTGGGTTTGCTGTTCCTTTATTAACTTTATAAACTTAACTTTTCAGTGAATTGCTTTGATGCTTATCTTACTGCTTTATGCACCACTGACGATTTTAAAAATAATATTGAAAACCAAAAGTATAAACTTAACAAATTAAATCCAGATCAGTACTTCTCATATATTCCCCCTTCGCGCGGTAAAGATAAGGAAATTTTTACAGATGAAGATGGAAAAAACATGAAAAATGAGACAGGTATACTAAAAAAGGCTTGTTTACATAATCTAGAAATAAATATGACTCTGTGAACAATGATTATGTGAAAGACACACACCTAATCCATTGATGGTTAGCTTAGATTTTTCTTATGTAAACATTTCTTGTAATTATTTAGCTGTCAATGATAAAGATGATAGCCGTGTTGATCGTGTAGATACTGTCAACTTACGAGAAGAATTTGAGGGTATTTGTTTTGTTGGTTAATAGAGATTTCATAAGTTGTATATTTTAACTGTTCTCTATTTGTTTTTGCTACTTCAGCATTTTATTACTTTGACATTTGTTATTTTGTTGTGCCGTTCATTTTGATGATTTTATGATGATGTTAATTAACATTTATATCAGCTATTATTCTTATACATTTCAGTTAATTAAAAAACACAGCATATATTTAATCACTAATGTTTTATGATAAAGAAAAATGATTGTTCACATACTTTTTTAAATTGCTGCTATTTAGTTTTGACTGCAAATTTTTAGCTGTTCTGTTTCAGCAGATATGCAATTATCATAACAGAAGTGTTTTTAAATTTTTCCAAACAGCAGAAGGTGCTTTCTGATTAACATTCAATTTGGAATACTCTCCCTTTAAAATATTATTTTTGTTGCAGTAAATCCAATATAACAAACTATAAACTGGTTTTTTTTATTTGGCAGATAAAAATCAGATTGTTCCAAACATGTCAAGGGCAATAATTTGTCATTTAATTGAAAATCCCCTAAAATAATGTGAAATAATGATTTTAAAACTCCTATACATATAATTTGAATTCATGTAACCGAAACAAAAACTTAAGTTTCTGCTTATAATTCTTCAGAAAAAAAATTGGCTGAGGAAATGTTGACAAATAAAAATAGTCCTCTTCAAAATTTAACAGGTATTCCAAGTACTTGCTGTGAATTTTTGTTTTTTATTATTTAATTATTCAATTACATAAAGAAAAATGTATTAAGGTTTTCATTTTTAGTTTACGCTAGTGTTTTCCCCCTGTCATGATGACTTGGAAGTACTATCCAACACATTTTTATAAGGCTCTATTCAGAAGTGAAAATACCATTTATTAAATAATCACTGATTAACAAACTGAGCTCAAGGCAGTTTTCTGGCAAAGAAAACACTGATTATGATTATTGGTTTTTAAATCTATCAACAGAACCCTCTTCAGTTCAGAATCAGTCATACCAGATTTTAGAACTACAAAGAGATGATCTATTACGGGAAAATTTTTCAGGTTAATAGTTCAGTTGCAGTCATGTTCATGGTTTTTTGGTTTGAAATTTGAATGTTTATTAATTTACTTGAACAGAATGTTTGCAGATCACTGTTCAAAACATACATGATTTAATGTTTTTTGCTTTTGAGAATTGTTTTTATATCCTATTTCAATTTTTGTTGTTTTAATGTAAAAATCCAACTTGTGGGCAACAAATACAAGCCTGTTTGTTAATTTTGATAAAAGTTGTTTTTAATCACCTTTATCGGCCCATATTTCAAAAGTACAAAAAATTTACATTATTAACGTAAACTAGTTAAAATATTGATAATTTTTGTAACAAGAACCATGGATATTTGTTACTTTTAAGCTAGGAATTTCAAAAATTTATCTATTGCAATATCAGAACCTGTGTAAATTAAAAGAATATATATGATGTATAGAAAATTATGTGCTTTTTATTATACAGTTTAATCAAATAATTTGTATATGTTTTTATCTGTCATCGACAAATAAATTTTTTGTTGTTTAAAATCATCAGGTAAACACGTACATACTATTGCTTAAGAAAATAATACATTTTTTTTTAGAAGCCTCTGATGTCAAAACAGCTCTTATGAAAGAAACAAGTCAAACTGAAGGTATTAAAAATATATGAATTTATTTGTACATAAATATGATTATAGCCTGTATCAAAACTGGTTAATATTGATTACTGACACACTGCTTTGGTCAGTTAGAATTATTTACTTTTGCCATGAATTACAGTCTTGATTCACCAAATGGTAGATTTTGAAAGGTATAAAGAACATAATTATGTTATATGTTTAAAGCCCAGTATTATAGGTATTTAGGCTGCACTTTATAATAGTGTCAGTAACACAAATAATTATTTGAACATTAATGCCATCCTATTTTTTCTATTTGGTACCATTACAAAAGCATATTTTTTTTTGATTTTTTTTTATGCTTAGAAGTTAGCATTCTAATTTTTTCATGGGTTTTTTTTTTTGAGGAATTTAAAATAATTATATATGCTAAAGTGTAGGGTAAAAGGTAAAAAAAAAAGTAAAGTAACCTTTCGAACTTGATAGTCCATTGGTAAGGTGAAGTAGAGTTTGCCTGTTTCAGTGAGCTCGGCATGTGAAGTAATAGTGTGGTTGACACTATGCCATTAGTTTCCCTTATGTGAGTCAGATACTATCAGATATGGGTGGACTCAGGTTCTAAGGTAAAAGGTAGTGGGATGTTATTGACTTATAATGGCTCGCTACCATGGACATAAATAGAAAATTAAATTATATTAAGATGCCAAGCTCTCTGCACAACACACTATAAAATGTACAGAGATCTGTCAAATCAAATATTCACAGTAACACGATAGCCTTTTTCAGAATATGGTTTAGATGTTAATTTGCAATAAAAATTGCTGAAGTTTAGAGCTTCATGACTGAGCACTGTAGAAAATTTAAAAAAAATCAATCGCCATTATTCTTTTAAAAATCAGACAGCTTTAAATTGTAAATATGATTGAAATACAAGCTAGTTTACAAAATTGAATTAATGTTTGGACTACAAAAATGGTTTAATATAATATGTATAAAATGTTAAGTCAATATTGTTTATATGGTTATTCAATTTTCTGTTACATTTATATGTAGAAGTTCCATTAAAGAAAGAAGAAAAAAAGATTGATCCTAGAGTAATTGATGCACAGTTGAAAAAGCGTGAGGATGATGCTAAAGCAGACAATGCAGGTAAAAAATAATTTCATTAAATTTAATCACACATTTGACGTTTATAGTGTAATCATTTTTAAAAATTCTTGTTTGAAGTGATTCCTATTAATTTGACCGTACTTTAAATTTTCAGCACTTGAAGTGGCGATACACAAACTGTTAACCAACAGTGAACGTTTTACAGAAGAAGCAATCCAGGCACAGAAAGAGCTTGCTTCATCTATTCGTAACCATACAAAGTTGTTAAAACAAGCCATGGATGACACATCTGATGCAAGTCAACTATTTTTTACTTTGAATGTCTTGAGGCTTTTAAATTAATTGTTCAACTATTTTAAATTTCTAATCATCTCATATGGTGTGTGTTTATTGTTTTTTCATAAAGGAAATACAATTAATGTTCTATCATCGTGTTTATTTTTTTATGATCTTAAACTGATTCTTAGTCTTTCATTATAGTTTTATTAACTTAAGCCATACCTAGTTGAGCACTTGTATTTAGAGTCTGAACATCTGTTGAACATGTTTAAAAGACTGAATAAACTGTAAAGCAGTTAAACTAAATATTTTGTTGAGTATCTTTTGAAATTTGAATATCATGTTAAAATCTGTTTGTCCAGAAATACTTTTTTAATCTGTACTACAAAATATGGGCAAGTGGTGAAGATCTTCCATACATTTTTTTTAGTTACTTGGTATTTTAAATAAAATAGGTGCATACATACATATTTGGTAAAAAAAATTCTGCACTTTTTAAAATTTTTACAAATATTTACATTAGTTTTACTGAAATCCCGTAATTATAGCTCTTGAATCTTATTTCTGAAAATATAAATCTATGGTAAATGTCACAGCCTTAAGAAAACGTTTTTTATTCCAAATATTCTTAAAATGTTTTAAATTAAAATCTTAAATTACATATGCAGTTTAACATTCCATAAAAGTTCTTCATAGTAATACATGTTCTATTTTAAGACTAAAAACAAAAGAGCTTTAAAAATATTGAAAGCACTTTTTTATGAAGTAATTTTTAATACAACAGATTCTACAGAAAGATGCACAGTGGGAAGCTGTGGCCATAGCATATAAAGAAAGGGAACATGCTTTTCAAAGGGCTAATGAGCTTTCAATTGAGTCAAAGTAAGTCACCATGTAGCCTGCTCTAATTACTAATTCTAAGAACATGAAACCAAAGTATTCTGATTACAACTTAAAATTCCAGCATTAGAAACCAGTTGGGTGTAAGAAACATGTATAGGAAATACATGTTTTTTTTTAACGAAACAAATCTCAGTAAAACTGAAAATGTTAAGTTACATTCTTTAAATATGTATTCATATTGTTTTTCATTTAGCTTTGCTTTTTAATCTTGTATTTGTCAAAATAATTGTTAGGCTATTCTTTTATTTTATGTTTCTTCATCCTCTAAATTTTCATTGAAACATGTTTCAAACACAAGGTTCTTAAGAATTCAGCCTTTAGACTGTCGTAACCTGAAAAAGTAAACATTTGAGTACATTGTCTAATTTTTTTCTAATTTAAAGAATGAGGCATTTTGCGGTAACATTTTTATTTAAACACTCAGAAAAAGTCTGGAAAGACTGAAAGATGTGATCACAGAAGGAAAAGTTAATCAAGTCACTAAACAGAATCCAGCTATTTTTCCAGCTAGCAAGAGGGTCAATGATCTACTGAAAGATATGACAGCTGCCAATTCAAAGGTTATTTTAATATGACTATTGCATGATCTATGAGAATATTATGTAAGCCCTGAAAATATGCAATTTGAACATAGTAGACCAATCTCGTTGTTAAATAGTAGACCAATGTCATAGTTAAATATACTATTAAGGGGAAGGATTTGTATTCTATTAATCTTAAACTGTCTTAGGTGATGAATTTTTTTCCACATATAATAATCCCTCAGGTAAAATGATAAATATTTAAACGATAAGAAATACTGATCTTTTTTATTATGCTAAGAGAGGTTAAAATACTTGATTGTAGGTCAGAGAAGCAGAGGCAGAATCAAATGTCATGCAAAAATATAAAGAATTGGTAGACAAAGGAAGAAAACAATTTCAAAAGGAAATTGAAAGCATACTGCCTGATGCTAAAATCAGTTCAGGTAAACAAATGTATTATATTTATGTCAATCAATGAGTCAGGTGCTTATTATATAAGCAAAAAAATGACAATAACAAAATGGTTTTGAAAATACTTTCTATTTCATTAGGTAAAAAGTTATCAGAAGATGAACTTAATGCACTTATAGCCCATGCACATCGCAGAATTGAACAACTGCAGAAGCAAATAGCCGAGCAATTAGCAATGGAGAGACAAAGACTATCGGCTGCGCTTGAGGCCCAGCGTTTGGAAGATTTAAAAATCACAGATGCTACCGTGGCTGAAGAACGCATGCGTTTGCAGCAGGAATTTGATTTTGAGAAGCAAAAATTGGTAATATTTTTAAAACTAAGTTCATAAGTAAATTCATTTTAGTTAATAAATTCAAGAAAATGTTAGATTTGATGTCTAGCTGAAGTATTTTAAAATAAAAATTCATCTTATGTTATAAGAGTATAAACAACCAATAAAGCATTTTGTTTAAAATATTTTAACAGGAAATGGAGTTTTACTTGAAACTAGAAGCAGAGGTGAGGAAACAACTGGCCCGTCAAGCCGCTGCCCACAGTGATCATCTGAGAGATGTTCTCAGTGTCCAGCAGCGACAGTTAAATGTAGAATTTGATAGAGAACTTAATGCTAAACTGCTGGAGGAACGTGAAAAATTTCAGTCTGAAGTTGCTGGCTGGATCTCAAGACTTAAGGGTATTGAAGCTGCTGTTGATGGTGAGTTACTTGTTCAGTCAAACTTAATTATTTTTAAGATAAAGGAGTAATTTTTCTGCTCAGATTTCAAACTTTTGTTGAGACAGTAACTGTTAGGTCAAGCTTGGCCTGGCAAAAAATAGACAAGCTCTTTGAATGGAACTAGTCACAAGAGCACACAGGAAATGGTCTTAAAATAGATACTCTTCTTTTGTTTTTTTATCCAAGTTTTCTATACTGTAGAATTTTAAAAATGTTAATTTCATTCAACATTACAACAATCTAACAATTTTTAATTATATTAAAATTACAAAAAAGAATAAAAGAGAAAATGCCAAGTGCCAGTTATTGTTTTGTAAATTATAAGTGTTGGAACTTGTAGTGTTGGAAAATAATTTTTTATATAATGAACTATATTTGACAGACTTTTTCATCTTCTACTTGGCTGACAACACATGGCTTTATTTGAGTACACTATTTCAATACAGAATTTTTTTTGTAATGCCACAATACATATTTCCACAATTTCACCTATTTATTTTCAGCCCGTGCTGCCAGTGAGAAGTTAGCACGATCAGCCCAAGATTTATGGCTTGCCTGTATTTCTCTCAAATCAGCTATTCAATTTGGTGAGGCTGAGAGTGAAACCCAATCAATACCTTTAAGGAACAGGATAGAAGCCATTTTGAATTCAGGAAACAAGGTAATTAGTTATCTCTTTATTATCACTAAAATCAAATACACAATACCCCTCTCTTATGTTTACATGAGCATTCATTTGTTTCAAAATTTTCTTCCTCCAGCATCCCTTTGTTGAGACAGTTGCCAACACTGTTGCACCTACAGTCCTGGATAGAGGTGTCAGCACTGAAGATCAACTAAGAAATCGTTTTTTCAGAGTTTCACAAATCTGCCGTAGGTTAGGTCTTATCAATGAGCCCAACACATCATTGTACAAGTATTTTATATCCTATCTTCATTCACTGGTTGTCTTTGATCGAATGGTGCCAATGTCAGAATATGATGAAATAGATTTAAACTCACTAGACAATTTTGCACTAATAGCTTATGCTCAGCACTGGATGGAGAGAGGAAACCTAGAAATAGCCTTAAGGTTCATGATGCAGCTAACAGGAGAGTCACGAAGAGCTGCCAGTGATTGGATTAATGAAGCTAAATTACTTTTAGAAACCAAACAAAGTGCTTATGCACTAACAGCATATGCCTCAGCATCTGGCTTAGCAAATACATTTTAGGACATTTATTTAATAAAAAATATTTTTTACAGTTACACAGCAATGTAGAAGGTCTTTCCAGTTCCATTGTATGCGCCTAGAAAATATAGCTTGTATATTGATGTGGAATTAAGAAAGTTTATTATAATTATTTCCTCTTATATTAAAGAAATATTGTAGTACTTAGAACACTATTTGACAGAAATGATGATGATTAGTCACCTTTTTGAAGTTTGAAGTTTTCAATAAAGGAGGAGAGGTGGGAAATAAAGCAAAGTGTTATTTTCTGACCAATAAAAACTATTGGCTCTTTTTATAATTGAAGAGGTAAATAATACTTTAAAATAACAGTGGTTTATTGTTTATAATGTTATTAAAAAGCATTTAATGTATTTCACTAGAACAATGCTATGATTCAAATTGTTTAAATGATGGGATACAAGTGAAACCAACTGATTATCATAACCTTTTTATCTGATAAATCAAATAAACCTGCCTGAGGCTTCTATTAGATAAATCATTTGAATTTTTCATGCATTTTAACTTCTTGTTTGTTCCTTTTCTGAAAGTTGGCATTTTTAACTCTTATCCTAATATGTTCATTACTCCTATTTTGTTCCTGTAAAAATTGTTTGAACTTTGCACTGATCTTAATGTAAAGAACTAAACACAAACTATTTATTGAGACTAAGAACCATACCAGGATTGTTGCAATGAAAATGGATTTTATTAAAGATGCAATTTAACCATTCATGCCTTGTAACAGATGTTTCTGTTCAAACAAAAACTCTGGAACCCAACACAGAAAGTCTAAGCAACCAAAATCTCCCCAATTGTATTTCCTTTAAAATAAAAAAAGATATGTTCATTTTTTTCCCAGGTTTAGCTTATCCAAAGCGGAGGCAACTTCTTAAGTATAGATCTATTTATTTCTTGAAAGTACTCATTTAGTACATCGGTGTCATTCTGAAGAGCAGTTTTTCTTCCAGACTTTTTTCTCGGGAGGGGGGGGGGGGGGCACAACACACTAGTAAAAGTATGTTTAGTATATAAATTCCATCTTGTTGGGGGGGGGGGGCTGGTGCTGAAGAGTGTTGCAGGGAATTGAATACAAAGCTTTCTCCACATTCTCCACCTTTTAAAATTTTGATTAGGCCTACTCCTTAGCTGAAATATTTCCTAACAAATTTTTTTTAACATAAGTTGTCAAAACTTGTTAAGGCATAATGATAATAGCGATGATCAGCTGTCTGATGGTACGGAGATTTACAGTAGGCCTATAAAAGCCATCCTTGTGGAGAAAGTGACTTGGCATTGAAATGACCTTGCAATCTTTACTTCAAGGTCAAAGAGACACCTGCACCATTGACTTTTATCTCAGTTAACTTTCATTCAAAAGCACAGATGCTAAAAAGTGTGAAAAAAACATTTACATTTACTGAGAAAGATTTTCTAGCTGAATTAATTAACACAAGATGAAGTCAAACAACAACGGAAAGAACTATATAGGCCAAAATATGAGAAATGTGTTTATTAAATATTGTAAGCTTGAATATATACATACATACGGATCATTTGAAATCAAACTACCTATCCTAAAGCTAGTTATTTCTGGGGAGTTAAAATGTTTTTAAATGCTTCAGTTTCTCATGTATAACAAATGTTTAAAAAACTGTAATGTCAATTTAAGCTGAATTGGAAAAATACTCTGACACACCATCCTCTTGCATACCGTATGACAATTTGATCAGTTACAATGAAAACTACTGTTTAATATAATGATGAATGACAATTTATTACTTGTGGACAGCATTTTTAAAAATCAGCATTTTAAAAAGTTGTGTTTATTTAAAAACTTGATCACCATGAGTTTACAATGTTACATTTAATTTAATACATCATGATTGAACTGCTTTTTATAGTACACATTCAAAAGATTTTGTCAGTGGCATCGAGTTTTAATGAAAATTTGTAGTTTATTGAAAGTAAATACAAAAAGGATCGGTAAAAAATTATCGTACTTTTGAAAGCAGCACAGAGACTTAATTTAATAGTTTCAATTTACACTAATAATATTCTTGGAATTAAAAAAAAGAATGGTTTTAATTGTACAATATATAAATTACCGGTATATTTAAATTTAATAATTTCAGAAACGCAAACATTTGTAACATTTTCCTACTAAGTTTTATATATTGATATAAATTCGTGCACAAAAACAGTCATCATTTCTAAAAGTAGTAATACAATAAATTGAGATTATTGTTCAAGATCTTAAATTACTTGCTGTTCTGATCTACATAAGAATAATTAAAATCAAGCACTGTTGATGTAAAGAAAATGTAGTGATTTAATGTAAGGGAAATAAAACAGTAAACGAAAGCAATAGGCTATAAATTCCTGGTTGTTTCAACTTGACTAGCATTGTGTTTCTTGTTACTGCCATTGTGGTGTAATGTGTTTGTTTCAAACCAAGTGTTGATAAATAATTGTGCCCACAACAGCACTATTTGAGTATTCGTTGAGTGAGGTTTTACACATCCAGAAACAAACAGTAAACAGAAACGTAAATTTTAGGTTCATTTTCTAAAATGAAAAGGTACAAAAATGTAGTTGGCCTAAGCCCTAAGGATTCAAATCAAATAAGTTATATTAGGCCCTACTATTTTATTAATTAATTACGCGGCTATTAAATTAAATAGAACAAATTGTACAAAGTTAAAATAATTGAGGCTATATAACTTGACATTTTTATTATTATTAAGATAAAAGTTTGAAATAAACGCGCACAATCGTATATAATACTATATACACAAATAATAATACATTGACTGGCATAAGTTGTGTGATTGATAGATAACTCATTATTAGAAAAATTACAGTTGTTTCCCTTCATGCACGATGAGCTTTTTTTTTATACTGCAAGCGAATATTATACACCACCTCGCAACAGTTTGATTTTATGCGAAGCCGCTAAACTAACACAATAGAACTATAGAACACAGCACTTGGCAATCTGGTTCATGGGTTGAAGGTCGTCTCCATTTATTGTTAAGTTTGAGCTGAGTTCATGTCGACAATGACGTATAATAGGAGAAATATGTTAATGATATCTTTCGGTTGACCTATCATTCTATTTTACACGACATATAAATGTATCAGCAGAATGGAAATGTATGGGCTGTGACAAGGTTCCAACATTGATGAATGATTGTACCAAGATATGTTGAATAACTTGTTGGGGTCTTCCATAAATGACGTCACGCACGGAGGCGGGAGGGTGGGTTTGACGTGTGTTCAAGAATAATGAATAGAGGGGGAGGAGGGGGGTTAAACTGGGATTTTTTTTCTTTCTGATATAGCTAAATAATGAAATAAATTTAATTTTAAAGTGAATTAAAGAATATGTCAATATTTTTGCGTTAATAATTTAACTTTTTAAACAAATAAATTTAAGCGGATACCTACAGCATTTATAGTTGTATTGATTAAAACTTTAAAAAAAAAATTGATAGATCTAGAAACCTAATCCTTCCGGAACCGTAGCCGATTTTAACTTATCCACAATTTGGCGGGAATCTGATAACCGACAGCCAACAATATTTTCATGCAATTTAAAGATAAAAGATAAGACAGAGGCTCCCTGCCCCTCAAACCCTTTTTTTTTACACTCCCTACCTACGCCACTAAAAGATAATTAAAGAGATGAGAAGCATTTCATTTCCTCATTAGACCCATGTTTTAGGGCAGGATGTCGAAGCCTAACTTAGCCTGACGCTATTTTTTGGTGACATTTTTTGGGTACGTGGGCAAAAAGTAAACAGCTGTTAAAATCCCACAAAAGCTGACAATTGAGGATGGTCGTGCAGACACCCACCCCTCAACGTTTTTACATGTTGCATTTTGTATCTTGAATGTTTAGCTGTTCATTGTTTTAAACTAATAGTCAAATAAGTGTCTGCAGGCAAAACAGTGTAGGTTATCATCTGAGCCATAATGCCTCCTATTCATTATGTACACAAACCCACAACCTATCCTTAGTTCTCCCCATCTACCCCCCCCCCTCAGCGACTTCTGGCATTTGCTTTTTACCCTATCTTATTAAAGCCCGCTTTCTCGTTAAAATTAGCGTGTATTTTGTGTCAGAAATTATTCATGTATTTCAATCAATTAGTTTTTCAGGGACAATCTCTTAAATAAAATATTGATGCAATGAAGGGGCTGATTAGCTTCGTTAAATGTAATGCTTTTAATCGAATTAACGACATTTATTTACACAAAAACATAGTATAGAAACTTTCATCAAACCATATGAATAAATCAACAATCTTCTAGAAACATCCAACTATTGGTTCATAAATACAAGAGTAAAATAAGCCACAGGCCATAGAGAAATGCGACTCTAAATACAGGACAGGGCGATAGTTTCACTGAACACAGACTGACACACATTTTAGTGAAACATTTCTACAGGACAGGGCGATAGTTTCATTGAACACAGAAACACATTTTAGTGAAACATTTCAACCAAATATACGTGACTACATTTGAACAAAGTTACATTATGATAAAACAGTTCCATTGTGACAAAACACAGTTACATTGTAACAAAACACAGTTACATTGTGACAAAACACAGTTACATTGTAACAAAACACAGTTACGACAAAATAGTTACATTGTGACATAACACAGTGACATTGTGATTAAACAGTTCCATTGTGACAAAACACAGTTACATTGTAACAAAACACAGTTACGACAAAATAGTTACATTGTGACATAACACAGTGACATTGTAACAAAACACAGTTACGACAAAATAGTTACATTGTGACATAACACAGTGACATTGTGATTAAACAGTTCCATTGTGACAAAACACAGTTATATTGTAGCAAAACAAAGTTACGTTGTGATAAAATAGTTACAATGTGACAAAACACAGTTACGTTGTAACAAAACACAGTTACGTTGTTATAAAACAGTTACAGTTACATTGTGACAAAACACAGTTACGTTGTGATAAAATAGTTCCATTGTGACAAAACACAGTTATATTGTAGCAAAACAAAGTTACGTTGTGATAAAATAATTACAATGTGACAAAACACAGCTGTATAATACCATTGTGACTAACAGTAGGTTAGAGAAGAGTTCACACAAAATAAAGAGCTATGATTGGTTGAACTATGCCCCAAGAAAGAAGTCTATCTTGCGCATGACTGAAGTATCCGTTTTCACAATAAACAAGTTCGGTCATGTTAGATCTCATTATTTAGATGTTGGGCAGTTGTGCTGATCAATGGACTATCAGTGGGCTATCAGTGGGCTATCAATGGACTATCAGTGGGCTATCAATGGGATATCAGTGGGCTATCAGTGGGCTATCAGTTGGCTATCATTGGACTATCAGTGGGCTATCAGTGGGCTATCAATGGGATATCAGTGGGCTATCAGTGGGCTATCAATGGGATATCAGTGGGCTATCAGTGGGCTATCAATGGGATATCAGTGGGCTATCAGTGGGCTATCAATGGGATATCAGTGGGCTATCAGTGGGCTATCAATGGACTATCAGCGGGCTATCTGTGGGCTATCAGCGGGCTATCTGTATGATCAAGATCAGACAATCTGTGTTGGTATCGGCACTCAGTAAAGCCCAAGTGAATCTTTGATAACACTTATAACACTAATGATTCAATAACGTTTTCTATAGCCTCAAAACTAATGTAATAGCTTCAGCATAAAAGAGACACTTCTGTTTATACATGAACCAACAACGGCCTTTACATGTTTTAAATAATCAGTTTAAATGATTGGTGTGTTATTGATAATGCAGGCAGTGCTATTCCTACCTTTAACACAGATAACTACAGGGCGAAGAAATGATCACCAGAAAAAAAAAAAAAACACGACATGGACAAGTTGTAATTGAGCGAGTTCAATAAAAGATAACAGACAGACAATAGCATGAAAACAAGTGAATTAAAGATGGCCGTACATTGTACTATCACCAGGTCTTATTCTAACTCAAATACACAGACAGGACGTAGATTAAACAGGATGTAGATCACAGGACGTAGATCACACATGACGTAGATCACATGACGTAGATCACACAGGACTTTGTTCACACAGGACGTAGATCACACAGGACGTAGATCACATGACGTAGTTCACACAGGACGTAGATCACAGGACGTAGATCACACAGGACTTTGTTCACACATGACGTAGATCACACATGACGTAGATCACACAGGACGTAGATCACATGACGTAGATCACACAGGACGTAGATCACACAGGACGTAGATAACACAGGACGTAGATCACACAGGACGTAGATCACATATGACGTAGATCACACAGGACGTAGATCAAACAGGACGTAGATCACACATGACGTAGATCACATATGACGTAGATCACACCTGACAGATCACACAGGACGTAGATCACACATGACGTAGATCACATATGACGTAGATCACACCTGACATAGATCACATATGACGTAGATCACACAGGACGTAGATCACACATGACGTAGTTCACACATGACGTAGATCACACAGGACGTAGATCACACCTGACATAGATCACATATGACGTAGATCACACAGGACGTAGATCACACAGGACGTAGATCTCATGACGTAGATCACACAGGACGTAGATCACAGGCATACACGACTTAAATCACATATGACATATATCACACATGACTTTGATAAAACATGACGTAGATATGACATTAAGAAGTTGAACACAGGAGAATAAGATGTAGATCACAGAAATGAAATCACTACGTGAATGTAAAAGCTAAGGAAAACATTCGACTAACGGAAAAAGTTACCATGCGAATATTGCAATATTTTAAAATGTTTTTCTCCTCCATATACCTTTAAAAGGTCTGAATACATAGTACAAATACTAGACGCACAATGCATATTCACAATTGGCGATAGTTAAAACGATGATAAATCGTGACATTATGACATATGAAATGTACATTTTAATTTATCAAAATATATTTGAAACCTCAAGTCGACCAAAGATCGAAGTCCCAATAAATTAACTAGATCGATTTATGTGTATGAAATACAATTTGTATATGGACTTGTTGGATATGACGCTACGTTGTTAAATACAAGCATCAACTGTTTAACTTGGTGTATTACAAATAACAGGGTTTGTTATATGCTGGAGGATTTATCAGAAGGTAAACCGTCGATGTACCCACAGTTAGAGGACGCGCAGGAAGTGACGTAATGGTGGCGCTGAACGACGTTGTTATCTTGTACACAACAGTAACGCTGTTATCACCATGGTGACCGCTGTCCACGCATTCCACGGCTTGACGCTGACGGCTGTGTTGTATCCGTCATCTTGTGGATCTGAAATCACGGATCCGATCTTGGAATCTGTGGATTAAATAGTGGATTGGTTGAGAATCGTACTCAGTCATATTTTAACTACTCACCAATTTACGTTGATTAAAATGTGACAATTTACATATTTCCGGATTGATTGTACATTATTTAGAAGGTGAAGCAATTATTTTATCCTTCATTAATTGGCCACATTATAGTCACCTTTGACGTCAAATGTTGGGTTATCTCCTCCATCCTTTCGATGATTGGGTTGACGATCTTTCCCCTGACTAAAAATATCACACAATGATCACGTGACTATCATTTTAATTTTGGAATAACTTTTCGTTTAATTTAAGTATCATTCATTTAAATCGTTTGATGGATAAATGAAATGAAAAATAAAAATAATTTGACAAAACCACTAGATCAGACCAGCTATCAAAAGTTTAAAAGGAAGACTATTCGTTAAGATATTAAAATAAATACACATGCATAGGCGTATGGCATATCAACGGGTAGGTTGGAGTTCACGTAGAATAATAGGGTGGTCGTGTAAATAGGGCAGTCAGGTACATGGTCCAAGGAAAACAACACTACACAAGATGACCAACACAAGCCTACAACACTACACAATATGACCAACACAAGCCTACAACACTACACGAGATGACCAACACAAGTCTACAACACGAGATGACCAACACAAGCCTACAACACTACACGAGATGACCAACACAAGCCTACAACACTACACGAGATGACCAACACAAGCCTACAACACAAGATGACCAACACAAGCCTACAACACAAGATGACCAACACAAGCCTACAACACAAGATGACCAACACAAGCCTACAACACTACACGAGATGACCAACACAAGTCTACAACACTACACGAGATGACCAACACAAGTCTACAACACAAGATGACCAACACAAGCCTACAACACTACACGAGATGACCAACACAAGTCTACAACACTACACAAGATGATCAACACAAGCCTACAACACTACACGAGATGACCAACACAAGCCTACAACACTACACGAGATGACCAACACAAGTCTACAACATTACACAAGATGACCAACACAAGCCTACAACACGAGATGACCAACACAAGCCTACAACACGAGATGACCAACACAAGCCTACAACACTACACGAGATGACCAACACAAGCCTACAACACTACACGAGATGACCAACACAAGTCTACAACACGAGATGACCAACACAAGTCTACAACATTACACAAGATGACCAACACAAGCCTACAACACGAGATGACCAACACAAGCCTACAACACTACACGAGATGACCAACACAAGCCTACAACACGAGATGACCAACACAAGCCTACTACACGAGATGACCAACACAAACCTACAACACGAGATGACCAACACAAGCCTACTACACGAGATGACCAACACAAACCTACAGCACTACACGAGATGACCAACACAAGCCTACAACACAAGATGACCAACACAATCCTACTACAAGAGATGACCAACACAAGCCTACAACACTACACGAGATGACCAACACAAGCCTACAACACTACACGAGATGACCAACACAAGCCTACAACACGAGATGACCAACACAAACCTACAACACTACACGAGATGACCAACACAATCCTACTTCAAGAGATGACCAACACAAGCCTACAACACTACACGAGATGACAAACACAAGCCTACAACACGAGATGACCAACACAAGCCTACAACACGAGATGACCAACACAAGCCTACAACACGAGATGACCAACACAAGTCTACAACACTACACGAGATGACCAACACAAGCCTACAACACAACACGAGATGACCAACACAAGCCTACTACACTACACGAGATGACCAACACAAGCCTACTACACTACACGAGATGACCAACACAAGCCTACTACACGAGATGACCCACACAAGCCTACTACACAACATTAGATGACAAACACAAGCCTACAACACGAGATGACCAACACAAGCCTACAACACGAGATGACCAACACAAGCCTACAACACGAGATGACCAATACAAGCCTACAACACTACACGAGATGACCAACACAAGCCTACAACACGAGATGACCAACACAAGCCTACAACACTACACGAGATGACCAACACACGCCTACACCACAACACGAGATGACCAACACAAACCTACAACACGAGATGACAAACACAAGCCTACTACACAACACTAGATGACCAACACAAGCCTACAACACGAGATGACCAACACAAGCCTACAACACGAGATGACCAACACAAGCCTACTACACGAGATGACCAACACAAGCCTACTACACGAGATGACCAACACAAGTCTACAACACGAGATGACCAACACAAACCTACAGCACTACACGAGATGACCAACACAAACCTACAACACGAGATGACCAACACAAGCCTACAACACGAGATGACCAACACAAGCCTACAACACAACACAAGATGACCAACACAAGCCTACAACACTACACGAGATGACCAACACAAGCCTACAACAGTACACGAGATGACCAACACAAGTCTACAACACGAGATGACCAACACAAGACTACAACACTACACGAGATGACCAACACAAGCCTACAACACGAGATGACCAACACAAGCCTACAACACAACACGAGATGACCAACACAAGCCTACAACACTAAGCGAGTTGACCAACACAAGTCTACAACACTACACGAGATGACCAACACAAGCCTACAACACAACACGAGATGACCAACACAATCCTACAACACTACACGAGATGACCAACACAAGCCTACAACACGAGATGACCAACACAAGCCTACAACACTACACGAGATGACCAACACAAGCCTACAACACAACACGAGATGACCAACACAAGCCTACTACACGAGATGACCAACACAAGTCTACAACACGAGATGACCAACACAAGTCTACAACACTACACGAGATGACCAACACAAGCCTACAACACAACACGAGATGACCAACACAAGCCTACTACACGAGATGACCAACACAAGCCTACAAAACGAGATGACCAACACAAGCCTACAACACTACACGAGATGACCAACACAAGCCTACAACACGAGATGACCAACACAAGCCTACAACACTACACGAGATGACCAACACAAGCCTATAACACTACACGAGATGACCAACACAAGCCTACAACACAACACTAGATGACCAACACAAGCCTACAACACGAGATGACCAACACAAGCCTACAACGCTACACGAGATGACCAACACAAGCCTACTACACGAGATGACCAACACAAGCCTACAACACGAGATGACCAATACAAGCCTACAACACTACACGAGATGACCAACACAAGCCTACTACACGAGATGACCAACACAAGCCTACAACAAGAGATGACCAACACAAGCCTACAACACGAGATGACCAATACAAGCCTACAACACTACACGAGATGACCAAAACAAGCCTACTACACGAGATGACCAACACAAGCCTACAACACTACACGAGATGACCAATACAAGCCTACAACACAACACGAGATAACCAACACAAGCCTACAACACAACACGAGATGACCAACACAAGCCTACTACACGAGATGACCAACACAATCCTACAACACTACACGAGATGACCAACACAATCCTACAACACAAGATGACCAACACAAGCCTACAACACAACACGAGATGACCAACACAAGCCTACAACACGAGATGACCAACACAAGCCTACAACACTACACTAGATGACCAACACAAGCCTACAACACAACACGAGATGACCAACACAAGCCTACAACACGAGATGACCAACACAAGCCTACTCTACAACACAACACGAGATGACCAACACAAGCCTACTCTACAACACAACACGAGATGACCAACACAAGCCTACAACACGAGATGACCAACACAAGCCTACAACACGAGATGACCAACACAAGCCTACAACACTAGATGACCAACACAAGCCTACAACACGAGATGACCAACACAAGCCTACAACACGAGATGACCAACACAAGCCTACAACACGAGATGACCAACACAAGCCTAAAACACAACACGAGATGACCAACACAAGCCTACTACACGAGATGACAAACACAAGCCTACAACACTGCACGAGATGACCAACACAAACCTACAACACTGCACGAGATGACCAACACAAGCCTACAACACTACACGAGATGACCAACACAAGCCTACAACACTACACGAGATGACCAACACAAGCCTACTACACGAGATGACCAACACAAGCCTACTACACGAGATGATCAACACTAACCTACAACACGAGATGACCAACACAAGCCTACAACACTACACAAGATGACCAACACAAGCCTACTACACAACACTAGATGACCAACACAAGCCTACAACACGAGATGACCAACACAAGCCTACAACACGAGATGACCAACACAATCCTACAACACAAGATGACCAACACAAGCCTACTACACGAGATGACCAACACAAGCCTACAACACTAGATGACCAACACAAGCCTACAACACTAGATGACCAACACGTCTACAACACAAGATGACCAACACAAGCCTACAACACTACACGAGATGACCAACACAAGTCTACAACACTACACAAGATGATCAACACAAGCCTACAACACTACACGAGATGACCAACACAAGTCTACAACATTACACAAGATGACCAACACAAGCCTACAACACGAGATGACCAACACAAGCCTACAACACGAGATGACCAACACAAGCCTACTACACGTGATGACCAACACAAGCCTACAACACGAGATGACCAACACAAGCCTACAACACAACACGAGATGACCAACACAAGTCTACAACACAAGATGACCAACACAAGCCTACAACACGAGATGACCAACACAAGCCTACAACACGAGATGACCAACACAAGTCTACAACACTACACGTGATGACCAACACAAGCCTACAACACGAGATGACCAACACAAGCCTACAACATACACGAGATGACCAACACAAGCCTACAACACAAGATGACCAACACAAGCCTACAACATACACGAGATGACCAACACAAGCCTACAACACTACACGAGATGACCAACACAAGCCTACAACACAACACGAGATGACCAACACAAGTCTACAACACAAGATGACCAACACAAGCCTACAACACGAGATGACCAACACAAGCCTACAACACGAGATGACCAACACAAGTCTACAACACTACACGTGATGACCAACACAAGCCTACAACACGAGATGACCAACACAAGCCTACAACACAACACGAGATGACCAACACAAGTCTACAACACAAGATGACCAACACAAGCCTACAACACGAGATGACCAACACAAGCCTACAACACGAGATGACCAACACAAGCCTACAACACAACACGAGATGACCAACACAAGTCTACAACACAAGATGACCAACACAAACCTACAACACGAGATGACCAACACAAGCCTACTATACAACACTAGATGACCAACACAAGCCTACAACACTACACGAGATGACCAACACAAGCCTACTACACGAGATGACCAACACAAGCCTACAACACGAGATGACCAACACAAGTCTACAACACGAGATGACCAACACAAGCCTACAACACAACACGAGATGACCAACACAAGCCTACAACACGAGATGACCAACACAAGCCTACAACACAACACGAGATGACCAACACAAGCCTACAACACGAGATGACCAACACAAGCCTACTCTACAACACTACACGAGATGACCAACACAAGCCTACAACACAAGATGACCAACACAAGCCTACAACACGAGATGACCAACACAAGCCTACTCTACAACACTACACGAGATGACCAACACAAGCCTACAACACAAGATGACCAACACAAGCCTACTCTACAGCACAACACGAGATGACCAACACAAGCCTACTCTACAACACTGTACTTGTTAGATCCCCACGAATGAGTCTCGCTGTAGTGCTCCTGGTTGCTGCGTTCCTCCAAGTTCTCACCCCAGGTCGGTCTCGGCGTTGTTGTCGTCTTAGAATCAGGTTTTGGTAGCTCTGAAAAAGGGAGCAGTGTTTTAAGTCAGGTTTTGGTAGCTCTGAAAATGGGAGCAGTGATTTAAATCAGGTTTGGCAGCTCTGAAAATGGGAGCAGTGTTTTAAATCAGGTTTGGCAGCTCTGAAAATGGGAGCAGTGTTTTAAAGCAGGTTTGGCAGCTCTGAAAATGGGAGCAGTGTTTTAAAGCAGGTTTGGCAGCTCTGAAAATGGGAGCAGTGTTTTAAAGCAGGTTTGGCAGCTCTGAAAATGGGAGCAGTGCTCCAGTTAAGTGTGGCAGTTGTTTTAGGCTTTAGTTATACAATAGGCTGGAAGGGCCTTTATGGTCTAGTTTACGCCCCCCCCCCCCTTTCTTTCCCCCTCTCTACCACACTTGTTTAATATCATATAAATTGTTGTGTTTACCGTGTAAGATCGTGTCAATTGTTGTGTTTACCGTGTAAGATCGTGTCGATTGTCGTGTTTGCCGTGTAAGATCGTGTAAATTGTCATGTTTACCGTGTAAGATCGTGTAAATTGTCGTGTTTACCGTGTAAGATCGTGTCAATTGTTGTGTTTACCGTGTAAGATCGTGTCAATTGTCGTGTTTGCCGTGTAAGATCGTGTAAATTGTCATGTTTACCGTGTAAGATCGTGTAAATTGTCGTGTTTACCGTGTAAGATCGTGTCAATTGTCGTGTTTGCCGTGTAAGATCGTGTCAATTGTCGTGTTTGCCGTGTAAGATCGTGTAAATTGTCATGTTTACCGTGTAAGATCATGGTTTCTGAATCGTTCCCCAAAGAGTTACTGGCGAAGCACTCGTACTCCCCATAGTCCTCGTCAGCCAAGGGCACGACCTTGAGGGTGATAGTGACCTTCTCGTCCTCGGGGAACACCTCCGTCGTGTACCGGGGGTTCCTGGAGATGTCCCTGCCGTACCGCCGCCAGACGTTGTACTGGTGGGGTACGGCTGTGATGTCACACTCCAGGATCGTCTGCTTGCCCCGGACCTGGCCGATTTTTTTGTTGGGCAGCCTCACTTCTGGGGCGACTGCAGGGGGGGGGGGGGGGTGGGGGTGGTGATACGACGTGGGTTAGTACAGATTGATGTTTTAAATAGGGAGCTCATAGCTAGTAGATGTAAAAGAAGGAGGTAGAGGCCGAGTGGTGTAACTATTTAGATTAATATAGTTATGGAAATTCCATTACGTAAAGTGCCTAAAATTTGATGATGCTAATTGAGGTTGCATTTATAACAACGGATGTGGCAAAATGATTTTCACGTGTAATCACATTTAGTTTTGCAAAGCTAAGACATTTTAAAATAGTTAAAATTTAAAGTAACGTCTAGTGCAAAGAAAGCAACACAATTTGTTTAGCACCGAAGACAGGAACCCAACACACACAAAACATGACAATTTGTTTAGCACCACTGACAGGAACGCACAGAAAACATGACAATTTTAACAAAACATGACAATGTGTTTAGCCCCACATACAAGAACCCACACATAAAACATGACAATGTTCGAGCACCCCCACACATAAAACATAACAATGTTCGAGCACCCCCCCCCCCACATAAAACATGACAATGTTGGAGTACCCCCCACACACACAAAACATAACAATGTTCGAGCACCCCCCCCCCCCCTCCCATAAAACATGACAGTTTTCGGGCACCCCTACACATAAAACATGAAAATGTTGGAGCACCCCCACACATAAAACATGACAGTTTTCGGACACCCCCACACATAAAACATGAAAATGTTGGAGCACCCCCACACATAAAACATGACAGTTTTCGGACACCCCCACACATAAAACATGAAAATGTTGGAGCACCCCCCCCCCCCCCCACATAAAACATGACAGTTTTCGGACACAACCCCCCCCCCCCCCACACAAAACATGAAAATGTTGGAGCACCCCCCCCACATAAAACATGACAGTTTTCGGACACAACCCCCCCCCCCCCCACATAAAACATGAGAATGTTGGAGCACCCACACTGGACGTTGACGTCAATCTCCCTCACAGCCACAGGGTCGACCCCATTGAAGGCCACACACTCGTACTTGTCGTCACAGTACCTGGACACGTTGTGGATCACCAGCACCTCCCCCGGGTTGCCCAGGTCTGAAACAGGCGACACATTAGAAGCACTTAATACAACTAGTGGGGGGGGGGGGGGGTGGGGGTGGGTGGGGGGGGGAACAGAAACCCACTCCTAGAAAATGGGGTTTTAAAAAGGCAGAAAAATTAAAAATAATCTCTACCAATTACAGAAAAGACGTGTTAAAGCAAAAATTATTCAAAACACAAACTTTGACATTATTCCATTTTTGTTTTTGTTTTTTTGTTTTTGTAAATGACGAACGGTCTATGTGTCATCCTTAAAAACTTTATATTTCCTTTTTTAATTGCATTCGGTTCTAATTTTTTAATATATTCCCAACAATTGTTCCATTAACAGGAAAAACACTTTAGATCTATCCAGATGATTTCTTTAATGGACGTTTGTTAAAAGCTTGTAATATCTTGCTGTAAATGAAACTAAAAATATGCAACGAAATAATAACAAACAAAAAATAGACACGAAAAAAAAAACACGAAAAAAAAACCACATCAAGAGGCGATGAATTACTTGGTTTTGATCCTCTATCCTCATCGCCGTGCCTGTGTTCGCTCTTGACGCGGTGCCACGTCACAGTCGGTGCGGGAATTCCCGTAACGTTACACACCAATTCCACCGTGTCGCCTTCTCTGACGAAGACTTTGGTTGGCGTGGATAGGTGGTCGATGATCTTTGGTGGCTCTAGGGAACAAAGGTACAGGTCAATGATCTTTGGTGGCTCTAGAATAATAGAGGTAGAGGTCAATGATCTTTGGTGGCTCTAGGGAACAAAGGTACAGGTCAATGATCTTTGGTGGCTCTAGAATAATAGAGGTAGAGGTCAATGATCTTTGGTGGCTCTAGGAAAATAGAGGTACAGGTCAATGATCTTTGGTGGCTCTAGGAAAATAGAGGTACAGGTCAATGATCTTTGGTGGCTGTAGGATAATAGAGGTACAGGTCAACGAACTTTGATGGCTCTAGGATAATAGAGGTACAGGTCAATGATCTTTGGTGGCTGTAGGGAACAATGGTACAGGTGGTCAATGATCTTTGGTGGCTCTAGGATAATAGAGGTACAGGTCAATGATCTTTGGTGGCTCTAGTAAAAAATGGTACGAGTTTGTAATGGCTGGATATTGTAGGAAACCAAGGTACAGATGGTTGTAATGGGTTGAGCCAGTGTTGTATGAAGCTGTATGGAGACGAAATGTTGTATCAGTGATGGTTACCTATAACACAAAACTTGGCAGTGAAACAATAAATAATTGAAAGACTCACCTATGCTTTTAAAAAAGATTATTTAAAAAAAAGTTTCGTGATGAGATAGTATAGCGGATTTTGTTCAGTGCAGAAAGCGAATGCCCCGGATGTTAAGTATGTGATTGTCAACCGTGAGAAAATAATTAAATGTAAATATGTGTGAGCTCACTTAATCTCGCGATTTAAAAACTTCTCTAACTAACCTGTCTTATAAACCTGTCTTTATAAACCTGTCTAACAAACCTGTCTTTATAAACCTGTCTTACAAACCTGTCTTAAAAACATGTCTTACTGTTTACATGTGTCCGAATGATGATAACGATGGAAGTGATCTAATCCTTGGTGAAATTGTGTTTGTTCTTTTTACCAACTTGTATTGTAGACATAACCAAATGTTTTTTTTTTTAAATTCATCAATTGATGAGTTTTTTTTTGTAATTTATTCAATGGATAATTTTTATAATGCGACCGATGTTTTTTTTTTTAAATTACATTATGGAATAGTGTTTCTTTTTAAATATCACATGTAGTTTCTTGTACTTTATCACGCGGTGTTTCTCCAAATTGCGAAAGACTTTTTAAATTATGAAATGTGTTTTTATAGAAAGAAGCAAAGTGGGTTTCATGTCATTTATCAAATGGTGCTGTAAAGTCTCACGCGGGGATCAAGTCGTTGATCATGTTCAAAACGTGAGTACTATCCTGCCGCTCAAACTGTATTGTGTTAACACAGAGCCTCGATCCTAACCCAGGGAGTGACGTCACGTGACCAGGCAACAAGCCGCACGTGACAAGACGTCACCGGATGAATTGGTGAGAAGCAGCGTGACCCTTAATTGACATTTTCCTGGAAATTCTGGGTCCGATTTTTTTAGCTTTGTTGACAGCCAATTACCGAAGTTGGAAAGAGTTTCTTAGACGGCAATTTATTCATTTTCTCGCATGGGATGGAATGGCCCAGATGTACCCCCTTCCTGCGTCTCCCTAGGGTGGGTGGCGGGGGGGGGGGGGTGTATTGTGCAACAACCCTAATGATAACTCTGAACACGCCGCGTGCAGGGCAGGGGTCGGCGGCTGCAGCCCGATTAATTTATTTAACGATATTTATCGGATATTTACCGAGGAGTGAGTAACCGCGTAGACGTCTCGCATTTTCTCGACCAAATCTCGCGCTGCGCGTGATTCACTCGATGTTTGATGTGGGTTTATCTCTTTCATATCTAACGTATGCGAGAATCGTGTTCAATACATAGATTCTAGGGATGCTTGGGTTCCATGTTGGCATGGAGGGCAGGCTCATTGATTTAGATTCTATAAGCTTCAATACATGAATTCCATGCCGATATTAATTTAGATTCTATAAGCTTCAATACATGAATTCCATGCATATTTTTAGATTCTATAAGCTTCAATACATGAATTCTATGCCGATATTGATTTACATTCCATAAGCTTCAATATATGAATTCTATGCCGATATAGATTTATATTCTATAAGCTTCAATACATGAATTCCATGATAATATTGATTAAGATTCCAAAAGCTTCAATACATGAATTCTATGCCGATATTGATTTCGATTCTATAAGCTTCAATACATGAATTTTATGCCGATATAGATTTAGATTCTATAAGCTTCAATACATGAATATCATGCCGAAATGGATTTAGATTCTATAAGCTTCAATACATGAATTCCATGCCGATATTGATTTAGATTCTATAAGCTTCAATACATGAATTCCATGCCGATATTGATTTAGATTATAAGCTTCAATACATGAATTCCATGCCGATATTGATTTAGGTTCCATAAGCTTCAATACATGAATTCCATGCCGATATTGATTTAGATTCTATAAGCTACAATACATGAAATCCATGCCGATATTGATTTAGGTTCCATAAGCTTCAATACATGAATTCCATGCCGATATTGATTTCGATCCTATAAGCTTCAATACATGATTTCTATGCCGATATTGATTTGGATTCTATAAGCTTCAATACATGAATTCCATGATGATATTGAATTAGATTCTATAAGCTTCAATACATGAGATCCATGATGATATTGATTTCGATCCTATATTCTTGGACGAGACAAGGTTGGGCAGGCAGTCACCACGTTTACACCGGGATTTGTTGTGTGTCACGTCATTGTTTTGATTGCGTCACGTCATTGTTTTGATTGCGTCACGTCATTGTTTTGATTGCATCACTCATTGTTTTGATTGCTTCACGTCATTGTTTTGATTGCGTCAAGTCATTGTTTTGATTGCGTCACGTCATTGTTTTGATTGCGTCACGTCATTGTTTTGATCGCGTAACGTCATTGTTTTGATGGCGTCACGTCATTGTTTTGATTCCATACAACACCACATCACAGTACTCGGATTCGTGAAAGACGATTATTACTTTAAAGTGGAGAGAACTCCTCACTAGACTCACCTGTAACACGCCTCAGAAATACCTGTGTAGGTCATTTATGTTAGAGGTATCTGTATAGGTCATTTATGTTAGATCTGTCTTCTTCATTTATGTTGGAAGTATCTGTCTTCTTCATTTATGTTGGAAGTATATGCATGGGTCATGTATGTTAGAAGTTTCTGTATTGGTATTTTATGTGAAAAGTATCTGTATTGGTATTTTATGTGAAAACTATCTGTATTTGTCATTTATTTAAAAAATACTTGTATAGGTCATTTATTTTAGAAATATCTTTATATGGCATTAGCTATATCTAGCCAATAAAGTCATACACCAGGTCTTTCCAAATTCACCCACCAAATATAAATAAAATCAACTTCTAAATCCATCCTAACCAAAAGTCCAACAAAGTCATCTACCAACTCCCGACTGCCAAAAGTCATCCACCAAAGTCTGACTGCCAAAAGTCAACCGCCAGCCCGCCCTAGCCCCCCCCCCACTTTAGCACGCATGACACGGCAATCATAGCCCGCCCAGATAAAACTATCAAAACATTAATTGGTTTTCTCGGAGTCTTTGATCGATGCTCGCCACTGACGCCATTTTCACTACAAACACGTCTCTATCGTTTGGTCCCGGGCTCAAGGAGGGCGCCGCAAGGATGGGCTGGGGGGGGGGGGGGGCTGGGGGGGGGGGTTTACTGTATTAGGATCTTTGCACTGGGATAGGGATGAATGGGGTCAAAAGGGGATCGTTTTCTTGCCGCTGCTAAGAGGACGCTACGTTTGTTGGAGATCGTCGGAGGTTCAACAACTGCCTTTAACACTTCCGGTTACACAAGACGGGGGCAGATTATCTGCGAACAGGGCAGATAAACAACATGGAGATAGGTAAGGGCGGATAGTCAACAGGGCGACAGTAAGGGTAGGCAGTCATCAGTCTGTGAGATCAGATAGTGGGGCAGATAATGGGGCAGGTAGTGGGGCAGATATAGAGAGTGACAAATAATGAAGGGCAGATAGTGGAAGTAGATAGGACCGTACATTGGGTGTAAAAGGGCAGATGAGTTCAGGGTGGAGGCGGCTGGAACTTGTGACGTCACGCCGGACCGACCTCTGTTGGACAGTGAGTACGCTAAACCCTGCCCGTCACACGACCTCAGGACATCTAAAACGGATCTCCCCAGAGAGCTGCCTATTGTGGCTGTATCCCCCCCCCCTCCCTCCCCTAATTAACACAGCTAACTCCATTCTATTGTCGCAATTCCGGAACCCTTTGGCCATTTTTCATCATCAATAACGTACTTTCATTATTAGATCGGACAAAACAGATGTACATTTAGTTAACAACAATTTAAAAATACGAAAAAAAAAAGGAATAAAAAAACTTGCTTTCGTTTCATTGAAATTTCTGGTCTTGAAACTTGGAGTTAAAAAACTAACTCAAGCTGTTCATCTATTGGCTAGCGTTAATATTTCAGCAAGGGAGACAAGTCAAAGGCATAATAAATGAATCCGTGAGAAAGTTGAAAATGTATTCGCGGGGAGAATCGATGCTAGGAACAAGTCATTACACAAAGGGTGTATGAAGCGTTCCCATCACACGCCATAATTACCCTGTTGGCTGGCCCCACCCCCACGCCTAATCAGCACAGTGCGCCACGGCCCGGGGACGGGGTATGAAGGGAAGATGGAGCGGCTACTTGCAGTGATGGCGGGAAGGAAAATGATAGCTTATGTGAAATTAATGCATCTCTGTCGGACAGTACAAATCGTGGACTCCACTTGCCAGCCCTCACAGAGAATGTAGGTTAGGGAATAGGTCAAATCTAGAGGGTAAAACCACAAACAATGGCAAACTAAAAGCCCGTAATGAAATCAACATGTTATATGCGACCAGTTAAAATCATGCTAAAATAGCATTCTGTAACTTTTGTAACTCCGTGACTGGTGAGCTGCTCACGCAGGTGCAGACAACTCGCAATTGTTCGAGTCACGCAAGAGGAAAAGATGGCGGGGTATCAACAAAAAATGGACGGCACTTTCAATTTTTATTTGGCTAAAGCGATGAGATTTGAAATGGCTGACATTAATTGCTTAAATTTTGTCATGTAATGAAATTAAAATTGTAAAAATTCTATCAGCGCTCGGTAAAAACGTCAGGGTTCGGGTTTTAAAATAAAGGCAAGCGGCAGAAGAGGAAAAACTGAATTGAGTTACGTTATTTTAAGGAAGCGAGCGCAACTTTAATAAAGCGTATCAAACAACGCTTCGCAAGAGCAGAAGTGAAGGAGGTGGGGGTCAAGCAGAAATGATAGTGTGTGTGTGTGTGTGGGGGGGGGGGGTGTCATGCAAAAGTGAGACACGGTGGGGGAGGGGGCACGGTCAAGCAGACGATAGAAGTGGGTTAAAGCCTTAGATGCCAAGTAAAGGTACTCTTCTTAACTAAAAGAAGTTTGTCATTTGGTTAGTTCGATAACCCCGGTGTAATCCGGCTAATCCATTTAATCTTAAAGCTAGAGATTACAGTATGTCCACTGATTTGTGATGTTCAGTAAAAGTGTTCATGTGTATTCGCTACATACAAAGACAGCAGTAAAACTATACAGTAGGTACAACTGTTGATAAAGATCAACATTAATTATCACCAAAAGAAATCAATAACCGCAGAACCTTCCGTACAACTGTTGTAATGCCGGCTCCTTCAGCAGGAGTTTAGGCTATTGTTTCCTCTAGTTATATTTTATGTTGCAGCTAACGATGTCGTAAAGACGAGCTCTTTCTCGTTGAAGTTCGGGACAACAAATTTTAAGATTCCGCGAAGCATACCATCGGAACAGTTCGGTGTTTTCCGGAGAAATTAACCCGAACACAAGTATTGACTTGTGTTTACGTTCACTAGAAACAGAAAGCCGATCTCAAATTGGCTCCTTAATTAGTGTCAAATAAGCCCGGGTGCTGCAGTCTCCTACTGGAAAAAAGATGGCTGCCGGATGTCACCCATAATTCCCTGTACTGTTACGACGTACTTCGCGGAAGACGGAAGTTTTAGTGTCCGAGGGTTGTGGGTCAAGTGAGTTAGTGGATGGAGCAACAAGAAATAGATTTGTCAGACTGGGAGAAACTCCCCTCAAAATATGATTGATGCCATCAATACATCTACTGATGGTTGCTTCTGATAGTGGTGCCTCTGCTTGGGGTTCTGACAAGGATAGGTCCTGGGGCTCTGTTTGGGTTAAACGATTCATCTTGGGGTCCTGTTAGGGTTCGGTTGTTTTGTTTGGTGTTTTGAAAAGACAAAAGATAAGCACACCTTACACTAGCAACGCATGTGTCATGTCATAAAAAGTAAAAAAAAACACATGTGTCAAGACGCCAACCTCTAACAAAAACACCCACACATCTCTAACAACACACAACGCTATCAACACACTCACATACCGCAAAATACAAAACATTCGCATGCCGTTAACAACACAGACCAACAACAAGACACACACACACACAACGCTAACAACACACACAAAGCTTATAACACACCCCCACACCGCAAACATTACAACACACATTCATCGAACAACACACACACACTGCTCACACCACACAAAGACACACACACGAGTCCAGTACTCACCATGGACAATGAGCTGGACAGGCCTGACCTGTATAGGGTTGGTGTTGATCTGACAGTGGTACGTCCCCGAGTCGTTGGGCTCGACCTTGCGGATGTGCAGGTTCCACTCCTTGGTGTACGGCCTCTCTAGGCTGACCCTGTCGTCTGTGATGATGCGCTTCTCCTCCAGGGTGTACACCTTTTTGTCCAGCATCCACACCACCTGGGGAGGGAAGGGGGGGGGGGAAGAATGTTAGTCTGGTCAAAATGGTACAAGTCATGGAGGTAGATCTAGTTTTCTCGGCAGTCAATGGCCCTAGAGATATTTGGGCTACACGTAACGATGTACACTGATTTCATCATCATCTTTTCTTGTTCATACCCAAGAAAGATGAGGCAGATGAAGTAGAGTTCATCTGTTTCAGAGACCTCGTCATATGAAGGGATAGTGTGGTCAGCACTATGCCCAGCCGCATGTGTTTCCCCTAACGTGAGTTAGGTATCCATCAGAGCTGGGTGGACTCAATGATATTCTACTGACGTGAACCCGGATTCGAACTCTAGACTTTCGGGTTAGCAGTCGAGCTCTCTACGCCGTCTCATTACACTTATTTAGAACTACTGAATTTACGACTACTGAATTTAGCGCTTCTGAATTTCGGGCTACTGAATTTCGGGCTATTGAATGTAGGGCTTTTGAATTTAGCGCTTCTAAATTTCTGGCTGCTGAATATCGGGCTACTGAATTTAGCGCTACTGAGTTTCGGGCTACCAAATGTAGGGCTATTGAATCTAGAGCTACTAAATTTCGGGTTGCTGAATTTTGATGTTACGGGACATTAAAATACAGAATGTAGGGCTATTGATTTGAGGGCTATTTTTGGGGGGCTACTGCGTATTGAGCTACCAAGTCTAGCTAAGCTAGTGTGTCAAGAGTGTTGGAACAAGTAGCCCACTGTTGGTGGAACCCTGACTTAAACCAGCTATCAATCACCTACCCCCAACTGTACTATCCCATAAGCCGCCCTGCTAACGCGTTCGACGATCTCCAATCTAATAACTACGTGTGGAATAATACTGGGAGGAAAACAGAGCCGGTACAGGAGGGAGGAGGTCTTTAGCGTGAATACTGGGACATCTAAACAACAGACGCGGTTTATTGTGTGTTTATGAACTTTTTGTGTTTGAAAGGAATTGGTGGTACTTGACTTTTATTTTAGCTGCGTACTTGGCCAGTATAACAACGGTAATGTTTAATTATGGACACACTCGCTTTAACCGTAACTATAACCAAACGATAATCCCAGCAATGTTCTTTGCAGTAACCCAAATGATCTAATCCTAACAACAATGCATGAAAAAAAACAACAAAAAGACAACACAAGACAAACAAACAAAGGGCAGTTGTGGCACTATTACGCCATTTCCTTCTGTATTAATTAGAAAAGCTTGATCTAAAACTGACGAAACAATCTTTCCAAGGATCCAGGCGAAGGTGCCACAGAGCCCGTACGTAGCCGCGCCAGAAATAGATGAGGAAATGATGGGCTTTTGTAATGAAGACACTCGCAGAATTGCAAGTCGGCATCGGCTCCTTTCTAACCCATCGTCTGGGAACCGAATGACCAGTGGGGTCAGAGGGGGCAACTAGTCACGTGGTCTGAGCATAATTTTTAGCCGCGGGAATTTTCCAATTTCTGGACGAGACTAATACAAGTGTCTGCAGTACAAAACGTTGAACTGGTGAAACGGGTGGGAATACGTTGATTTACATGCAAACCAGAATGTTTGGTGTAAATGTTGACTGGACACATCTGGACATCAAGCATCAATACAACACACTATGCACACAACATGCCAATACTAATATCTTGTACACTAAAAAAAGCATGATATATATATATGAATACATACATACGTACATACATACATACATATATATATATATATATATATATATATATATATATATAACATAATATAAAATATACATAAAATTCATGTACATCTTAATATTGACAAATTTCATGAAATTATTTAAACATCACCAAACACCGTGTTATACACAAACTCTCCAAAATTTAGCTACATATTTCATTTCGCATACGGAATAAATAAAAGTGTTTACGTTTGACAACTCATTAAAAGAAAGTAATCACTGTCACACGTAAGGTTGTTGCCCTCCACTGCTAAAACTCAGTACTGAAACCACCTTCTATAATTTAACACCCCTCGCCAACACCATCCTCTCACCACACCACAAAACCCACACCACCATAATTTACCCCCACACCCAGAAGACCAGCACGCCGAACACCAAACACTTGTGAAACATTTAACCAACTTATTAAATCCACAGTCCCGGCCACAAACCATCCTTCCATCCGGCCACGATATGACGTAAACAATTCTAGAGTTATGTCCCCGGATACACTTGGGTTACTGGTAGCTTCCCCTGACTAACAAGTCGAGACGAGCGTTCCATTTTTTGTAATGAATCATCGAGTCGTGGTCGGAGGCCACCGGAAAACTCGTGGGGGCGCGGGCGCGACAGACAGGGAGTCCAGAGGTTAGGGCGTCATTTCGCGGGCGTGGTCGGGATTTTTAAGACTGGGACGGTAACCTAGGCAACAAGACAAAAAACGACAGGCTAATTTTCGAAGAAATGAGGAATTAGAAATGTGTTTGACGACTGCGGGCGAGGCGCCAATGCAGACACACGTTCCGCGGCTCTCCACATATAAACTAAGTGCTGTTGTTCCATTATTCCAGTCAGATACAGACAGAGAGATTATTGTGGAGATAATTAGTTCGGCGTTGTCCGGCCTGGGACAATGGCGGATGGAGTGAGTTGTAGAGGAGTGTGAGGGTGGGGGTGGTGGGTTGGGGGGGGGTGATGGTGGTGATGGTGAAATAGTTGACTGGTGAGGGCCGGCCTCATTTGGCACATCTAGAGGATAGAGGGTTAAGGCCATACTTGTTTGGGATTTAGCACATCTAGATGATAGAGGGTTAAGGCCATACTTGTTTGGGTTTTAGCACATCTAGAGGATAGAGGGTTAAGGCCATACTTGTTTGGGTTTTAGCACATCTAGACGATAGAGGGTTAAGGCCATACTTGTTTGGGATTTAGCACATCTAGAGGATAGAGGGTTAAGGCCATACTTGTTTGGGATTTAGCACATCTAGAGGATAGAGGGTTAAGGCCATACTTGTTTGGGCTTTAGCACATCTAGAGTATAGAGGGTTAAGGCCTTATTTGTTAGGCTTCAGCACATCTAGACGATAAAGGGTTAAGGCCATACTTTTTTTGGGCTTTAGCATATCTAGAGGATAGAGGGATAAGGGGCGGACATAGGTTTTGTGCTTTCAATAGAAATTGTAATTGTCTAGGTCAAGGTTAATGTCAGGGCTATGATATGAGCACATGCCATGTAGCCTATACAGTCAACAAAATCCCAGAAACCGTGCTCTAGTGTGCGAAGGTGAGTCAAACCCTACCCAGACGATCGGATGTGGTCAGCAATTAGCCTGTGAATTATGCCCATTGTTAAGTGGCCAGACTTCCGATCGAGACATATTTGTTGCAGCTCTGTTTTCAACATGTGAGCCCTCCCCCCACCTCCCGTAGGGTCGGGAGATTTTTGTTGGGGCTCTGTCTTCAACATGTAAGCCCCCACCCCAACCCCTAATTTGTTGCAACTCTGTCTTCAACGTGTGAGCCCCCTCCCCCCCACCCGTAAGGCCGGGACATATTTGTTGCGACTCTGTCTTCACCCCCCCCCCCCCCCCCCACCACCACCACCAAATCCGGCTATTTGTGATTAAGAAGGAATAAATAAAGCCGGGACCACGTGACGTTTTAGTTAAGGAAAAGATGATGGACGACCGGCAACGGCGGCCGCCTCTCCACACTTAATGTAGGCTCGCCGGGTCCCCACGGGTAACACCTCTGTCGGTGGCTCCACACCCCGTCAGTACCGGCGCTACCCCCCATCATATTCGCCCCCGCCCCACTCAGCATATCATTAGCATTGACGACCGACCCACGGGGCCCCCCTCTCCACCAGGACAGGAGGAAATACAAGTTCTATTTTCCGTGGGGCCTGAATTGATAGAATCACTTTCGCCGGGCGGCCCTGGCTGCTCACGATGCTGCGGCTAGACCAGCGATTCAAGGGGCGCTCACGTGGGACACGGAGACGATTGATTTCATTTACACCCCGGCGTCATCAGAATAATGTTTCATCTTCCTCGTCGTGCTGCTCACCCGCACACCACAGCCGCCCTGGTCAAGTGACGACCGTAACACGACCATTTTAGTTTTCACAGACGCAAGATTCTATCATGATCTGTTAGGTAGATAAAAGGATGTTAGTGGATCACTTGTGTGGCTGACAAGAGAGGAAAAGTGTAGATGTTTTATAGATAGCAGTGATCCAAAGATTTAAAGTGTATTCGCAAGACGAAAAACAAAAAGAAAATATGATTAAATAGTGCTGATGTTTGTGGTGCTGTGTGTGTGTGGGGGGGGGGGGGATGGCAACACGCTATGGGGGTGGGAGGTGGGGCAGGTGGAGACAGTTTTTATCAAATTTTATATTTTGCAAACGCTCCATTTTTCTGACATCATGACATAACTCCTATAATATGACACCAAGATATAACTTCTCTTATCTAACATTCATTGGATGACATGGTTGGGTTATAGAGCGCACGACTGCTAACCCAATACTTTTGTGTTCAGATCCCTATCATCTGGTATATTTATCCAGTCATTTTGTGTTGTCTGATATGCTTTTTATATGCAAAAGTACATATTTTCCTATTTGTGAACGTCTGTAAATCTTATTTTAGTGATTGTAAACAAATATATAGACAAACAGATAAACTAACAGATAGACCATCAGATACACCAGCAGACTAACAGAAAGACCAACAGATAGACCGACAGATAGACAAACAGATACACCAGCAGATAGACCAACATATAGACCAGCAGATAGACCAACATATAGACCGACAGATAGACCAACAGATAGACCAAAACAACTAGTTCCACGCAAACAGATTTAGGCTATCGAGGCGATGACACATATTTTGTCCAGTAGGTCTACGTACAATAAAGTCAAACCTAAACAAACAAAAAAAAACAATTTAATTTTAATATTTTTGAAAACACATTTTTAAAAAAAATCGTTTGAAATCTTTTAAGTGAATAAA